ACTCTGGACACCGTGACCCCCCCGGCTGGAGCGCTCACCCAGGTTGCTGCCGCCTGCTCCTGTCGGTCCCTCACTCACCCGACCCTCCTTTGGCACCACCGCCTAGGTCACCCTGCGCTCCCGCGTCTGCGTCACATGTCCCAGCACGGTCTTGTCCTTGGTCTCCCAGGTTCTCTCCCTGCGTTTCCCTCCTCCCCAGCCCCACCTTGCACGCCTTGTGTCGAGGGTCGGCTTCGCCGTGCCCCTCACTCCTCCTCGTTCCCCCCTACCGCCGCGCCGTTGCAGACCCTGCACCTAGACGTCTGGGGCCCCGCCCCTGTCCCTGGGCCGCGTCGAGAGCGCTACTTCCTTGTGCTTGTCGACGACTTCACTCGTTACACCATAGTCTTTCCCCTGGAGCGCAAGGCCGACGTGCCTGGCGCTCTCATCCCCTGGCTTGTCTCTCCGCGTGTCCACAACGGTCTCCCTGTCTTGCATCTTCACTCAGACCGTGGTGGCGAGTTTGCCTCAGGTGTCCTTGGTCGCTTTTGTCGTGCGGAGGGCATCACCCAGACGTTCACCCTACCGGACTCCCCACAGCAGAATGGGTCGCTGAGCGACGCATCGGTTTGGTCATGGAGGTGGCTCGCACCTCCATGATCCATGCCGGTGCACCCCATTTTCTGTGGCCGTTCGCTGTGCGCTACGCTTCTCACCAGCTTAACCTGTGGCCGCACCCTCAGCGGCCGCAGGTTTCGCCGACCCGTCTTTGGACTGGGTCTCCTAATGACGCGTCTGCGTTCCACGTCTGGGGCTGCCTTGCTCACGTCCGTGCCTCCGGCACGGACAAGCTCACCGCCCGCACCCTTCCCTGTGTCGTCCTCGGTTTTCCCCTTGACGCGTCCGACTGGCACTTTTACCACCCGCCGTCTCACCGCTTCTTTCACTCTCGTGACGTCACCTTTGACGAGTCCGTCTCCTACTACCGTCGCTTCCCCCACCGTGGTCCCCCGGTTACTCCCCCCCTGTTCCTGGTCCCTCCTTCCCTGGTAGTCCCTGCCCCTCCTCCTCCTCCTCCCCGTCCCGCCCCCTCTGGTGTGTCCCACGTCACCCCCCTTCCGTTGGTGGACCCGGTTGAGGGGTCTTCTGACTCGAGTGGCCCTCCTGTGCAGTCCTCGTCCGCCGCCCCTCCCCTGGCGTCCCCTCCCCAGTCCCCTCCTCCACCGCCTCTGCCGCCGCTCCAGCCGTCGTTGCCGCCGCCGCCGCCGCCTCCGCCGCCGCTACCGTCGCAGCACCCGTTCGCTGACTCTGGGGGTGCTCGTCCCGGTAGCCCTGGGGGTGGTCCCTCTGGGGGTGCTGGTGTGGAGAGTGCCGGGGGTAGCCGAGGAGCAGCTAGCGGTCCCGGTGTCGCCGTTGTGCCGCCGCAGCAGCAGTCCCCGCCGGTGTCAGTCCTTCGCCTGCTCGGCCTGCCGTCCCCCGACCCTGCGTCGGTTCCTCCCCGACCGTCTCCTCCTCTTCCTGTCTACGGCCCTGTTTTCCCTCCGCCGGACTCGTCCCCGGCCCGTCTCCCCCCTCGTTCTCCTTCTGTGTCCCCTCCTCTGTCTCCTGACCCGACTCCTCCGTCGCACGTCTGGTCTCACCGTCCCTCCCGTGCTCATCCTGCCTCGCCTGTCCTGCGCTCCCACCCTATGTTGATTCGTTCCCACGCGTCTCGTCCTCCCCTTCTGTCGTCGCCTCCTCCTTCCTCCCTTGTTGTTGCACCCCCCCCGCTGTCTGACTACCTTCGTGCCGCTCGTCCTCTCGTTCCTCGCGTCCTTGCCTCTCTCGTTACCAACCCGTCTGTTCCGGCCTCGTGCCTTGACGCCCTTGTTGCTGCTGTCGCTGACTTCGTCTCTTCCCGCCGCCTTGACTACGCCTCCGCTCTGGTCTCTGACCCTGCCTGTCCTCCGTCTATCGGGGGTGCTCCTGCCCTTGGCAGTGACGTCCTGGAGGACCGCCAGTTCGAGCTTGCTTTCCTCTCCGAGGCTGCTCCCGATCTCTGTTCCATGCTGCTAGTCCCTGAGGGTGACCCAGACGCTTTCGACATCCCGACCCCTCGCACTTACGCTGAGGCGACCTCGGGACCCTGGGCTTCGCAGTGGATAGCTGCCATGGAGCAGGAGATGGCATCTTGGAGATCCACCGGCACCTTCGTCGACGCAGTTCTCCCGCCTGGGGTGAACGTAGTCGATGGCCGCTGGCTCTTCAAGGTGAAGCGCCCTCCTGAAGAGCCGCCTGTGTTCAAGGCGCGCTACGTGGCTAGAGGCTTCAGTCAGCGCGAGGGGGTGGACTTCTTCCAGACCTTCGCTCCGACCCCGAAGATGACTACTCTTCGGGTTCTGTTACACCTAGTTGCTCAGCGTGACTACGAGCTTCACTCCCTCGACTTCTCCACTGCCTTCCTTCAGGGCAGCCTACACGAGCAGGTCTACCTACGTCGCCCTCCGGGCTTTACTGGCACCTTCCCTCCTGGGACCCAGTGGCTCCTGCGGCGCCCCGTCTACGGCCTGCGCCAGGCTTCCCGTGAGTGGCACGACACTCTCCGTGCTACACTTGCCGACCTGCAGTTCTTTCCGTCTTCCGCAGACCCTTCCCTCTTCGTTCGTGCTGGCCAGACTCCGTTCTACATCCTTGTTTACGTCGACGACCTGGTCTTTGCCACAGCAGATAGGGACGCACTGGCCTCCGTGAAGGCAGAGCTGCTGAAGAGACACACCTGCACTGACCTTGGAGAACTGCGCCGTTACCTTGGCTTGCAGATCTCCAGGGACAGAGCTGCGCGCACCATCACCCTGACTCAGTCACACTTGGTGCGCCAGGTCCTTCAGAGGTTCAGCCTTCAGTTCTCCTCTGCACAGCCCACCCCTCTGCCTGTAGACCACAGGCTCTCCGCTCCAGTGTCTGAGGAGTTGGTAGAGCCCAGCGGCCCCTACGCAGAGCTGGTGGGTTGCCTCATGTACCTGATGACTTGCACTCGCCCAGATCTCGCATACCCTCTCAGCATCCTGGCTCGTTTTGTGGCCACAGGCAGACATCGACCGCAGCACTGGTCTGCCGCTAAGAGGGTTCTGCGTTATCTTGCTAGTACATCGGGCATGGGGTTAGTGCTAGGAGGACGCAGGCCAGTGGTCCTTACTGGACACACAGACGCTTCGTGGGCAGACGACGCTGAGAGACTCAGGTCTACCCAGGGCTACTGCTTCAGCCTTGGCTCAGGTGCCGTCTCGTGGAGAGCTACTCGCTCCTCGTCTGTGGCGCAGTCCAGCTGTGAGGCTGAGATCTACGCTGGTGCCATGGCGGCACAGGAGCTCCGCTGGCTGACCTTCTTGCTCACTGACTTAGGTGAGCGGCCTAGCTCTACCCTGGTCCTGTTCGCTGACAACAGGGCCATGATCCTCCTGTGTCAGGAGCCTCGACTCGAGGGCAGAGCGAAGCACATTCAGCTGCGGTACTTCCTCCTGCGTGAGCTGCAGCAGCGACGTCAGGCTCGCGTGGTACACTTGGCCTCGGGTGCCAACACGGCTGATATCTTTACGAAGGCGCTTGCGCCTAAAGATCATCAGCGGCACTGTGTACAGCTTGGTCTAGTTCATGTAGCCTCTCACTTGCTAGGACCTTGACTTTGTACTGTCCTTTATATGTATACTCAGACTGGACTTGTGTCCTCTCCCAGTGGCTGGACTAGTAGTGCCGCCCTGCTCTTGTTCTTGCCTTGTCTGTACTCCTTCTGACTGGTCTCTCAGACCCTTGTCTCAGAGGTTGGACTAGTAGTGCCGCCCTGAGCTGCTTGTTTAGGACATTCCCCTATGCAGTCTAGGGGGTGTGTCAAACATGTGCATTTGTCATGTTTGTATAGACTGTATAGGGTAGCCTCTTAGAGGGTACAATACTTAGGTATATCTGTGTATACCCTCTCTCTAACATCATTCACTTATTCAATTTCTGATAACGGGAACACATGAATTTCATGTTAATGAAAATTAAAAGCTGAAAATCAGGTTATGCCCTAAAAAACACCCTGATATACAGCTTTTCAAAGGCTTTTGGCCTGACTGATGAAGGCATGGGTTAGAGCGGTGGTCATATGAAGGACGATCCATAATTTTTTTATTTTTTTTTAAAGTACATCAAATTACGAGAGAGTGTTCCTCGGAGTGATCTTAACGAACTTGACCAGGCCACAAAGATCTTCCAGCAGTCCACATTGCTCGAACACGAGGGAATTTGGAAATCAGTGGAAAGAGCTGATTCGCTTTCACCCACAATGAATCTCAACACGTGATGAAACAGATCATTTCACCAATCAGTTCACTCGTCGAATTTGAAATCTTCCTTGTTCAGAAAGTGATGGCTTTTGGCGGCTGGCAGATCCAGCAATCCAGCCTAAGCGGCGGAGGTCCGCGCGCTTGCTTGCTCGCTCTTCTTGACTTCGACATGGTTTCTGCTTTCCCCCTGACATGTCCCCCTCTTCCCTGTAGTCTCATCTCGTCCGCCCACCGTCATTGCTCCATATCAGCGGAAGAGGTGCGGCTGCGGGGAGGGTGGCCTTCAGCGCCGTGTGAGTACTGTACCATGCCAGAACTTGTGACAAGAATCCCATCTGGCCGTTGTTCTATTCGGTTTAGTATGTTTAGGATGGTTTTAGTCTGGTTCAGTCAGTGAAATGTTGGGAAACCGAGTCAGGCTGGAATTTCAAGCTTGGAGGGAAGCCTTGAAATCTCCTTTTTTTCTGGCTGGTCCCTGAAAGTTGTGGTGTCAGACATGTCATGTGACTCAGCTTGTTGTCCGTGTTGCCCCACAAGTACGTTTGATTGCGGTTGGGTGAAGTGCTCTCTGGGTCAGAAAGATTAACAAAAATACACGGTTGAATAGGGTATTGAGAGAAAAGTATGCTTCAGAAACGCCCTCAGTCTCCTGGCACTGTACCGACAGCATTGGGATCTTCCTTTCCTCTGTCGGTCCCATTTTGGCTCACTTCATTCTTGCATTACTTGCTCGGTGCTACACCATTTTGTTGCACAGAGCTTATCCAGACGAAGGACATTCCCAAGGTTTTCCCACCAGCAGAGCAGCTGTTGTTCTTACAGCCTCGCCGCTCCTTGGTTGCATCATGTCAGCCGCAGCTCTCGGCCTGGCCTCGCGTGTGCCGTCTCTAACGACAGCACGTGTTTCTGCGAACACCCAGCCCTGCCGCGTTTCGTCCGCTCGTTTTTCGACGTCAAGTCGCCGGCTCGCTGCTGTCCCGTCAACCGTCCGTTCTTCGCGCTTCGCTCGCCGTCAGGCAGCGTTTCCGGTTCGAGCTGCAAAGACCGAGCAGACGGAGTCTGAATCAGAGAGCTCTATCCAAGAGCAGGCCAAGGCCATTGCGGAAGACAAATTCAACGACGCTAAGGCCCTAGCGACAGACACGTTCAAGGATTTCACGGACATTGTCGCACGTACCAACTTGGACGACATGGTCAGTACGCTATTAATGACACGCGAATGTCTTTTTGTAAAGATGAATGTCTTCACAATGTGTTTACATTTCGTTTTTAGCATCCTGACGCCGTTATCGCTCAGACTCACCTGCTCCTGCAGAGCTACGATGGTTCAGGCGAAATGACGAAAAAAAATCGAGTATTTCGTTTTCCTTCTCTCTTTTTTCTTCTTTCCATAGCAGCTGAGGATTCCATTTCCTTTTTCTCCTCTCCTCGTTTTTCGTCTTTCCGTAGCAACCGATCACGCGCAATGAGGTGCTGGCGACGGAGAAGGAGATGGTCATCGGAGCACGCACATGGGCTCCCTCCTTGGATATATTTGCGAAACTTTCGAATACTCCATTTTCGTTCTCTCGTTTCTCTCTTTTCCGCAGCAACCGATCACGCGCAATGAGGTGCTGGCGATGGAGAAGGAGATGGTCATCGGAACGCACCGCGACAGAATTATCAATCTCCTATCAAGCCTTATCGGTGCGTACAGATTCGTCTTAACTAATTCATCGCGCAGTCTTCCCGCTCATCACTGACATTGTCGTTCTCGTTTTTCTCAGTTGAATCACTAACATAACATCACCCTAAAATCTGGAAATCTTCCTCGCATTGGCACCGAAGCCGACGCAATGTCTTAATACGTCGCACTGTTCGCCTCAACCCGCTTCAGTCCCAGCCGGATTCGAGTCTTCTTCTTTTTCTTTTTTCTAATCTCAACAATGCGTCGCCGCGCGTCACTCCCAGCCGTCACGCGCCGTCCTCTTCCTGTTGACCCCGTGATCTGCGCTCATGTCCTTCTCCTTCTTGTCACCACGGTCATCCACTTCCCAGGCCTTTTTTGTTTCGCCGTCAACCCCGCTTTCACGTCCGCCAATCCCCCTTTCCTGCAGTGAACGAGTCGGACAAGGCGGAGTTTGACAAGCTCTGCACTCGAGTGGCGGCGGTCACCCCGCTTATCCGCGCTCATCCACTACCCAAGCCTGTTGTCCTCTCGCCCTCACCCTCGCTTTCACGTCCGCCAATCCCCCTTTCCTGCAGTGAACGAGTCGGACAAGGCGGAGTTTGACAAGCTCTGCACTCGAGTGGCGGCAGTCATCCGCGCGTGGTACAACCTCAGATTCGACCGCCTCATGGTGAGCTCGACCTGCCGGCTTGTAGCCTCTTATAACGAGTCATCCGCGGTTGGTACAATCTCAACCAATACGGGGTCTCATGGTGAGGTGAGCACGGCTTGCCGCGTTGTAGTTTCTTAGACCGGGTCATCCGCGCGCGTGGTACAACCTCAGATTCAACGGTCACATGGTGAGCACGGATCTATACTTCCAGGCGTCATAAAAGGCGTCATCCGCGCGCGATACATTCTCGGATTCGACAGTCCCATTCTGACTCCTGATGACTCCTTGCGCTCGAAAACGCATGACGCGCGTCCATCCATATCCGCGCTTGGTAGATTCGACTGTCCCAGGCTAGCAGAGACTTTTTATTCCACTTCGTTCAACCCTTCTCCCCCTCCTAATTTTTCACTCTGTTATTGCCACCGTTGTCAAGACACTTAGGATCGCTTCATCTGCCGCTTCTTTTCCTCCCTCCCCCCCCCCCAAAAAAACGCCCCCCCTCCTCCCCCAACCGCCCCCGCTCGTCCCCCCCTCCTCTTCCCCACTTCGCTTCCCAGGAGCGGTACTCGTACTTGACCCGGTGGGCGGCAAGCAGCGCGTGAAGAGCGAGAGCCTGAGCGAGGAGCAGGTGAACCGCACTGAGACGGAGGTGCTGCGGGAGGTGGTGGCGCTGCTGCACAAGAGCAACTGCAAGCCAGCCTCCTCATCCCCCCTCCTTATTCAACTCCCGCCTCCCGTTCCTCTCCCACATTCTCACTCCCCTTGCCCCTCCCCACTCTTCCCGGCCCCTTCCCCCTCCCCTCTGCTCCCCCCAGGAGCGGTACTCGTACTTTGAACCGGTGGGCGGCAAGCAGCACGTGAAGAGCGAGAGGCTGAGCGAGGAGCAGGTGAACCGCACTGAGACGGAGGTGCTGTGGGAGGTGGTGGCGCTGCTGCACAAGAGCAATTCCTTCCCCTCTCTCATTGAAATCCGTTCCCACTTTCCTCTCCCGCAATCTCCCTCTTCCCGACCCCTCTCTCCTCCCCCTCCCGCCCCCTTTTCCTCTCTTCCCAGGAGCGCTACTCGTACTTTGACCCGGTGGGCGGCAAGCAGCGCGTGAAGAGCGAGAGGCTGAGCGAGGAGCAGGTGAACCGCATGGAGGCGGAGGTGCTGCGGGAGGTGGTGGCGCTGCTGCAGAAGAGCAACTACAAGCCCATCTCGCTGGAGGAGTACAAGATCGCCACCAGCTGCAGCTACCTCATCAACCTGCCCATCGATGTCAACAAGAAGAAGGTGCGCGGAAGAGAGAGGTGGGAGGGGGCAGGTGGGTGGTGGGAGGTGGGAAGTGGGATTTGGGAGGTGGAAGGTGGTGGCATTGTCACGGAAGAGCAACTTAAAGCCCATCCCATCTCGCTGGAGGACGATAACATCGCCACCAGCTGCAGCTGCCTCATCAGCCTGCCAATTGAAGTCAACAAGAAGAAGGTGGGCGGAATGTAAGCCCAGGTACTTGCACGTGAGCTCAATCTGCGGCTGGTTCAAGGTATTCTGCTGGCCGCTTCAGGATGTTAACCTTAGCTGAGGGGTTTAACTGCAGGAGTCGTGCTCTGTTGCTTTTGAGTCGACTCAAAGGCCGTTTCAGGATGTTAACTTAGCTGAGGTTATCTGCGGGAGTCATTCTCTGTTGCTTTTGAGTAAATTCAAAGGTCGTTTCTGGATGTTAACTGAGCTTAAGTTATCTGCGGGAGTCATTCTCTGTTGCTTTTGAGTCAATTCAAAGGTCGTTTCTGGATGTTAACTGAGCTGAGGTTATCTGCGGGAGTCATTCTCTGTTGCTTTTGAGTCAATTCTAAGGCCGTTTCAGGATGTTAACTGAGCTGAGGTTATCTGCAAGTCAAGTCCTGTTCGCTACACTCCCCCTCACTCTCCCCCTCCCTCGCTCCTGCTGCACCCCCTCCTCTCCCCCTTCCACCCGCCCTCCCCTCTACAACCGTCTTCCCGTCACAGCTGGATAGTGGGTTGTTTGAACGCTTCTACGAGAGTGGAGGCGTGGATCTCAAGCCAGAGGAGCTACCCGACAACGGCAAGCACGTGAGTGGGTCGGGAGGAATCAGGCACCGGGTGTTGGAACGAGGGCGCGAACAGGTGGCACTAGGGCGGGTATACAAGTGAATTTCGACCCCGTAGGGTGGGTATTTGAGTGGATACGACCACCGCGTTGTTCGTTCTATCTTTCCTGTCTGCCCTCCTTGTGCTGCAGTATCTGCTGTTCCGCCGTGGGGTGGGCGTTGACAAGACCACGGACCTGTTCATTGACCCCAAGATCGACGTGCTCATCTCCCGCCTCTGGCTCTTTGCCCTCACACGCCTCGGGTAAGTGTGCTCCTCTGCATTGCGCGTGTGAGAAAAGAGGGGTATAGAGTGCACTTTATTCCGCCAAGTACAAGCTGACTTCTGAGTCTCAAAAGTCCTCTGCGTTGCGCACATGTGAAAAGAGGGGTATAGAGGGCACAAGGGCAAAAGAGGTAGAAGAAATGTCCTTTGGGGGGGGATGTGGGTGTGTGGTAGTGGAATATGACGTGCACTCCGTTCCTTCACGTGCACGTGCAACTGAGGTGGAAATGTGCTCACGGGAAGATTGATGTGCTTTTTTCTGTCTCCCCTCCCTTCCACCAGCCCCCACCCTGTCTCTCAGTCTAAAGCAGCCTGAGCAGCCAGCCAGCCCCTATCGACGCCAGTGTGTCTCAGCTGGCGCAGCAGCTGCAGGAGGAGGAGAAGAAGGCTAAAGTGGAGCGTCAACCACTCCCCACAACACTTCCCTCCTCCCTTCTCTCAGTCTGAAGCAGCTAGAGGAGCCAGCCCCTATTGATACCAGCGTGACGCGGCTGGCGCATCAGCTGCAGGAGGAGGCAAAGAAGGCTAAGGTGGAGCATCAACCATGCCTTTGTTCCCCCACCCCCAACCACCCCCCAACCCACGTCCCTCCTCCCTTCTCTCAGTCTGAAGCAGCCTGAGGAGCCAGCCCCTAGAGATACCAGCGTGACGCGGCTGGCGCATCAGCTGCAGGAGGAGGCGAAGAAGGCTAAGGTGGAGCATCAACCATGCCTTTGTTCCCCCACCCCCAACCACCCCCCAACCCACGTCCCTCCTCCCTTCTCTCAGTCTGAAGCAGCCAGAGGAGCCAGCCCCTAGAGATACCAGCGTGACGCAGCTGGCACAGCAGCTGCAGGAGGAGGCGAAGAAGGCTAAGGTGGAGCGGGGCAGCGTGGACTCGAGTGACGATGAGGACGCGGGGGAGAACGACCCCCTCGTCGCCAAGAGGAGGGATGCTGCTGGGAAGATTCACTACGAGCGTATTCGGCTTGAGAACCTTCCTGTGAAGTGAGTGTGCTAGTGCTTTGAGCAGAATGAATTTGGTTGGCCTGAGGATTTTGCTTGTGCTTGTGGGTTTTTCCTGTCCTCTAATGTTACCATCCGAGGCACCTTGTCATTGTGGGATTCTACATATCGACACTCATCCTCGTTTTGCTCTGCCCTCTCATCCTCGTTTTGCTCTGTCCTCTCATCCTCGTTTTGCTCTGCCCTCTCATCCTCGTTTTGCTCTGCCCTCTCTTCCTCGTTTTGCTCTGCCCTCTCATCCTCGTTTTGCTCTGCCCTCTCTTCCTTGTTTTGCTCTGCCCTCTCATCCTCGCTTTGCTCTGCCCTCTCTTCCTCGTTTTGCTCCGCCCTCTCATCCTCGTTTTGCTCTCTCCTCTCAGCCTCGTTTTGCTCTGCCCTCTCAGCCTCGTTTTGCTCTGCCCTCTCAGCCTCGTTTTGCTCTGCCCTCATCCTTTGCTGCTCCCCCCTCCACGGCAGGGATCTCATTGGCCTGACCACGATTCAAGAACCCACGTTTGAGCGGGTCATTGTCGTCTACAGGTAAGCAGGAGAACTACAGCGCTGGCTTGTGTTATGGGTAACACCCCGCCATTACCTCCCCCTGTGCGGCAGGTATGTATACCCGTTGTTGGCATCCCCTTTTCTCTATTGGTCGCTCCGTCCAGCCACCCACCTCTTGTTTGTCTCCATCCCCTCACACCCTCTTTTCTGCCGCATGTCGCTCCGTGCACGTGCACCCAACCCACGAGCCCACCTCAGGCTGATGACTTTTGCGTCGACTCAAGAGTCCGTTCTATTCTCTCCACCTCCTCGTTCTGCCTCACGTCTCCTCTGTGCAGCCCAGAGGCCCACGTCAGGCAAGAGGGTGAATCCGGGGAAGCTGGGCGACGTCTCATTCCTCTCTATGCCTCCCCATCCTTTCCTTTCCCGCTCGCCCTGCATCTGCCTCCTCGTGTATTGATCTCCTCCGTGCACCCCACAGGCCCACCTCAGGCAAGAAGCCGAAGCCTGGGAAGCTGGGCGGCAGGACGATTGAGTTCAAGCAGTTGGAGAATCCGCGTCTGAGGTGCCTCAGAAGAGGAGGTTCCCATCAACCTCAACACAGGAATCCCTCAGTAACCTCCCTCTCCTTGTTTGCCCTTGTATCCCCGCTCTCCTCCGTGCATTGCCTGCTTCCACAGGCCAACCCCAGGCAAGAAGCTGAAGCCGGGGAAGCTGAGCGACAGGACGATTGCGTTCAAGCAGTTCAAGCATCTGCCTTGAGGCGCCTCTAGAGCAGAACCGTCGAGCAACCCCTTCTTGTCTTCCCTCTCATTCCTGCTATCCTTTGCGCATCCCAACCCCACAGGCCCACCTCAGGCAAGAAGGTGAAGCCGGGGAAGCTGGGCGACAGGACGATTGAGTTCAAACAGTTCAAGAGCATCCCCATGGCGGATATCGAGATGGTGCTGGTGAGTCCTGTGCTTATATCAGAACCACGATGTGCTTATAACGAGAGAGTGATGGAGGCTGGGAAACAGGACGATTGAGTTCAAGCAGTTTAAGAGCATTCCCATGGCGGATATCAAGATGGTGCTGGTGAGTCCCCTGCTTATATCAGAACCGTGATGTGCTTATAACGAGATAGCGGTGAAGAAGCTAAAGTAGGGGAAGCTGGGCAACAGGACGGTTGAGTTCAATCAGTTCAAGCAAGAGCATTCCCATGGCTGATATCGAGATGGTTCTGGTGAGCCGTGTGCATATAACGGGACAGTGCTGATGTGCTCGTTGTATGTATTGCCATCTTGTTGCTGCCTGCTTCCATCAAGGCCATCCCTTCACTGTGAAACCGTCTGCAGCTTCCCTCTCACCATAAACGCATTGTGTTCTGAGGCGCCTCAAAAGGCTTCCCTCTCACCATAAACGCATCGTGTTTCCTCAAGGCTCCTACAATCTCCACTCTGTTTTGTTTCTTGTGCCGCCCTCTTTATCCTTTGTGCCCAGCCTGAGAAGATGAACCAGGGGCTCACTCCCAGGGGCATTAATGTTTTGTGGCTCCCGGAAGTTTCCCCCTCTGACGTTTTTTGGTGTATGCAACCCCCTTTATCCTTTGTGCCCAGCCTGAGAAGAAGAACCCAGGGCTCACTCCCAAGGACACTGTCAACTACCTGGTCTCTGCCGTCGGAGGTCTGGTGAGTGCTGCAGGGAAGGAGGTTTGCTTAGTGTTGTAGGCAGGTCTGCTGGATGCCTGGTCCCTCTGTGAGCATCACACATCCTCCAAAGAAGAACCCAGGCTCACTCCCAGGGACATTGTCAATCAACTACCTGGTCTCTAGACAATCAGGAGCTGCCGTAGCTTAGTCTTGCTGGTGCCCTAGGGGGTCTGATGAGTGAGGGCCATCAGCGTGGCCCAAACAGGCAGGGACTTTACCCCTGCTGCCGCTTCTTCTGTGAGGCTAGTTTCTGCTGCTTCCCCTGTCACTTTACCTCCCCCCTCCCCCCCCCCACTTTCTCCTTTTCCCCACTGAACCCAACCCTCCCGTCCCACTACTTTGCCACCTTCCTTTCTCTTCCCTGTCCATCTCTCCCCCCCTCCCTCCCTCCCTCCCTCCCTCTCTCCTCTCATCCCGCCAGACCGCTCTCTTTCTCTCCTTCGAGCTCAAAAACTTTGACCTGGCTGTGGCCTACACCATCTCCGCTGCTGTCTTCGCCTACTTCTCCAAGCTCTACTCTGCGTGAGTACTAAAATGATGTGAGGACCCTCGTTGCATGACGTGAGGACCCTCGTTGCATGATGTGAGGACCCTCGTTGCATGATGTGAGGACCCTCGTTGCATGATGTGAGGACCCTCGTTGCATGACGTGAGGACCCTCGTTGCATGACGTGAGGACCCTCGTTGCATGACGTGAGGACCCTCGTTGCATGACGTGAGGACCCTCGTTGCATGACGTGAGGACCCTCGTTGCATGATGTGAGGACCCTCGTTGCATGACGTGAGGACCCTCATTCATTGCATGACGACTCATCACGGTACTACCCCTTGCAATGGCCCACACCATCTCTGCTACTGTCTTCGCCTGCTTCTCCAAGCTCTACTCTGCGTGAGTGCCTGCATTGCATGATGATCCACAACGACTTTTGAGGTGCCTCAAAAGTCATGATGATCCACAACGGTATGACACATTGTACTGTACACTCATACTCGTGATAACCTTTGTTCGTCCTTCACATATCCCCTCCTTCCCTCCCCCCTCTCCCGAGTCCCGCCCCTTTCCCCCCTTCCCCTTCCCCGCTTTGCCTTCAGCAACCAGGCCATGATGAACGCCAAGCAGAACTTCCTCTTCTCCCTTCTGCCCCCGCCCTCCCCCTCCACACCCTCCACCCCACGACCGCTCCCCAATCTTCAGCTACCAGAGCAAGATGGCGGCCTACAACCAAGCGATGATGAACGCCATGTACGCCAAGCAGCTGGACAGCGGCAACGGCACGCTGCTCAACATCTTCCACCAAGTCATCGAGCAGGAGGTGCGTGGTGGGTGGGGGGGAGAGTTGGGGGGGGGGGGTGTGGGGTGGGTAGGTTGTGTGCGCATGGCATGGCATTCAGCTGACATGGCGCGCTGCTCAACATCTTCCACCGAGTCAGCGAGCAGGAGGTGAGATAGAAACGTGACATGGAAGCACACGAACCTCATGATTGTGACGTTAGAAGATGCCAGTAAGGCCCAAAGCTCGAGACTGATACAATGGAGTACACTTGTATTCTCGTACACCCTAATATTGTTGTTGTTGCGTTATTGTTTGAATGGCTCTGCTGTGCAGGTGAAGGAGGTTATCATATCCTTCTACATTCTGATGACCCAAGGCAAGGCAACACTTCAGGTCAGAGGGTTCCTTCCTTCCGCTTTTCTTCCGTCCTTCTCTCTCTCCCTCCCTCCCTCCCTCCCGCCCTTCCTCCTTCCTTCCTTCCCTCCTTCCCTCCCTACCACCCTCTATCTGATTTGGTGGGCGCTCCCATGCAGTATTGTGCAGTGATATCGACGCTAAGACGGGGTGGCTAGTGTCCCACTGCTTTTTGTTCTCCGTGCATGTCTCAGGAGCTGGACGAGCGCTGTGAGGACCTGATGGCATCTGAGTTCAGCGAACAGCTCGACTTTGACGTCGCGGATGCCTGCAACAAGCTCACAGCTCTCGGCCTCGTCACTAAGGTACGTCTTGAGCTTTCCCAAAGCTTTATTCCGCAAGTTTCGCCCTGATGGCGTCTACTCTGGGTTCAGCGAGCAGCTCGACTTTGGCATCGCTGATGCCTGCAATAAGCTCACAGACCTCGGCCTTGTGATGAGGGCAGGGATCTCACCGTTTGGCCTGTAACAGAAGTGTGTTGTACTGCCATGGTTTGCTTTCCAGAAATCTCCAATGCACGCTCATCCCTGTCAGTTGCAGCCTGAACTGGTTAGTTGCTGGTAAAAACCGCTTGCATCTCGCAAACTGCTCTCTGTCCCCCCTCCCCCCCTCCCGTTGCAGGACTCTGCTGGGCTCTACTCCCCATGTCTCTCAAGCGAGCCAATGGTTAAGTAGCTTAGTTTTGAGACGTCTCATAACTTCTCTATCCCCCCTCCCCCATCCCATTGCAGGACTCTGCTGGTTTCTACTCCCCCGTGTCTCTCAAGCGAGCCAATGAAATGATCGGCGTTACCACCGAAGAGATCATGACCAAGGTCGTCCCTGCATAAGTCAGCCATAACTGTTGCTCGCCGAGTCTACATGGCAGCAAGATTGGGGTTCCGAATCGACTTGAGACACACCAGTCTACATGGCTGAATGATTGGCGTTACCCGAGTCACCGAAGAGATCATGACCAACGTTGTCCCTGCATAAGGCAGCCGTTTGAAGCATCATTCCACCACCCCCATATCACTGTCGACACATTCCAAGTCCCTCACACCACTGTTGGCACGATCCCATAGCCACCACCGTTGGCACATTTCAAAACCCTCACTCCACCACTGTTGGTTGCCATGCACCGGTACTAAATCTCTGGCTCCACCGTAAGAAGCACAATCCACTATCCGTACACCCCCTTTGTCACATTCCACAACCCCTCGCACCACCGTTGGCCCACCCAAATACCCTCACACCAAAATTGCCCAACCTTTGCACCACTGTTGGCCCATTCCAATACCATTCACCCTCATCAGAAGTACATTCCACACCCCTCGCACCACAGTTGGTTGCACATTCCACCATCCTGTCACCACTACTGTATTAGTAGCAAGAAATACGCCTTTTTGTGTGCCACTTGTGTGGTAGTGCTAACTCTGGTTTGAGCAGTTTTGCCCCCGTTTATGTAGCAAGCATTTGCTCTGTACTGATATGCAAGCTTGTTTAGTTGGATGACTCATTGGCCCATTGCTTACATGACACTGGGATGTCCTCTGATACGGCAGGTCCAAGGGGCCACGACACGATGAAAGTTGTGTGACTATTTTGCACACATGTCGGTTCAATGACAGTCACTATATCTATGTACATGCTTCCATAAAGAAGCTAAAGAGGCTTCCAACTCTTCAATAGGTACTATGACTCCTCTGTTTCGCCAACTCCCAACCCGTCTTCACATGACTTCAAGATCTTGCATGAAATCCGCTTGCTAAGCAGAATCCGCCATGTCGAAGTCAAAGTCGAGCTCTGTTCCTCAGCTGAAGCGGCTGAACGGCTCAAATCCCGCGATGGATGGCTCAGATTCCTCGCTGGACGGCTCAGAATGTGATGATACAAGTCAACGTGGCAATTTCGAGCAGATGAAGCAAAGCGATCGTCCATGTGCATGCAGAGCATGCTCACTCCCTGTGCGTCCGTCATCCTTTACTGCTTTGACTAGACGGAAAGCTCGGGCAGGGAGGGCCGTGACCGTGAGTTGTGACGAATCCAGCGGTACGTCTTAGTATACGTTGTAGTTGCTCGGTAAGTTGAACAAACTTGTCCCGCAGAAGCTAGCTCGTAGCTGGAATCCTGGGTATGGGTTATGACGGGTTAAGAAGAGTGTCTTGAGAGTGATGTTGAAGCTCGTCTTAGACCATCAGGCGATGTATCGCATACTAGACTAAGCTCGGCCCACATACAGGTTCTTGACGGCACGAAAACTGTAGAGTGTTCCTCAGTGACACTTGGGCGGGCCCAAGAGCCATTGCGTGTGTACCAACGCCCGAAGAATCAACGAACGTTGCTAAATGGCCTCGAGCTAGCTGTTTGCTGTAACCCCCCTAGACCCTGCCGCCGCTCTGTCCTCCGATGCGTTTTGGCGCTCTGAAAACACCAACAGCCACGGAGCACACAGAAACAACCCAACCAGGAAACCGCCGTGTACTTTCGAAGGAAAAGGCGGCCATCCCGTTGGGCCCAGACCCAGAGCCCCAGAGGGAACCTTTCCGCATTTTCGAGGCTACCCCCCAACCCAACAGCCTTGAAAGGCCAAAAAGAATCTTTCCACGTCATTGGCAGCTGAACAGTCAGCCATGGGACAGTTGAACTAAAAGAATATTTCCACGTCATTGGCGGCTGAACAGTTAGCCATGGGACAGTTGAACTGAGGGGACCACGCCCCACCCCACCACTTTTTTGCATAAATGGAGCACATGTTTTTTCTCATTATTGCGAAATACCAACTTACAAAGGTTATCCTAAAATAGGCCATTACAATAGGCATAGGTTCATACATACCATTCATACTTCACACTGGCATTATGACTATTAGACAGTAGGTTGTCAACCAAACTGAAGGAAATAGCTCCACTCCATACACTATCCCACTTATCTCCAACATCCCCTGTACTCCATCTTTACAAGTACCACGAAAACCTCTACCCACTGTACACTTGCATGATGCCCGGTACACACCAAGAGCACTCATTCACTCTCCAACAATCCAAACAATTGCCACATCCTCCCTTCCCTCCCCGCAACCACTGGCACATACTGCCTTTTGTCCTCTCTTATCTGCAAAAAAACAAGAACCTCACGCCTAATACCCACCAACACTTCACACTTGTTCCCCATGACGGCCATTATCATCATGTGTGCCATGTGCATCGTCGCCAACATGCATCCTGTGCATGGCATGTCCATGCATGTCATGGTCATGCAGTGAGTGCTCCCCATGAATGCCATGGCCATGGTCATGCAATGAGTGCTCCCCATGCATGCCATGGTCATGGAATGGAAACTCGTGGGAGGGCGAGGATGAATGGTCGTGGTACAGATCCGAGAGGCTGAAGCGGCGCTCCAGATGGGGCATGGGCATGTCAGGGGAGGTGTGCATGGGCATGTGCATTGGCATGTGATTGGACATGTGGGTTTGAATGTGAGACGGCATGTGCATCGCTGCTTGCATGTGCATGTCATGTGACGTGTCGTGCGGGTGCTGAAAGTCCTGGTGGCCGTGCATGTGCATGTTGTACTGTGGCATGCCATGACGCACATCATAGGGCATCCCATGCGGTAGCTCACGGGACATGCCATGAGGTAATGCATGAGTGTCAATGTCACGACGGTTACCACCATCACCACCATCACCAGCAGCACCAGCAGCACCAGCAATTGGTGAAACAGCAGAAGCAGGAGCCGCACCAGAACCAGCACCAGCAGCATCAAAATCAGCACCAGCGCCAACCACCAGCACCAGCACCAGTGCCAACACCAGAACCAGCACCAGCAGAACCCAACGGGCCGTAATGTGGAGAGGCAGGGGCGAGTGGGGGAGGAGGGCGAGGGGCAAGAAGCGGGGGCGGATGCATCAAGTGCTGCTGCTGCTGCTGCTGCTGCTGCTGCTGCTGAGGCTGATGGTGGTTCGGGTAAGAACCGGGAGTGCCAAGCGGAATTGCCTCTCCCTTGGAACGGATGCTAGATGAAACAGGTGCGAAAGCGGACCCAGCAGGTGCGAACGCAGCACTCGCATAAGCACCACGAGCGGCAGAATCACGAGAAGCAGCAGCAGCAGCAGCAGCGAAGGGGGAAGCAGCAGCCGCAGCAGCGGCGGCGGCGGCGGCGGCGGCGGCGGCGGCGGCGGTGGCAGCAGTGGCGGCAGTCGGTTGAAAGGAGAGAGACGATGCAGGCACAGAGACTCCCTTAGGGAATGGGGATGAAACGACCGGCACAGGTGCAGGGACAGAAGCCGCAAGGGCAGAAGCAGCAGGGACAGGCACAGGGGCAGAAGCAGCAGGGACAGAAGCAGCAGGGACAGGCGTAGGGACAGAAGCAGCAGGGACAGAAGCAGCGGCAGCAGAAGCAGCAGGCGCAGAGGCAGCAGGGGCAGCAGCAGCAGGGGCAGAATCAGCAAAGGCTGCTGCAGGTGCTACAGGTGCGGCACCTGTTGCCCCTGCAGCAGCACGCGTACGGGCCCTTTCCCTCGCATGAATCCGTGACTCCACCCGCCTTCCACCACCCACACCACCCCCGCCCAACCCACCGCCACTCCCACCAGCAACACCAATCCCACCCATCCCCCCACCACTTCCCCACTTACCCGGAACCTCGAGCCTTTGAGTCCTCCTCCCTTCCCCTGCCTGTTCCTCCCCTCCTGCCCTCGAAGATGCTCGCACCACCCTTTCCCCCCCGTCCCCGGAACCTTCTGCATGCCTCTGCTGACGTGGCAAGCCGGCTTCTACTTCCCTCAGCACATCACTGCTGGTGGTATTAGCGCCACCGGGGGTCGGCCAAGAAGCAGAGCCATACCCGCTTTCCCCATGCATGCTTCCTGGCATAACACCTCCTGCCATCAAACCTCCCATATCGTTGTATGCATCACCTCCTAGTGTAAAGCTCTCTGGGGAGGAGTGAACCACTGGTGTGAAACCCTCAAGTGTGTGACCCTGTGGCATGTAACCACCTGGCGTAAAACCTGTTGCTGTGAAACCCTCGTGTTGGTAACCCTCTTGTCTGTAACCCTCTGGTGCGAAACCTCCCCTGCTCGCCCCTGCTCTTCCCCTAGGAGACGAGGGCTCACGACGAGGCAAGGCCAAGGCACCTGGACCAACAGAAGGGACACCTGAGGGTCTGAGTGATGGAGCACCTGAGGGGGCACCTGGTGTTCCACCTGGCAACAGGCGCACAGGCGCACCTGAGGGGGCAACAGGCGCACTAAGAGTCCCCTTGGAGTTAAGAAGCGAAAACTCCACATCCCAGGGGTATTGGAGGGGGGCGGTCGGAGAGGGGCGCGAGGCAGGGGGTACGGAAGCAGGTGGGGGGTGCGCAAGTGGGGCTGGAGGGAAGCCAGAAGCATTGGGACAAGAACTGGCGGCGGGAGGAGGAAAGGGCGGAGCAGCAACAGGACGAGGAGGAGGAGCAGCAGCAAAAGCAGCAGGAGGAGCAGGAGGAGCAGGAGGAGCAGGAGTAGTAGCAGCAGGAGGAGGAGCAGAAGGAGAAGCGGAGTCAGCAGCAGCAGCAGCAGCAGCAGCAGCAGCAGCAGCAGCAGCAACAGGAAACCGACGAGGAGGCACAGACAACCTCAGTGGGTGAGGGGATGACTGCTCCTGGTGTGGCTGGCGCTCCTGGTGTGGCTGGCGCTCCTGGTGTGGCTGGCGCTCCTGCTCGCGGTGTCTCTCACCCACTGTGTCCCTGGGAAGGCCCATGGGTGATTTTTGAGTCGACTCAAAAATCTCCCTGGGAAGGCCCACGGCCACCTCCTGCCGCCCTTCAGCCTTGCTCTGAGGTGCCTCATGAAAGGCCTCGTACCTCCCTCCTCCCCTTGCATATATTCCTGATGGTGCTGCTGCTGCTCCCTGAACTGCTCCTGCTGGTCGTGGTGGTGGTGGTGGTGGTGGTGAAGGAATGCCCGCAAGACCTGGGAGGCTGCTGGGAAGTACACTCGGGTAACTGCCGGGGTAAACCACCCCAGGAAAATAGCTGGCTGCAAGATGTCCTGAGGGGAAGTACCCGTACAAATGCCTCCCTGCTCCAACTGTACCTCCAATTCTTGCTCCTCCTCCTCCTCCTCCTGCTTCTCTTGCTCTTTCTGCTCCTATGGTGTGTGATCCTAGCCCTATGGCTGCTGGAGGTTCGCCAAAGAATGCTAGTGGCAAGCTGTACGCGCCATATGCACCAGCTGCAGAAACTCCGGGGTACAGAGGGGTACCAGTTCCGCCAGGGGAGGCAGCAGCAGCAGCCGCCGCCGCAGCTGCAGCTGCAGCAGCAGCAGCAGCAGCGCCAGCGGAAGCAGCAGCAGTAGGATCAGGAGGAGGGAAGGTGGAGTAGGGAATAGCGCTGCTGTAACCAGCTCTGTAGGTGTACGTGTTACCACTGCTGCTGCTGGCAATGCCACGAGGTGCGGCATAGGAGAGTGGGGGGAGTGGCAGCTTTGGAATCACTCCCTTATCCTCGATATAGAGTGCCTCAGGAGGAGGAGGAACAGCAGCAACAGCACCTATATCAGCACCGCTAGGGCCAACCCCACCAACAAACCGAGCACCCCCACCACCCCCACCCACACCCCCACCCGCACCACCACCACGGCCACCACCGCCACCAGCAGTCTCCTCTTCCGCACCTAGCCCCGCCCCTCCTTCCGAACCTCCCACCGAGCCAGGTCCTCCCGAACGTGCAGGCTGCTTCGGCAGCCGAGCTATCGCATGCTGCGCGTGGTACAGCAGCCACTCCAGAGCAGCTGAGGGGGTATCCGCGCCGAGCCTATCTTGCACATCATAGAAAGACGTAGCTGCCGGCGCCGATAAGCGCACCCGCCTATCGCGCATGCCCCGGGCCGTTGGCACCTTGGCATGGCGGTCCCGAACTGACGACGGACCTAGCGCCGAGGCTCGGCCTGCTGACGAGGTTCGGATGGCAGATGTAGTGACTCCCTTCCCTTCTCCTGCCCCTTCCTCCCCTGCTGCTCCAATTGTGCCGCCTGGCGAAGCAGCAACAGCCCCTCTGGTGACAACTAACCCTCTTCCTCCTCCTCCTCCTCCTCCTCCTGCTTCTCCTCCTCCTCCCCCACCTCTTCCTCCACTTCCTTCTCCAGGTACCCCCAAAGGACTTGGACTGCCGTGCTTCTGTCTCTTTCCAGAGCCTCCCCCTCCTCCTCCCCCTCCACCTACTCTTCCTCCCCCTCCTCCTCTTTTTCCCCCTCTTCCCCGTGTGCGCTCCCCGTGGTGTAGCTCCCCTTCCCCCTCCGCGCCCCCCTCCAACTCCTCCTCCCCTTCCTCCTCCCGCTCTCGCTCGGCCGACATCCCTCCTCCAACGCTGTGCGCTGATACCACACGCTGGGGCTTCTGTATCTCACGTTGCAAGCCCCACTGCTGCTGCTGCTGCTGCTGCTTTTGCTGTTCCTGCTGCGTCTGCTGCTGCTGCTTCTGCTGTTGCTGTTGCTGCTGCTGCTGCTGATCCCTGTGGCTGTACAAAGCAGAGGGCTGGTGCGGCGCTGACGTGCTGACGGCGGGTGCTGACGTGCCCATGGCTACTGCTGACGTGGACGACGACGTTGCAGCGCTGGAAGGATCTGGAGGGACCGACATATTTGCCTCCCGCTCGTCACTGACACGTGGCACGCGGTAGTAACAGGAAAGAATCTCCGTCGGCTTAGAAACTGCAAGATCTTACGACCTACTATCTCGTAGATATACAAATAGTTGCGACTGCGCTGAGACCGTCTAAGTGACTAGATACAAAGGCGAGTCGAGACCCGTGGAAGAAGCGACTTTCTGACTTCCGAAGAGATTGACCCGGAGTGAAAACTTTTGGCGCGAAGCAACGCGAAGTGATGGCACGTAACTGGATGAGATGTAACGGGGCGGCTTGTAACGGAGGGCGAGGGCAAGGACGGCTTGACCAATAGAAGTGTCCGCGCGAACCACAGCGTGAACCACGGCGGGATCAACGCGGAGCCTGGAGTTGGATCGAGGACGGCAGCTATGCTGACGGACCGGCACCCGGGTGACGCTCGACGATTCCCCCCCGTTATTAGCACGGACTTGTCGTGCGACGGATCGATCGCAGACTCGTGCGACAGCGACTGCGATGGATGATCGTAAGACTGCCTGTGCGACGGCTGCCGACGCGTCAGCCAGCTTGCTGACTCAGCCGAGAGCCTGTTTCCTGTCGCCTCAGATGATGACGGGGGGAATTGCGCGATACGCGGCTGGTCCAGAGCTGCGGAAGTGACGGCTCGTAACGATGCTTCAAGCACCACTGCAGATGAAGACGACGAAACGGTCGAAAAAATGACGGGAGAATCTTCCGAGATACGAGCCGCTGACACCACCTTCCAGGAAACACCGCCGCCGGCAACGGCTTTGATCGTTCGAATCGGAATCAACTTGCTTCGACTCGCCGTAAAACGTTGCTGCTGATGCTGCTGACGCTGCTCACACTTCTGACGCTGCTCACGGCGCTGGCTCTGCTCTTGCTGCCGATTTCCGATCGATCGACGCTGCTGACGCCCCTCTGGAAATCCAGGGGAAGCGCGGCGGCCGCGGTTGGTCATTTCCCCGGCCCTGCCTGGGGACCTTAGCAGATTAAAGATGCGATGCTTGTACTACTAATTGGGCTGAGGTAAAACTGGAGGCTCCGATCTTAGCTGAAGCTTCGACTTGCTCCCAGGAGGGTTCATGAGGAGACTCGGACGCACTCACCGAGTCCCTCCTGGGAAGCAGAGCCGACCGGAAAATCCTCCTAGGGAAGAAGTCAACTATTTCAGTCAGATTCTAGTCATTCTGGTCTGTAGCTTCGCTAAGGCGTCGTAAAGTCGACTAAGTATGATGGTGTCGAAAAGGGAGACTGGTTGAGCCGCGACTCTACTACAAATAAGTGGGTGGTTTCACACGCAATGTTGAGCCCCTGACTCGGAACGGGCCGAGGGTTTACTACGTCAGTCTGTGACGAAATCGAGTCACCAGGAGGCCCATCACCAGAGATATTGGAAGCAGTAAGGCTTGACGAGGGTCTGGCGTGCGGTGAAGCTGACTGGCGATAGCCTACTGCTGACGTGCGAAAGTGGAGGAAGAAGGGGTTTAAAAAGGAATGGAAGCGACAGAGGAGCGTGAGAAGCGGGAAAAGCTGAGAGGGAGCTTGATGGGTGAATGAGTGATGAAAGCCCAAGGTAGGAAGACAGCTCAGCGTGGAAGGGTACTGTGAATTTACAATGGCGGGCTGAAATGCAATCTCAAGGCTATGAATGGGCAGTGTTGAGTTCGGAGCGCCTAGAGATAGGAGAATGGGGCAGGGCAATATAGTCTGGGCAGTTGGGAGAGAGGGGAGGGCCACGAAATGTGAAGAGAAGGGAATGGAGCGCGGTTCGAGCGTGCATGACGGCAGACGTGAATTCAGGAAGGAACTCGCCGGATTGACGGAAGGAAACTGGACCGGCTCACCTGCCAGCCAGCACAATGGTGGGAGTTTGGTCAGAGAAAAGGCTGAAGCATGCAGGAAAATGGGAGTGTAGAGCTTGTTGCCGCGTGTTGTTGACGATTTAGATAATATCGGGCAGCCGAAGGGTGAAGCCCTTCACAAGAGTTGGTAGGACATCGTGCCCTTACCACCAATAGGAACGGACCAGCATGGAGTCATGCCGTCGTGTCAGGAAATGAGCGACTCGCTGCCAGCTGTGGATGAAGAACCTTGAGACATGACGGTCGTCAAGAAACCTCGGCCGGAGCCGTTCGTCAAATCCTTATATTTCCCGTTCGTGAACCGAGAGTAGCCATATAAGCTCCAGTAATTCTGTCGCTACCGCTTGTTGTGGTCCCCGCAAACGCTCAACCGGCTTCGGGAGAGGGGACGTTTTCAGGCTGGAAAGGCCGCAACGAGTCCCATTTCTGTTGCCCAACCACACGTGTAATTTATTTAGGCGCGCAGGGACCTGGTGGTGACGCGGCAAAAGACGTGGACAGAGTTCCAAGACCCAGGGAATTGCACGTGGTGACATCTACTAGCCTGCAGAAAATCTTCCAGCAGCGCAAACTCATGCTATTTTCGCTTTAGGATCCTCCACCATTCTCGCTGGGTGTATTACTATGCTAGCGGCATCCAATCTAACAAAGTCCCACCACTTTTCTCAGGCCTATAGAGACCATGAGAAGAGTCGTACCCTGTGTTCTAGGTTGGTACTTTTTGTTAGCACAAAATCAGGACGGTGTTTTTCCCCTTCCATACCTTAAATATATGCATGCCTACAACAAAGCCTCCTTCATGGGGCATGGTGTTTTCAAAAATATTACAAATCATATAATGAAGAATCGCACGAGCAATGCACGCCAAAGCACAGTGTGAGGGCTCCCTGAGGTGTGACATATTCGCGGAGCATTGTTGTTCAACTGCGATAGACTTGGTGTTTGACACATTTGGATGCCCTCTTGAATTCAATGTCCAAAAACACACTCATCGACAAGCTAGGCTCAGATCAGAGTCATCCCAAGCCCAGTTGACCCTGCTCACGGGCCTCATTCTCAATGAACCATTTCTCCGCGGCGAACTTAACATCCTGCACAAGCTCAATAAATAGTATGTTACTATAGCACCGCCTTGCCTGACACACACAACAAAACGAGCAGGAAAATGCGAAATGATGGTAGGTTGGACCTTCATGCGATCAGGTACTGCACCTTTAGAGGGACGTGATTCTCTCGCGCAATTGCAGCACACGGCTCATACTCCGCTGTGGCTGTCACCTGCACGGAGAGTGACGAGCTAACAGATTGAGATGTGTGGAAAATGAAAAGAACGTTCCGCTAAAAAGATGGAAGGTGAAAAAAAAGTTATAGGATTTTTTTTAAATCGGAACCATGGCTCACCAGCTTGCCCTGCAGGTATCCCGCTTTGACCGGCACCCATCCCCAGGGCGTGAGAGCACTCTCTTCAAGCCTTGCCACTGCCACACGCTCACATGGTACTATGCGCACTCCCAGCGTGGTGGTTTCCTGGAAGTAGAGGGTGAGATGGGGGCCATGGCAGCATGGGGATTGGCACTCAGAAGCAGTCTAGAGGCCCCTTTACTACTCTCTATCAGCATGTGAAAGGTTTCCAACAGGATTTGAGATTAGGGAATAATAAACGGCACTTACGCTGAGAATGACGAGACAGCGTGCTGTTGCTCTGCTCTGGTTGACTTTTGAGTCGACAAAACTCGCCTGGTTACAATGTCACACGAAGCTTCTGAGTTGACTCGAAAGCCACGCTTACATTGGGAGTGATGGGGCAACACATCCTTCCATAAGGGTCTCTTTTGAGTCGACTAATAAGGCAACTCAAATTCCTCGGAAACCATGTGTACATTGAGATTTATGGACAGCTTGTTGTCGCACTGGCTGCAGTCCGCTTTGAGTTGACTCATAAACGAAAATGTAAACCACTCACATGAGAGTGATGGACAGCATGTTGTCGCACTGGCTGCGATCGAGATTACATTTGAGTCGACTCGGAAGTCACCTCAACAGCCACCTCAAACGCCACCTTTTGAGCTGACTCAAAAGCCACCTCAAAAGCCACCTTGAAGCCGCCTCGAAACCCACACTCACATGAGAATCATGTACAGCACATTGTCGCTCTGGGGTGAGTCCTGAGTTGACTTACAAGTCACCAAAAAATCCGCTAAACCAATGCTTCCATTGAGAATGATGGACAGCATGTTGTCGCACTGGTGGCGAATGAGACAACTTTTAAGTCGACTCAACAGCCACCTCAACAGCCACCTCGAAAGGTACGCTCACATTGAGAATGATGGACAGCATGTTGTCGCACTGGCTGCGATCGCACAGCACATGCAGCACCACGCCTGGTCGACCTTTCTTCATGATGGCCTGTGAGGGAGAAACAAAGGAGTTGGGGGGGGGGAGGGAGGAGGAGGGGGGAAGGGGTGCAGTGGCCCCTGCAACCGTACAGCACATGCAGCACCCCACGCCTGGTCGCCCTTTCTTCACGATGGCCTGTGTAAGGAGCGGATGGGGGGCGCGGGGGGGGCAGGGGGGGCCAGACGGCACAGAGGGTGACGGACGAGAGAGACGGCATGATGGGAGCTGTTTGCATCGCCTCACCTGCGTTGACTGATATTGAAACCCGTTAACCAGAATTGACTCAGGTTGACCAGCATTGACTCACGCTGACCAGCACTGACTCGCGTTGACCAGCATTGACCCCACTGACCAGCACTCACTCACGTGGACCAGCATTGACTCACGTTGACCATCCAGACATCAAGAGCGCCCGCAGATAGCAGCAGTTCCGACACATAAGCCAACTGCCCTGGGAAAAGGGGGAGAAAGAGAGGGGGAAGGGGGAAAAGAGGGGGGGGGGGGGGGGAGGGGAGGAGGGGGAGGGGACTTTATAGTCGACTCAAAAGTTATCCTGCAGATAGCAGCAGTTCCGACACATAAGCCAACTGCCCTGGGGATGGGGGGTTGGAGGCGAAGGGGGGGGGTTGGGTGGATGACTTCTGAGTCGACTCAAGAGCGCCCCCTGAGAGCAGCTGCTCCTTTTGAGGCGCCTCAAAAACGCTGAGAGCAGCAGCTCCGACACATAAGCCAACTGCCCTGGGAAAAGGGGGTTGGGGGGGGGGGGGGAAGGGGGGTTGGTTGGATGGATGACTTCTGAGTCGGCTCAAGAGCGCCCGCTGAGAGCAGCAGCACCGACACATAACCCAGCTTCCCTGGGAAAAGGGGGTTAGGGTGGGGGGTGGGGGGGGGGGGGGTAGAGGCGGGAGGGGGGAAAGGGAGGGCGGGGGTTGGGGGGAGGGGAAGAGGGGAAGGGGGGAAGGGGAGGTGTAATGGAAGGTGGAAAGGGGGAGGTTGAAAGAGTAGGGGGGTGGAAAGGGAAGCTTCAGACATGGGAGGAGGAGGGAGGGGGTTACAGTGGGGGTGATCCCTACGGAATGGAGCGACATGGAATGACATATGCATGGTGGCTAGTAGTGCCAGAAAAAGAAAGCTGTAACAAAATTTGGGAGCTTTTTAACGGGTCACTTTAAAAGGCGGCGAGGGAAATTTGAGGGAGGTACCTTCGAGAACGAGACTCACGATTTGTGGCGTGCTGTCGTCAATGTTCGTTTCTAGGGTTACCAGCTGCTCAACTGACAAGCCGCCTTCGCCAGGCGTGCCGCCACCACCCATGGCCGCTCTAACCCCAACAGCTCGTTTACGTCTCAACACCACGTCATCTGCTCTTTCAAAACCACCAGCGCGTGTATTAACAGAGATATGCGGAGAAAACCAGGCGGCGTTGCAGCCCCTGGCGGTGCTGTTACCGCTGCTGTTTTTGTTGAAGGTGTAACTGCTGGCACGGCTGCTCACGCTGCCGTGGGCACCCCTGATAGTATTTATATTTCGGCCGCTATGAGCCAGGCAACTGCTAGTTACGGAGAGGGACAACCCGAGGCGGCTAGCGCAAGCCATGGCGCGAGTTAGCGACGGTTGCGCGAAATACAAATTCCAGATTTAGCTCAGATGGAGCAAATTTGCGTCCCAGAAATGCCTGGCGGAAAATTTCTGTAGCTGGACCGAATTTTGATTTTGCGCTATTAGCTGGGCAGTGTTTGCGTTTTTCTAGTGCTTTCCGAATCGTGCATGTCTAAACAAAAGGGTTGATCCTACAATGTAGTGCAGGGGTTGTGGGTAATGTAGGGTGATCCGTGATGCAGCATTGGTGGAACATTTGTTTTTTCGAACGAGAACACCCTTGCCGTGTTCCCAGCCTCGTTAACCCCGCGCCGCAGGCCTCGAAGTTGCCAAACCAAACCTGCCCCTGTTGGTTGGGCCATGCCGGCATTCTCAAGGAACCAGCCGCCAGGTCATCGAATCAGCCCCTCGTCCCCTGCCTCCCCGTACCACCACTCCAGCTTTGGCGCCTTCTTGCCGCTTCTGCCGAGCCGAGCCCCTAGACGTGACGTCGAGCCTTGCAAGCTCCCCCTCCCCACCAACAATCACCTTAGCGACCACACCCCACAACCACAACAACCCGATGGCGACGTCACACCGTACTGACACCTTCAGAAACTTGCAGCACCGTGTAAACATATTAAGAATCGCATCGCACCGAACCAGTATCAATTTGAGAATTTCACAGAAATCGAGGGTCCGCGCCCTGAGAGACTCACACACCCTGAATCAAGACATTCCCCAGGCCGTCGCTTTCAAGTCTTGGCGTCGCCATCTCGTTTCCTTCTCGTGTGATCCGCCATGGCATCTCGTTGATACGGCGTCAACCATATAGCCGTCTCGTCTCGCTTCTTTCTCGTTTTCTCGTATTGCCGATTTGCGGATTTCAGCCAGAGCAGAGTAGACCCACGCTTTTCAGGCTACACGGTACAAGTATTCATTCTGGTCCTTTGCCAGCCTCTGCGGTTTTGGCTGGCCATTCTGTAACTCTCACTCCCGTCCCGTAGCCTTCTAGCTTCCAGACATTCCAAGATTAGCTGTGCAGCTTTCTGTTTGTCGTCAAGGACTGGATTGGAAACGGGGATCGACGCCTTCGCCTCCCTCTGCACTAGCATCAGTTGTTAGAGCTCGCACGAATCATAGCGAGTCACGAGAGGCACCGCACAAGGACCTCCTAAGTCGTTTGTGTTAGTGGCCGTATTCGTGAGATTCTCGCATGGGGCGCGAAGCTTCAGTTATTCCGTGTTTCTTTCCGTCCAGTGTTTTTCCTCCAGTGAGCCGTACCGCAGCGGTAATTCTCGGTTGAGCCAGGTTCATCGCTTGACACATTGACGGACACAAGGCTCCTCGCTGGGCCGTTCACCCGACAGCTCTTAGCTAAGAGCCGGGTTGCCGTCCCTGTCTGGTGGCTCGCTAAAGAGCCGCTTAGCCGACGGCTCGTGAAGAGCCGCTCAGTCGACAGCACTCAGGATGGCGCCTTGCGTCGCACCTGGCTTGAACGGCGAAGGCGGGGGAAGAGGGGACGCCGCCACGTGGCACGGTGTTGCCGGAGACCTGTCGGGAATCCCAAGGGCCGCTGATTGGTCAGCCGTCGTCGGGGATCTCCATGCTCGCAGCGATTCGCACCGTTGCCGTGATGGTGATGATAGTGACTATAAGGGACGGAGTGACAAGAAGGGACGCTGGTACGACTTTCTTGCTTATAGCGAGGAGCGGAGTGGGACGGGGTCGTCGTCGAGCTCAAAACGGCAGAAAGCCACGTCATCAGCTGCCGCGGTTACGGCGGCGAAGCTTGCGGGATTCGTGCTGATAGTTCTGATCGTGTGCTGCTGGCAGCTTTTGTCGCGACCTGAGGGATTCTTGGTCGGTGTGAATCGGGAGATTCTGGGCGGCGAACTGCACGTTGTGAGTCAAAGGGGGTCGGCACGGAGAGAGCTGCCGAGCCTTGCGATCCGAGGCTCATCGTCAGGCTCGGCGCACGGAGATGATGCTGGTTCGGCTGATGATGGTTCAGCTGGAACACTGTCGGTTACAGATGACACGGTAAATGGCATGCCCGTTTCAACTAGTGACAAGTCGGACGAACTTGAAACGCTTTCAGACGAGGCGCTATCCGGCGACGAGTCGTCCTCGCTGCCTGAAGCGGTAACTGAAACAGTCTCAGAAAACACTTTCACCGATTTGGACCTCCCCAATTCCAGCATTCCGTCTTCTGTCTCCTCCCAAACCGCGTCTCCAGCATCGGCAGCCCCTGAAGCTGGTGCAATCCCGGCGTCCCTCTCAGCTTCGGAACTAGCCTCGGTACCAGGCTCGGCAGTGTTTGGGGCAGCAGGGCAGCTTGCCGTGGCAGCGTGCATGGAGGTGCTGAGACTTGCTGCCGAAGCTGAGGCGGAGGCACGGCATCTGGAGGCTTTTGGCTTGGAAGATGAGCTACAGGCATGGGCAGGAAGCAGGGGGGCTGGGGGAAGTGACATTGAAAAAGGGCATTTTAACGAGGGCGAGGCAGCAGGAGAAGCAGAGGGGGCGGAGGAAGCAGAAGGTGCAAGGTCCGCAGCAACAGCAGCCGGGGCAGTGGCAGTGGCAGGGGCAGGGGCGGGGGCAGGGGCAGGGGCAGGGGCGGGGGCAGGGGGAAGGGGAGGAGCAGGGGGAGGGGAGGCGCCAGGGACACTTGGAGCAGCGGCAGAGAGAGAGGCAGCTGAAGCGGCAGCAGCAGAAGCAGTTGATGAGGCAGCAGCAGAAGCAAGCACAAAACCGGATGTTGGTGCAGTGGCGAATGAGTGCAGAGCTCTGATAAGGAGAGGTCTGGGGCACCTTGCAAAGCTTGCATCTGCCCAGGGTAGTAGCGGGATTGAAGTTCCATCTGCCCAAGAAAGGGAGGGGGCGGAGATTTTGCCTGCCCGTAAGCGTCAGTCGGACAAAGTGCATAAAGCACGAGGGGAAGGAGGAGCGGACGGTAATGAAAGAAGGGAGGATGGGGGAGTGGTGAGGGAAGTAAGGAAGGTCAGGAGAAGGCTGTTTGGACTGAAAGGGAAGGAGGAAGAGGAGGGAGATGAGAGAGAGGATGGAGAGGAGGGGGAGGGGGCAGGGCTAGGGGAAGGAAAAAGAGATGGAGAGGAGAGGGAGGTGGGAGAGAAGGGGGAGGTGGGAGAGGAGGGAGAGGAGAGAGAGGAGGGAGTGGAGGGGGAGGAGAGAGAGGAGGGAGAGGAGGGGGAGGGGGTAAGGCTAGGGGAAGGGAAAAAGGATAGAGAGGAAAAGGAGGTGGGAGAGAAGGGAGGGACGTTGGATGGGCGAAGAGAAAATGGCGATGCAGAGGGTCGTAGGCAGGGAGGAAGGAGTGGGAGTAGGAAGGCCGGGAAAGGGAAAGGGAAAGGGAAAGGGGCAGGGAAAGGAGAAAGGAAAGGGGTAAGGAAAGGGGCAGGGAAACGGGCAGAAAAAGCGGCAGGGAAAGGGGCAGGGAGAGAGAGCAAGAGGGAGAAGTCCCATGCTACTAGGACATCTATGGCAGCAAGCCATGCTGCCATCGTCCCAAGTGTCCCAAGTGCCATAGTGTGCAGCGACGCATGGGAGAGGGACCTGGTCTCTGGGCTGTCCGGCGACGAGAGTCAGAAGCGCCAAACCCGAAGCCTCGTGTCTTCCGAGCCTGTCTACTCGCCCGAGCCTGTCCACTTGCCCGAGCCTCTGCAGGCGCGGCATATACTGGAGGCCCTCCGAAGCAACAAGACGAGCGCGGAGCGAGTGAGGGAGGGGGTGAGGCGAGTGTGCCAGAGAGTGAGGGAGATAGAGAGGCAGCTATTACATGAGCAGCAGCTGTTGAAATCAGCCGTGAACACAAGTGACAGCAGTAGCAGTAGCAGCAGCAGTGGCAGGAACACTGGCAGCACAGACCTTGGCGTGGAGGCATCAGCTGCATCTGGGGGAGGTCCTATCTGGCCTGAGTCCTGCTGGCCCATACCCTATGTGCCCTTCTCCAGTCCCAAGGTATGACTGACGTTCTGAAATATGGGAGTGTGTTGGACGCGTGGGAGTGTGTCGGACGCGTGGGAGTGTGTTGGACGCGTGGGAGTGTGTTGGACGCGTGGGATTGTGTCGGGCGCGTGGGAGTGTGTTGGACGCGTGGGAGTGTGTTGGACGCGTGGGAGTGTGTTGGACGCATGGGAGTGTGTTGGACGCGTGGGAGTGTGTTAGACGCGTGGGAGTGTGTTGGACGCATGGGAGTGTGTTGGACGCGTGGGAGTGTGTTGGACGCGTGGGAGTCTGTTGGACGCATGGGAGTGTGTTGGACGCGTGAGAGTGTGTTGGACGCATGGGAGTGTGTTGGACGCGTTGGAGTGTGTTGGACGCGTGGGATTATGTTGGACGCGTGGGAGTTTGTTGGACGCATGGGACCGCTTCCCCCTTCCCCATCCCCGCTTCCCCCTTCCCCATCCCCGCTTCCCCCTTCCCCATCCCCGCTTCCCCCTTCCCCATCCCCGCTTCCCCCTTCCCCATCCCCGCTTCCCCCTTCCCTTCTCTTCCCCAGGTGTTGACCAACCGTCGCTTCCTCGTCCTGGCGTTCACCAGGGATCAGACCAGCAACGCCAGGACTCATCTGCTAGAGGCTGCTAGACTCACGGCTCTCCTCTTTCCCCTGCAACCCCACCCACCCACCCACACCCACCCTCACCCACCCGCACCCATCCACCCATCAGGTGTTCACCAACCCTCGATTCCTGGTACTGGCGTTCACCATGGAGCAGACCAGCAACGCCAGGACCCACCTACTAGAAGCAGCTAGGTTAGCCAGATTAACAGGGCGGGTGCTGGTGCTGCCCAAGGCGGGGTGCAGCCGGCTGGCTGTGGGGCGACAGCACCCTCTCTGCTCCTACTGGGACCTCTCACGCCTCACTCACCCCTCTCCGCACTCTCCCTCCCAAGGCTCCAGCCTCATCAACCCAACCCCCGCCGAACCTGCCTCCACCGGTCCTACCCCCACCAGTCCTGCCTCCACCGGACCTACTTTTACTGACCAAACCTCCAAAGGTTTCAGCCCCATCAACCCATCTCCCATCAATCTAAACTCCACAGATGCCACCCTCACCAGTTCGCCCTCCCTGTCGCTCCCCATATCCCACCTTCCCGTTGATTGGGTCTCCCCGGATCTCTACCTCCTCCTCGCCCGCTCCTCCCTCCCCCGCAACCCGTCTGTTGGCTTCATGTGTGTCGAAACTCCGTCCCTCAACCGACCGTGCTTCGACTTCGGTAAGCAGTTAGGCTCTCCCCATCCCTCAACTCCTCCCCCTCACCCCTCGTCTACCACCTTCCCGTTGACTGGATCTCTCCGGATCCCTACCTCCTCCTCGCCCTCTCCTTCGTCCCGCCCAACCCCTCAATTGGCTTCATGTGCGTTGAGAAGCCTTCCCTCAACCACCCCTGCTTCGACTTCGGTAGGCATCTCTTCCTCTCCCGCTCCTCCCTGTTCTCCAAACCTTGGTGCCGGTGAGTGCATCTCGCTCTCCCTCCCCCCCAACCCCACTGTTGGCTTCATGTGGGTTGAGACGCCTTCCCTCAACCGACCCTGCTCCGACTTAGGTAAGCTCTTTTACCTCTCCCGTTCTCCCTGTTCTATAGACCCTTTCTGAAATGTGATATGTCTTTTATAATTCTTAAAAACCTCTCCCGTTCTCCTTGTTCAATAGACCCTGTCTGAAATGTGCCCAAAAGCACGAATCTCCCTCCCCGCAAACCCTGTGTTGACTTCATGTGTATCGAAACACCGTCTTCGACCACCCATGCCAAAAAGCACTCCTTTTCCCCTGGATTTTTTGCCCTGTTTTGCTCTAGCTTTCTGTGTTTTGTAGCGTTCGCTCTCCCCTTTTTCCCACTGGGTATGGCTCCTGACGACCCAGAAGCAGGGCTAGCGGCTGTGAGACGTGTCTATCCACGTATCACCAGACGTGCATCTGAAAACCCCATGCATTGACATTGTTACCACAGGGGAGGTAGCATCTGGGCTGGGTGCGATCCTCACCTACTCTCTCGGCCATCTCCCCACGCGCACCAACACTCAACTCATCACGGTCCGCAAGGCCTCCCGGTTCCTCAAAGCCTTCCAGAAATGGTAAGCCCTTTCAGAAACGGTAAGCCCTTCCAGAGGTGTTATGCCCGTCGAAAAAATGATCACCTATATTGTTTTGAAGTAAAGTCAACCTCATCTACCTGCAGGCTCGGTATTCTGGCTTCTTGCTTTTCCTCTCGTCCGCCCATCCCATTCTTCCACGCACCACATGGATGTGGTGGTGTGGGTGAAGAGGAATAAGCCATCCGCCATCCGCCCTCCGACCCAGCCCCTTGTGCTGCTCACCCACCCTTCCCCCCTCCATTCACTCCCTTATCTGCCCATCCCATTTTTACAGGCACCATGTGGATGTGGTGATGTGGGTGAAGACGACTTAGACGAGGATGGCCATCCGCCCTCCGACCCAGCCCCTTGTGCTGCTCACCCACCCTTCCCCCCACCCCCCTCCATTCACCACCGTATCTGCGCTCCCATATTTCCAGGCACCACGTGGATGTGGTGGTGTGGGTGAAGACGACTTACAAGAAAATGGCCATCCGCCCGCCGACCTCCGTTCTCGCGCCCTCCCTCCTCCCCTACCACCCGCGCTGGTTTGCTCTGGCACAATCCATCGCATCGGCGCTCCCTCGTCCGCTCATCGCCCTCCACTTCCGCTCCGAATACATCGCATGGCTTGTGGTGAGTCCGCCAAACCAGGACCCTCTGCCTCTACGGGCCTAGTCATACCTCCCCCACTCATACCTCTCCCACTGCTTAGCTTTTCCCTCCCTGCGTCGTGCTTCCACCACCTCTCCTCAGCAGAGAGATTGCTCGACCCCCCCTGCCCCCTCCGCCTCTCTTTCTGGTCTCTCCGAACCTCTCTGGCTGGCAGGGCGGAAAGCTGCACCAGGAGCAGAAGATAGGCAAGCAGATGCACTGGTGCGTGGCAGAGGCGGCTAGAACTGTACACGAGGTGCGGCAGCAGCTCATTGGTGGGGGGGAGGGGGGTGAGCGGGGGGTGAGTGAGGAGGGGGGGGGTTCAGTGAAAGGGAGAGCAGTCCGGAGTGACTCACCTTCTCTATCAAGTGACCCTGCTGGACTGGCTCGGCAACTGCTGAGAAAGATATCAACGGCCAGTGCTGAGACTTCTCAAAGCAGCAGTCCGATGGTGTTCATTCTTGCAGATGTTGCCTTCGGTGCTGTTGCCGCCGCTGCTGCAACACCTGGTCCAAACTCCCCCGGTGGGAAAACACAGCCTGAGCCACACTGGAGTGCAGAATCTGAATCGGAATTGGAATTGGAATCGGAATCGCAATCGCAATCGAGATCGGAATCGGATCAAGAGTGGCCGGTGCGGTCGGAGTCGTGGGGGGTGATGGTGGAGAAGTATGGCCGGGAGCGCACCATAGAGGCTGGGCACGGCGCTCTGCTGCAGCTCAGGGCGCTCGTTGATGGTGACGATGGGGATGACTATCAAGGGGATGGAGAAAAAGGCGGTAGCCGAAATAGCAGCAGCAGCAGCAATGGGGGCAGCAACGGCAGCGGCTCCAGAGTCTTGACAGGTTCTGTGGGCGATGGCATGCGCAGGAGGAGCGTCATGATTGATGAGATAGTCCCTTCCGTCAATAAACTTGATCCAGGTATGCCTGTTCAATACACTTAGCCACGCACACTTATCTGTCAATAGTATCTTCATCTCTTATGCCGTTCTAACATCACCACTGGCGTGGTTGTCATTACCCTTTTTATTTGTTGTTGATGTGTCTCCCGATACCAGGGATAGTTGGAATACTGGACAAGCTGATTGCGGCGCAAGCAGACATGCTTGTAGTTGGAGTTCGCTACTGCGGAGGAAGGCGAGGATTTGAAGCAGACATAGTGGAGCATCGAAAACAGTTGGGCAAGTCTACGAAAAGCGTGCACAGATGGGGCGAAAATGTACTGCAGCGTCGCCGAAGGCGATTGCGGTTGGAGAAGGACATTGCACATGATATCAGAGGAGGAGAATAACATGCTCTAGCTCAATATGCAACACCTTGTTGCATTTGTCGCTTATCATGTTTCTAGTTGTATGATTATAAATTTATCTCATCCAAGACTTGATGAGGACTACACTTCGAATTATTTCGACTTCGAAACTTGGTGGCAAACCTTTCCCGCCATCAATGTTTTGCTGGGATGAAAGTGCCCCAACATTCTGGAATTTTGCGACGCGGGTTCCGCCCTTCGCGCGGTGTTTTGCGAACTTTGTCGAACTGTAGTAGACGTCGTTCTGTCGTGAATAGCCAAGGTTGAGGAGGATCTAATCGCCAGCCTCACCCAAGTATCCTCGCCCAGCCGATTCGGTTACACAATGCTTGGCTTCGCTCCCAACGGCGCAGTTTGGCAAGCAGCAATCCCCCCCGCCCGCGGAACGTACAACGATTGGCCATATTTAGGCGCTGTGCTACGGGAAAATCGCGAGGCGCAACGGCCCGCGCAATTCGCGAATGCGAGAATGAAAAATGTAGGATTTTGAAATTTCGGAATTTGCGGAATTTCGAGAATCCACCTCCTTGACATTCGGTGTGCCAAGGAATTCGTCTGCACACCCACAAATACAGCATTATTGGCCCCGCAAGCCACTCCGTCCAGTACTTCTGACTCGGAGAAGTCTTTAGTAGGCGGCTCTTGCATCAAAGCCCTTCGCCATTACTTCCGGTGTGATCGGTAACGGCGATTTCCGTTGTGCTCATAGCTGTCGGCGCTCTGCTATATACTTACAAACTCCGCGAGTTAGCTCCAGACGCCAGTAGTACGGCGCTCGATCTCAGTTTGTATCTCAAGCAGACACCCTCTCGTGTCCGCTGTTGTGTCTGACGCTCCCTGCCGTGCTGATTACACTCAGCGGCTCAGCCCATTTTCGTACAAGAACCAACCGGCACGATACTCGTTACGCAAAGAGTTAAATATTTCGTCTGCCTTTCTGCCGCCATACTTCTTATCAGAATCCTCCGGCAGGTCGAAATGCCTCGCGATTCTTGGACCATATCCAGGCGTGGCGGACCCGTTAGGCGTCTCAGAGCACCTCGAGAAATGGGCTCTGTATTTCATTACTTCGCAGCGCTTACTATTCTCTCACTATACATAGTTTCACCAGCAGCGTCTGTAAATCCAAGCACGTCGGCACCTGCCCCTTACACCACTGGTGGAACCCCCGGATCGCGTCTTCGCGGTGGCGGCGGTGGAAGCGGTCCGACGCCAGAATCAAGAAATTCATCGATCAAAGCAGGAAGCAGCACCGTGAAATCTCCCGGCGACAAACCTACTGGCGTCAAACCTACTGGTGTCAAACCTACTGGTGTCAAACCTAGCAGCGGCAATCTTAACGGCAGCAAGCCTACTGGCAGCAAGCCCACCGGCAATTCTAACTCGACGAGCGTTCCCGCGCCCAAAGGAAGCCCGACAAAGACGGCGGCAAAATCGGTGGTTAAACCGGCGACAAATGCGGCGGCAAAGCCGGCGGACAAGCCGGCGACAAAGGCGGCGGACAAGCCGGCGGCAAAGGCGGTGCCAAAGCCGGCGGGATCGGCGGCTCCGAGCGCCAAGAAGCCGGCGACGGTACAGAGCGGCGCGAGCGGGCTTCCGCGCCAACGGCTAGTTGGCGCACGCACGAGCGCGGGAGCTGGGGGAAGCTCCGCGTCGTGGCTGGCGCAAAACGGGGGCGCGACGTGCGACATCTCCGTCGGCACGTGAGTTACCACAACGGCCTTTTTTTCGCGAAGGCTTCGTTCGCATCGTCTGGAATCTCCTGAGCAAGGCGATGCGTCGGGGGTACGCATACACGTGCCGGAACATTTCGAGCGGGTAGTCGATGCTCCCTTGTCTGTCCGTACACGCCATAAAAAAAGAAAGTAGAAGTCCTCTCTCGTGAATCCCTCACACTCTCCCTTTGCCCGACATTTCGAGCACGTGCGCTAAGGCCGCCCAATCCCCGCCGCACGCATTGCGGGCTTTGTTCATTCCGCACGCGCGCGCTCGCTGGCTCAACCCTCTCTCCTCCGCCCATCCCCCTCTCTTGCCCCCCGGTCCCGACCCTCGCGCGCTTGTCGTATCTCAGGTGGATTCCCAGCAGCGCGCGCCCCGCGTACGCGTCCACGTGTCCGTACATCTCGAGCAAGTTCAACTGCGTGGCGAACGGGCGGCCCGACGGTGGTTACCAGCACCTGCTGTGGCAGCCGCGCGACTGTAACATGACGCTGTGAGTGTCACAAATCTGCATCAGAATGGCTGGGATGGCACGGTGACCACGCGGCACACTGCCAGTTACAAATCTACACTGGAATGGCCCTCCTGCATTCACATGCCCTTCTGCATTCACATGCCCTTCTGCATTCACATGCCCTTCTGCATTCACATGCCCTTCTGCATTCACATGCCCTCGTGCATTCACTTGCCCTCCTGCATTCACATGCCCTCCTGCATTCACATGCCCTCCTGCATTCAACGTGACCATGCGGCATTCAACGTGACCACGCGGCATTCAACGTGACCACGCGGCATTCACATCCCGTTATGGAAAGGCGATGGCTTGCTTGTTTTGTTTTGAGGCGCCTCAAATCTTGCTTCAAGTGCTACCTCTACCCGCCCTCCTCCCACTCCTTAACCTTTGCCGTTGCAGCTTCTCCCCGCTCCTCTTCTCGCTCATGTTTCAAGACAAGACTCTGGCTCTCGTTGGCGACTCCAACGCCGAGTACCTCTTCCAGTCGCTGCGTTGCCAGCTCGCCACGGGCCTTCAGACCGAGGTGAGGCATTATACCTTCATTTACAGGGCGCTAAGTCCCCATGTACGACTGGAGAATCCTCAGCCCTTTCTGGGCGACTCCAAAGCCGAGTACCTCTTCCAGTCGCTGCGCTGCCAGCTCAGCACCGGCCTGCAGACCGAGGGTAACCCAGGCCTTCGCTTTCTTCGCTTGGCCCATCCCCTTGGGTGATTTCTGAGGCGGCTCAAAAATCACATACCCTTCCCATCCGCTTATTTTGGTTGCGTTTCCGTGTTTCTCATCCCGTTCTTTTCTGGCCGCACAACAACTCCTCTCATGCCAGGAGTGTTTTCAGTCGACTCAAAACACTCCCGTTCTTTTCTGGCCCCAATGCAACTCCTCTCATGCCACCACAGAAACTCCTCTCCCGTTATTTTCTGGCACTCTCCTTCCTGCTCCTTGTTTACCCAGCTTTTCTCGCACGATCCCCACTATTCTCCCCTCGCTTTTTTTTTTTTTTTTTTTTGGTTCGTATCATTTTCCATTCCTCTCGCCCTTTCCTATCCCACCTCCAGACCGTGAACGTGACGGCGGAAACAGAGGCCTTCCGCGCGATTGGGTCCAACACTCTCGTGCTCCTGATTCGCCTATGATCCTTCCTTCCCCCTTCCTTCCCCCCCCTCACACACCACCTTTCCTCACCCCACCTCCAGACCGTGAACGTGACGGTAGGAACAGAGGCGTTCGGAGTGATGAGGTCCAACACTCCCGTGCTGCTCGTCTACTCAAACCCAATCCACATTCCACCCCTTCGTTTTGAGTCGACTCAAAACGACTCATTCCACATTCCCCCCCCTCCTATCTCACCCCCAGACTGTGAACGTGACGGCAGGAACAGAGGCGTTCCGAGTGATTGGGTCCAACACTCTCGTGCTGCTAGTTGACGCACCCTTCCTCTCCTACGCTTCTCCTGCTGTTCAAGTAAGTGTTGACACTTAGTTGAGTGTCGGTATTCCCACTGCTAACAACTGCCCGTGCCAAATCCAATGCTTCATGAAGCGATCAGGAACTAAGCTCATCACTAGAATCCCACCAGCACACTCCCCTTTCTCAGTTTCCCACCAGCCCTTTTGAGAACAGAGGGAGGAAAACATCTTTTGTTTCCCACCAGCCAGCAGCCACCAGCCAGCAGCCAGCAGCCACCAGCCAGCAGCCACCAGCCAGCAGCCAGCAGCCAGCAGCCAGCAGCCAGCAGCTGGAACGTGCGTCTAGATGTGCTCCATCCAACTCTCCACCAAATCCTTGCCTTTCGATTACTTACTCTACTACCTCTGTCCTCCTGCTTCGCCTGTTCCAAATATTTACTCTACCCTTTTCTTCCCTTTTCTCCTCCCTTTGGCTCCTCCCTGCAGACCCTACAGTATAAAGCCAGCAGCTGGAACATGCATCTAGACGTGCCCCACACCTTCCAAATACTTACTTTTCTGTTTTCCTCCCTCTGTTTTCCTCCCTCTGTTTTCCTCCCTCTGTTTTCCTCCCTCTGTTTTCCTCCCTCTGTTTTCCTCCCTCTGTTTTCCTCCCTCTGTTTTTCCTCCCTTTCCTCCGCCCATTCTGCTCCCCACAGGCCCTCCGGTACAGAGCCAGCAGCTGGAACGTGCGTCTGGACGTGCTCCACTCCACCAGATCCTCCTTACTCACTTTTTCCCTCCCCAAACCCCCCTCCTCCCATTCCCCTTCCCCCAAACCCTCCAGTACAAAACCAGCAGTTGGTACGTGCATCTAGACGTGCTCCACCCAGCTCTCCGCCAATCCGCACCCTCTGGACACGTACTCTACCCTCACCCACTTACTTTCTTCCCTCTTCTCCTCCCTTTGGCTCCTCCCTGCAGACCCTCCAATACAAGGCCAGCACTTGGAACGTGCATCTTGATGTGCTCCACCCGACACTGCGCCAGATCCTCCCACAGGCCCATGCCGTCATTTTCTCTTCGGGCTCCTGGTTCCTGTCGCCCAACCGCGTGTACTACAGAAACGGCCGGCCACTCGCCGCCCAGATAACTGGCCTGCAGGCGCACAGCACTGTGCTCGGTGCACTCTCGGATTATCTCACAGCGCTGAAGTCGGGCGGCGGCAGTGCGCTGGAAACTACTAGAGCGGCAGGTGCAGGTGGGGGTGCGAAAGAAGCAGCAGCAGCAGCAGGGGTGGCAGGAGGAGCAGGAGGAGCAGGGGCAGCAGGAGCGGGGAAAGCAACATCGGGAGGAGTGGTAACCAGGAAGCAGTTGTTAGCTGCTGATGGTGACACCAACAGCAGCAGCAGCAGCAGTATTCAGTCAGGAGGCTCGGTCCCTCGCACCTTCTTCCTCTCGATCCCCCCCGCCCACACGCCCAACACCTTCCGCTACCAAGACACCTCCTGTGGGGTCTTCGCCGAGCCTCTCTCTGAGCCGGACCAGGCCTTTGCCGTGGGCCGGAGCGCCGAAGCTGCGTGGACAGCCTCGGAACGAACCGCGCTCTCAGGCTCGGACATCCAGCTCCTGGACATCCTAGGCATGGCGATGTACAGGCCTGATGGACACGTGGCGAGATATGGTTCGAAGGGAGGCATGGGGGCAATGGACTGCGGCGGGTGGTGCTTGCCTGGAGTGCCGGATGCATGGGTGGACATGTTTTTCCACCTCTATGCGAGCCCCACTGGGGTGCAGCAGGTGCTGCTGGGTCTGGCGAGGGCAGTGGGGGCAGCAGCGGTGGGGGATGTGTGCTGGCAGGTACCCAGATCAGCAGAGACAATCGCAGGGTATGTCTAGGGGAGAGGGGTTTTGAGGCACCTCGATGCACCAACCATCACTATGCAAGTCCCACTGGCATTCAGCAGGTGCTGCTGGGTATGGCGAGGGCAGTGGAGGGAGGCAGGAGCGGTGGGGGATGTGTCCTGGCGAGTGCCCAGATCAGCAGAGACGATTGCAGGGTTTCTCTAGGGTGAAAGGCGGACACTGGGAGATGCTAATTTGCCAGCCCTGGAAGGCAGTGGGAGCAGCAGCGGTGGGGGATGTGTGTGCTGGCAGGTGCCCATATCTGCAGAGACAATCGCAGGGTATGTCTAGGTAGGAAGGAGTGTGGGATGTTGGGGGGAGGAATCACTACCCCTTCGAGGGCCCACTCGGAAGGAGCGGCACTACCAAGCTGAGGGGGAGGAGGAATGGCTAACAAGATGGGTGCATGAGTGGACAGGGCTTTTAAACCAGGTACAGGGGGGGTGGGGGGGTTTTAAGGCATGAGCTAGTGAGTCAGAGGCTTCTATGTGTAGGTAGATGGTTGTTTCTTGAACAACCAGGTTTGACTAGTGGAGTTGCGCATATATGCAGCAGGTGTAACGATACACCTGAAAGCTGCACCTTGTAGGCGGTGTTTCCATACGACTGCTGGGGTTTTGCCTGATTGAAAAAACGTGGCTTGCGCATGGTCCAGGGTGTATGCCAATTTCGCAGTGTAGTAGATTCCATTATGTGATACCATACGATCCATTTGACACCTGTCACATACCACCCCAAACCAACTCGCAACCCAACAACCCAACCATTTTATAAAAGTAAAAAGGCTGGGAGCAGGGCCTAAGATTGGTTTTGAGGCACCCTGAGTGCTCAGGGTCCCCCCCCTTGTTTAGCCTGATTTTTCAGGGCCTCCCCCCAAAATTTCGCTGAGATTTCAGGGTTCCCTTAATTTTTTTCACTGAGCAATCAGGGTTACCTATCCTTTTTCCGCTGAGCCAAATCCTCCTATACAGTAATATATTCCATTTCACGCTCTTGCCGTTGACCATCAGGCGCTTCAGATCACAAAGCCCCGTGGCGCGTATCGTCGTGCCCTAAATCTGGCTGAGTGAACACGTGTCCTCGCCTCACACAGTCCCTAGTACAGTAGACAGACATTAGCGCCAAATTTGTCGAAGGGCCAACACGTGCCCTCACACAGCCCCCCCCAACACACGCCAGCTCTAAATTTGTCGAAGGGGCAATATCTGTCAAACATATGTGTGTATGTTTAGTCGACTACATAGGGTCATGCCATAGAGAGTACAACCCATTAGCTATATACCCCTGTATGCTCCCATTCTAGTCAACCGTTCTAACTTCAGATGGTATCATGAGTAGGTTAGGTTCCCCCCCCCACCACCCACGCTTCCGCCTTAGGTCCTAGCCGCCCCGCTGGCCCCCCCCTGCCCCATCGCCTAGCTGGCCCGTTGGCCCAGTCTCCTAGCGCCTGCTGGCCCCGTGGCCCCGTCACCAAGCGCCTAGCCGCCCGTGGCCCCGCGTCCCCGTCACCTAGCGCCACGCCGCCCCGCTGGCCCCGCGGCCCCGTCACCTAGCGCCTAGCCGCCCCGCTGGCCCCGCGGCCCCGTCACCTAGCGCCTAGCCGCCCGTGGCCCCGCGGCCCCGTCACCTAGCGCCTAGCCGCCCCGCTGGCCCCGCGGCCCCGTCACCTAGCGCCTAGCCGCTCGTGGCCCCGCAGCCCCGTCACCTAGTGCCGAGCCCGTGGCCCCATTGTCTCGTCACCTGGCGCCTAACAGCCCCGTGGCCCTGTCGCCTCTTCGCCCCGTCGCCTAGCCGCCCCGCGGCCCTGTCGCCCAGCTGCCCCGCGGCCTCGTCGCCTAGCCGCCTCGTCGGCCAGTCGCCTAGCCGCCCCGTCGCCTCGTCGCCTAGCCGCCCCGCGGCCTCGTCACCCCGCTGCTCCGCGGCCCCGTCGCCCAGCCGCTCCGCGGCCCCGTCGCCCAGCTGCTCAGCCGCCCCCTCCTCCACCCTTGGCCGTGTTTCCCAGTCCTCGCTCGCTAAACCGGCCCTCTCCACTGTCCTGCACTGCACCCCACCGTACTGCACTACTCAGCACCGCGCGGCACCGCACTATACCGCGCCCCACAGCACTGCACCGCTTCGCACCGCGCGGCACTGCACTGCACCGCGCCCCACCGCACTACACAGCTCTACACCGCGTGGCGCTGCGCTGCACCGCGTTCCACCACACTGCACCGTACAGCACTGCTCTCCACTCCTCCTCGTCGCTCCGTCCCGCCCTTCACCGCCTGTTTCGGCTGCAACGGCCATAATGCCGTACTCGGTGCTGCGCTTTGACTTGGAGGGTCAGCTGGTTGAGTTCGATGCGTGGCTCGTCGACCTCCGCCATCACCTCACTAGTCAGCAGCAGGATGGCCACTCCCTGGCCGTCCACAATGACGGTACGCTCCCCTGCCCTGACCCCCCTGCGGCTCTCCCTGCTGACCCCACGTCTGCTGACCGTGAGTCCGCCGCCGCTGCTGCCCTTGCTCGTGCTGTCTGGCTGTCGCGTGACGCTGTCGCTCAGCTCGTGATTAGCCATGCCCTCCCCCTGTCTGAGCACCCCTGCTTTAAGTCGGTCAGGACTGCGCAGGAGTTCCTAGAGGCTGTTGCCGAGCATTATTTCACCCCGTTCTTTGCTTTTGCCAGCCGCCTGATCCTTCCCATGCTCTTCCCTGATCTCGCGTCTTTCTCCACCGTTGCTGACCTGGCCATGCACCTGCGCACGCTTGACGCGAGCTGGCGCGCTGCCTGCACTGAGGCCCAGCTTAGTGTGTTTCAACCTCCTATTTGCTCTACCCTTTATCTGCTTGCCACCCGCCTCCCTGACTGCCTGGCTATTGCCCGCGACCACTTTCTGAGTCTGCACCCCACTGACCTCACCCTCTCGGACTTTGTCGACACCCTGTCTGCCATAGAGACCCGTCAGTGCTCTATTGCCCAGTCTAGCGGTACTGCACCAGTCCCTATCTTTCAGGGTTGTGCTCCCGCTCAGTGCACTTACTCTGACGGTTCTGCGGCTGTCGCTGAGACAGCCCCTGCTGCTGAGACCGCTGCCGCGGTGGCCGCAGCGCAGTCCCGTTATGGTAAGGCCCGCCGCCCCAAGGCTGGGCGCGGTGGAGGTAGTGGAGGAGGAGGTGGAGGTGGTGGTGGAGGTGGTTCTTCTGCTGGTGGTAGTACCGATGAGGGGGCTGGGGCTGGTGCCTCGGAGCAGCAGCCCCAGTGGGAGCAGCAGCACGCACCACAGCTTGACCAGCAGCAGCAGGCACCTCAGCTTGACCAGCAGCAGCAGCAGCAGTCGCAGCGGAGGGTCGGTCTCCTCTCGCCTGGGTGGCCTGGCGCCGGTGGTGGTGGTGGTCGCAGTGGTCATGCGTGTAGCTCGTTATCGGGTGGTGGTGCGAGTGATGGGCGCTGCCAGTACCAGCTCCAGACCGATCCTCGCCGCGGCCTTGTGTGCGGTAAAATCGGTCATACCCCCACTCGCTGTTTCAGTCGCTTCGACGACCTGTTTCGTCTCCGCTTCGGCTCCACGCCGGACCTCCCCGACTGACACAGTCTGCTCCACCGTGGTGTTAGGATCTTTGATATGGACATGGATGAGATTAGCTCTGCATTGTATGCACTGTATGTCGATGACTCTAGTGTGACTGGTTCCTATTACCTCGTGTTGCCTAGTGTAGGTGTGCCCAGTGTGCCTAGTTTAGGCTCCCCTGGTGCGTCAAGCGTAGGACCACTTGCTTTGTTTTGCCTTGGCTCCACTCAAGCTCCTTCGCCCCCAGCCGCCACTGCCATGCTCTCCTCCACTCTCGACTCTGGCGCGTCTCGGTGTTTCTTTCGGGACCACACTACGCTGACGCCACTTGCCGTCCCTGCCGCAGTTGCCATTGCAGACCCTTCCTCAGGTCCGGTAGTCGCCCGTAGTTCCACCACCCTCTTCTGTCCGGCAGTTCCTTCGGGATCTCTTACAGGCCTGCACATCCCCTCGTTCTCATGGAATCTAGTTGGTGTCGGCTGCCTTCAGGACCTCGGCGTCACCACTACGTTCCCTGGTCACGAGAGGTACGCTGTCTGTACCGAAGCCGCCACTGGTGCCCCTCTCACCACGTTCCCCCGGGACCCGGTGTCTGGCCTGTTCACGCTGGACACCGCGTCCCCCCCGGTTGGGACGCCCCCCCAGTTGGCAGCATCTACCCAGTTTCCTACGGCTTGCTCGTGTCGGTCGCTTACTCACCCATCCCTTCTGTGGCACCACCGTCTAGGTCACCTCTCCCTCTCACGTCTCCGTCACATATCTCAGCACTGTCTTGTCTTAGGTCTCCCTGCGTCGTTCCCTTCGCTCCCCTCCTCGGCAGCGCCGCCGTGCACCCCCTACGTTGAGGGCCGGCTCCGCCATGCCCCTCACTCCTCCTCGTTCCCCCCCACCGCCGCACCGCTGCATACCTTACATATGGACGTCTGGGGCCCCGCCCCCATCCATGGGCTGCGTCGTGAGCGCTACTTCCTAGTGCTTGTCGACGACTACATGCGCTGCACCACGATGTTTCCCCTCGAGCGGAAGGCCGACGTGCCTGACATTTTTATCCCATGGCTTGTCTCTGCGCATGTTCACCGAGGTTTCCCTGTGTTGCGTATTCACTCTGACCGTAGTGGCGAGTTTGCCTCTGGCTGCCTTGGTCGCTTCTGTCGTGCGGAGGGCATCACCCAGTCATACAACCTGCCAGACTCCCCGCAACAGAATGGGGTCGCTGAGCGACGCATCGGTTTGGTCATGGAGGTGGCTCATATCTCCATGATCCATGCTTGTTTAGACCTCATTTTCTGTAGCCGTTCGCCGTTCGCTACGCCGCCCAGCAGCTTAACCTGTGGCCGTACCCTCAGCGGCCGCAGGTTTCGCCGACCCTACTTTGGACCGGGTCTCCTGGTGACGCGTTTGCATTCCACATCTGGGGCTGCTTTCTCACGTTCGTGCCTCTCGCACAGACAAGCTCACTGCCCGCACTGTCCCCAGTGTCTTTCTAGGTTTTCCCCTCGACTCAACTGAGTGGCACTTCTACCACCCCCCGTCTTACCGTTTCTTTCACTCCCGCGATGTTACCTTTGACGAGTCCGTCTCCTTCTACCACTGCTTTCCCCATCGTGGTCCCCCGGTTACCTCCCCCCCTGTTCCTAGTTCCCCCTCCCCCGATCTCCCCTGCTCCCCCCCCTCCCCACCCTGCCTCGTCTGGTGTGTCTCACATCACCCCCCTCCCGTCGGTTTTCCCTGCCGAGAAGTCTGCTGACTCTCGCGGCTTGGCGGAGTCTCTTCCATTGTCTGTCTCTGCCCTGGTCTCTCCTCCCCTGTCGCCGACGTTGCTGTCGCAGCCGCAGCCTCAGTCGCCATCGTCACCGCTGCTGGGGTTTGTGCGTTCTGAGGGTGCTGGGGAGCATGCCGGAGCGGGTACTGGAGCAGGTTCCCGTTCTGGGGGTGCTGGCGTGGAGCTTCTCGAAGGGAGCCGTGGTGCCGCTGGAGGTTCTGGTGTTGGCGTCGGGAAGCAGCCGCCGCAGTCGCCCCCGGTGTCCGCTCTTCGCCTACTGAGCCTTCCTTCCCCTGACCGCCCGCCGATGCCTCCTCCGTCGCCAACGCCTCCTCCTCTGCCGGTCTACGGCCCTGTGTTTCCTCCCGTGGACTCTTCTCCGGCTCGTTTCCCTCCTCTATCTCCTCCTGTGTCTCCTTCCCTCTCTCCTGACCCGACTCCTCCGTCTCACGTCTGGCCTCGTCGTTCGTCTCGTGCTCGTCCTACCTTCCCTGTTCCGCGTTCTCACCCTATGTTGCTTCGCTCTCATGTGTCTCGTGCTCCTCCGTTCCTCCCGTCTCCTCTTCTGCCATCACTCGCTGTGGCCCCGCCTCCGTTCTCTAACTTCCTCCGTGCCGCGCGTCCCCTTGTTCCTCATGTTCTTGCCTCTCTTCTTACCGACCCGTCCGTTCCTGTCTCGAGTCTGTCGGCTCTTGTTGTTGCTATCACTGACTTTGCCGCTACTCGCCGCCTTGACTACGCCACTGCTCTGGTCTCTGACCCTGCCTGCCCTCCGTCCGTCGGGGGTTTGGCTGCCCTTGGAAGTGACGTCCTTGAGGACAGACAGTGTGAGCTTGCTTTCCTGTCAGAGGCCGCTCCCCATCTCTGTTCCATGCTGCTGGTCCCTGAGGGTGACCCAGACGCCTTTGACATCTCGACCCCTCGCACCTACGCTGAGGCCACCTCAGGCCCCTGGGCCTCTCACTGGATAGCTGCCATGGAGCAGGAGATGGCATATTGGAGATCCATCGGTACCTTCGTCGATGCAGCTCCCCCACCTGGGGTGAACGTAGTCGATGGTTGATGGCTCTTCAAGGTGAAGCGCCCTCCTGGAGAGGTGCCTGTCTCCAAGGCGCGCTACGTTGCTCGTAGCTTCAATCAGCGTGAGGGTGTTGACTTCTTTGAGACCTTCGCTCCGACCCCGAAGATGACTACTCTTCGGGCGCTGCTACACGTAGTAGCACAGCGTGACTACGAGCTCCACTCCCTTGACTTCTCCTCAGCTTTTCTCCAGGGCAGTCTACACCAGCAGGTCTACCTGGGCCGCCCCCATGGCTTCTCCGATACCATTCCCCCTGGTACCAAGTGGCTCCTCCAGTGCCCCGTCTACGGCCTGTGACAGGCGCCTCGTGAGTGGCACGACTCGCTACGTGCTACACTTGCTGACCTGCAGTTCTTCCCATCGTCTGCAGACCCCTCGCTCTTCGTCCGTTCCGACCAGACTCGATTCTACATCCTTGTTTACCAAGAGGATCTGGTATTTGCTATAGCAGACAGAGACGCGCTGGCCTCCATGAAGGCTGAGCTGCTGAGGAGACACACCTGCACTAACCTAGGAGAGCTGCGCCGCTACCTTGGCTTGCAGATCTCCAGGGACAGAGCCGCGCGCACCATCACTCTCACACAGTCACACTTGGTGCGCTAGGTCCTTCAAAGGTTTGGCCTTCAGTTCTCTTCCGCACAGCCCACCCCTCTGCCAGTAGACCACAGACTCTCTGCTCTAGTCCCGGAGGAGGCTGTAGAGCCTTGTGGTCCTTACGCAGAGCTGGTGGGTTGCCTCATGTACCTGGTAACCCACCAGTTTTGCGTAAGGACCACTAGGCTCTACAGACTCGTTGGGGACTGGAGCAGAGAGTCTGCAATCTACCGGCAGGGGTGTGGGCTGTGCAGAGGAGAACTGAAGGCCGAACCTCTGAAGGACCTGACGCACCAGGTGTGACTGAGTTAGAGTGATGGTGCACTTCAGACAGAGAAGACACACCTGCACGCGGGGAAATGCACGCGCTATCCCTCAAGCCCCCTTTAGCACAGTGGTTAGCAGCTGTGCTTTTGAGATTACTCACAATTTGAGTTATACACCATTATAGAATGCAATGCACTTGCTCAATTGCCTCGAAGTATTGCCACCGAAAATTACTCTACATTGCTGCCGAATCATACTTAAACGAGCACGCAATTTCCAGGAACACCCCTAGCATGCCATGCCCTAACCAACCCCCACTGCCTCTACTCTTCGCGATTGAGTGTGCAATGACGCCATCCCTTCCCAATGCCACCGCACACTCTCACTTTGCACCATCCCCATTATTCTCTCCTTTGCATTCACCACACCAACCACCACCTAGTCCTCACTAGCATGCCACCCACCCACACCTATCTCTATGCAGTGCTTACACCACACCTCCAACAACCTAATCCTCACTAGCATGCCACCCACACACCTAGTCCTCACTAGCACGCCACACCCTGAGTACCCCGCCCCTCCAATTGCCCCTCCAATTGCCCCTCCAATTGCCCCTCCCCACAACACAGGGTGCCATCCTGATCACACCCACAACACACCCACAACACGTAGTCCTCTCCTGCATGCCACACCCTGAGTACCCCGCCCCTCTATTGCCCCTCCCTCCTCCCCACAACACAGGGTGCCATCCTGATCGCACCCACAACACATCCGCAACCACCTAGTCCTCGCTAGCATGCCACACCCTGATCGCCCCCCTCTTCTCTCCACAGTACAGCGTGCCATCCCTTCCCAATGCCACTGTACACACCTCCTCCCCTCCCGACACCATCCCATCCTCGAAAGCTGCCAAAAGACGCCGTCCGTGCCATGCAAAGGTAATCCCCTTGCCAGGACTGTCATTCCCTCCCCAACCCTCAAACCCACCACCACCAGCACCACCACTGCCAGTGTATTTTCCACCTCCAGGGCAATAAACAGCCGAATCTGGGCCTACTACAAGACAATTCCTTGCCGCCCAATCACGCTGGACGTCCACACACTTCCCGCCACTCCAGATCCTCACCTCTCCATCGAGCGAGAGAGAATAGAGAGTAGGGCCGGCTGCAAAATAGGGACAGGATCCCGCACCACCCTTGCCACCGCCGCTGCTGCTGCTGCTGCTGCTGCTGCTGCTATTACTGTCGCCGGAAAAGAGAAGGGGCGGGCCGATAGCAAGTGAAACCACCTGGGCCTTGTGGCCCAGGAGAGAGGCTGCCACTGCACCGCCTCTGTAGACACAGATGGGGAATTCCGGCTCCTCCGCTCCCCTGCTCCCACTGCCGCTCCTGTTGCCACTGCTTTGCCTTGCCTGTTCGTGATTGGATGTGAAGTAGATGGTGCCGTCGGGTGCGGTTACCACATCGGCAAAGCCATGCTTGAAGGGAGAAGCATTGGTGCCATCACCCCCCCGACCACCACCGGCATTGTGGTCATGGTCCCAGTCCCATTCCCTGCTGCCATTGCTTCCGCTGCTGCCCGTCCTGCCGCTGACCCTCCCGCTTGTGCCGCTGCTGCTGGAGTGGGATGGGCTTGTTGTGCCGGCGCGCAGCACACCCACACGACGCAACACGCCCATCCCTGTGTGCCCCCTCCCCTGCTGCTGCTGCTGCTGCTGCTGCCCCTGTGCATTACCATCCCACGTAGGAGCATCATCCACGACCGCCCAGGCACTCACCTCCCCATCACTGAATGCCACCAGCAGCACGCCGTCATGCCATGCCATGCGCAGCGGCAGCGACCCAAACACGAATTCCCCCTCCCCATCCCCCACTCCCCCTCCTCCCCCTCCTCTTCCTCCCCCTCGCCCACTCTCCCTGCCTCTCCTGCACCCAGTGCACCCCACGCACCTCCCATCCCTCCACATTCGGATCATACCATCCTCACTGCACGAAAACAGAGTGCCAGACACGGGGTCCAAGACCAAGTCAAACACAGCAGCAGCGGGTCCATGATCGTTTGCCCTATATTCACCACTGCCGGTATCACTATCCCAACCCCCACCACCCCCCCCACCCCCCCCACCGCGGCACAGAATCGTATCCAGCAGATGGGCCGAGATCTGATTCCGCCGCCAGAGACGAATCGTGCCGTCCAGGCTGCCCGAGAATATGATATCGCCTCTCGGGCAGACGATGATTTTGGTTACGCGGTCCGTGTGACCCGGGAGGCTGCCCACAAGAAAACCCCCCTGCCAGGGCTGCCTGACTAGAGCCGTCTGAGACCTTGAGGTGAATGAGCGGGAAGAGAGGGTGTGAGGGGACGGCGAAGCAGCAGCTTTCTTCGAAGATACGGCTTCTGCTGCTGCTGATGTTACTGCTGATACTGCTGCTGCTGCAGCTGCTGATACTGCTGCCGCAGCTGCTAAAACTGGTCTTGGTCTAGAGCTTCCTTTAGCATTATGCTGGGGCGCCTTGTAAGGAGGTTCGGCTTTTTCCTGAGACCCCGCCTGAGACACCACCTGAGATCCCACCTGAGATCCCACCTGAAGGCTTCTCACAGCCCCAGCCAGGTCCGCTCCTCCTGCTGCCAGCAGCAGTCGTGCTTTCTCCTGCACCTGCCCCTTGAGCGCCCCCACCTCCTCGCTGAGGGCTTGGATCTCCCCTTGCAGGTCCGCCACCAGGTGCTCGTACCCCACTATCAGCTCCTTGGCCCGTCGCAGGTCGGCTTTAGCAGACGAGCAACACTGTTGAGCAAGGGAAGAGAAACACGAGAAGGAGCGTGAATCTCCCCCTGAAGGTCCGCCACCAGGTGCTCGTACCCCACTACTATCAGCTCCTTGGCCCGTCGCAGGTCGGCTCTAGCAGACGAGCAGCACTGCATGGGAGGCGGAAATGCTGGAGGGGCGGGGGGGAGGGGAGGGGGGGGGGGGGGGGGGTGGGAGGGGGGTTGAGAGAGGAGGAAGGGTTTAGAAAGTCATGTGTTTCAGCGCCCCCACCTCCTCACTGAGAGCGCGAATCTCCTTGGAGAATCAGCCAGCAGGTGCTCGTGCCCCACTAACAGCTCCTTGGCTCGCCTGAGATCGGCTCTAGCAGAGAAGCAGAGGAGCAGAGGAGCAGAGGAGCAGAGGAGCAGCACTGTCGGGGAGGGGAGCACCAATATAAGTTCGCACAGAGCCACGAGCATTCTGAAAGATGTACCAAGTGACGCAGGCCAGTACAGCATGTCTTGCATGCTGGCGCGGCCGTGACCCAGGCTGACCTGGCGATACACCTTGTGTGCTGATCTGGCAATATGCCTCTCGTGCTGACCTGGCAATATACCTCGCTTGCTGACCTGGCGATACACCTCTCATGCTGATTCGCAGTGGCGGGGGCGTCCCTTGCACTCAAGCATGTGCTGCTTCACGTCTAGTGCCTCCCCTCTAAGATGCTGACCTGGCAACCTCAAATGCTAACCTGGCAGCAACAGATGCTGACCTGGCAGTGTCGGGGCTTTCCCTTGCACTGCAGCATGTGCTGCTTCACATCCAGCAGCTCCCCCCTCCACCCACACCCATCCGCATAGTTCACACACCGGACCTCCGTGCTGGTAGGAGTGGAGGGGGAGGAACAGGGTGAAAGAGAGGGAGGTGCGGCCAACGAGGGGAAAGAAGCGTGTGCATGGGAGGTAGTGGGAGTGCTGCTTCACATCAAGCAGCTACCCTCTTCACCCACCCACACCCATCCGCATAGTTCACACACCGGATCTCCGTGCTGGAAAAACGAAGAATCTGGGTGGAAAATACAGGGATTCGGCTGGGGAATATACAGGCGGGAAAGAGATGGGGGAGACGGATGTAGATGGGAGGGGGGTGTGAGGGGGAGGGGGGGGGGTGAGTGCGCTGCCTCACGTCTAGCTCCCACACCCATCTGCATAGTTCACGCACCGGACCTCCATGGGTAGAAGGGGAAAAACAGGGTGAAGGGAGGGCGGGATGGGGGGAGAGGGGAGAGGGGAAGGAGACTGATGAGAAGAAGATTGTCACAGAGGGAGGGGAGGTGTAGGGGAAGGGAGAGTCGAGCGTGTGATGAGGCAAGAGGAGCCAGGGCAGCTTGCAGAAACAGAGGAAAGAGGAGTGGGGGAAGAAAGGGGAGGGGAGAAAAGCGAGGGAAGAAGGGCGAATGGAGCCAGTTGAGTAAAGAGAGGCGAGAATAGGGGCACGGGAACGGTGAAGAGAGACGGGGGAAAGGTAAGAGCTGACCTTCCAAGCTGGCGAAAAACGATTGGGTTTGCTTCCCTCAAGGGACGGAGCTGCTCTTGAAATGGCGACTTGTCCTGTTGGTAGGGCGGACGGATGGGACGGGATGAGATGGGATGGGATGGGTTGACGGATGGACAGGTAAATGACTGGGGGGATGCATGAACAGAACAGTTGCATACGGAGCGATGTAAAACAATGTAGAAAAAAAAGGGAACATGTTTCGAGGCAAAAGAGACTTGAATTGAAATTGGGATAGGGAAGAGAAGATACAGGGAGGTGTCTCACCATGGGGCATGACACGCATTTCTTCTCAATGGCTTCATGCACACACGGCGTGCAGAACACATGTCCACATGCAGCCTGCACGGCAGATGCACACATGCAGCAGAAGCGAGTCAGAAGAACACGCTCGAAAGTTATATGCATAGAATTCAACGTGAGTCAATCTGCAGCTCTCTGAAGATATCGTTAATGCTTGACGAAACATTGGCAAAAAGCACGTTTGTTCTGATTTCGTTGCTCCAGCATACGTTACCAGCAGCACGGCTGCTCAGAAGAGGACAGGAATATTTCATTGCCATTTCTGACTCAAAACTAGCTTCCCCCTTCCCCCGAATCCGAATCCACGTGAGCTTTCCCTTCCGGATTTTTTATTGTTCCGAACCCCAGGCGAGTCACCTGGAGGGCGTCAGTGGGGTCGACGAGGTCCGTGCAGAAGACGCAGATGAGCTCCCTCAGCAGCCCTTCCACCAACTCGCTGCGCACCACACGCGCCGTCTCCACGCCCATGCCGCACAGAGCTGCTCGGATCAGCACGGAGCAGCACGGAGCAGCACGGAGGAGCTCGGAGCAGCTCGGAACAGCTCGGAGCAGCACGAAGCAGCACTGAGCAACACAGAGAACTAGTCGAACACACTAGAACCGGACCAGCACTGTCGACGACAGGCGAGTGCACTAAAACCAGACGGAGACGACAAGCCGAACGCGGACTAAATTCCAGGAAGGGGACTCGGAGGTACTCGCAACGCAACTGGAGAATGTGGAAGAGCTATGCCTTTCCCATAGTGACGGCGAGAGCTAGAGCATGATTTGGCTGCATGGCTGTCATCATGAGGGTCCAGTCTTGTGCGCCTCGGGGTTTTCCTGGCACGGGAAGACCGCTCCCCATATGAGCCCTGACGCTTTGCTCAAATTTAAATCTCTAGCGAACCCACGATTTCACTACAACACAACAATGGCTATACCCATCACAAAATCATTTCAAGAAAACAAGGAAAAAGAAGTACCCTAAAAGGCTGGACAGTGGACAGTAAGCTGCAGCTTCAGCTACCGTGATTGTACTCATGATTGGTTTGCCCTAAAAACAAGATGAAAGTCGATTCGCGTTATGGTCTTTCTCCCCCTGCAGTCACAATCTTCCAGCAGATCACCTGTAGTCATCCTCCAGGCTGCGGAAAGCAGCCGTGAGCTCTTCGCTAAGCTTCTGATACTTGGCTTCCAGAACCGCCTTGCCATCTGCAGGGTCCTCGAACTTCTGGGACCTGCAATGAGAAGAGAACACTCATGAAGTCTGAAGCTGGGAAGACTGGGGACGCTGTGAACTGGATCTCTAATTCCAAGAGCATGACTGGAAGCATCGGAGCATGACGCGTACACAATCTTGTAGATGAGGTCACCAAGCCTCTGCTTGATGACATTAAGGGTGATCTTCTGGCCTTCTGAACCAGCTGCCCTCTCAACAGCCTGCGAAGGTAACAGAAGAAAATGTGCCAGTGTAGAAGACTCAGAGGTGTGACATGAGCATAAACCAAGCTGGAAACACATGGGGCAGCATAGCAGAAGACGACATACCTGTGTTGCCAGCTGATAAAACAGGATGATGTTACGAATCATCCACACAGACTTGTAGAAAGGACAGAACTTGTCATGCCTGAAAGACATCCAAAGAGAAATTAACGAAGAAATCAATAAATGCCACCAGGCCATGCCCCCAACGAAAAAACGTCAGCAGCAATGGAACATACGAGGAAAAGGCGTTCTGAGCCAGGTAGTCTTCACGCAGCAGACGAGCTGTTTCCAGAATGATTTTGTCGCCTTCAGCAAGGGCATCCTTTCCGACAAGCTGTGACAAGCAAAAGCAATGCCAGATAAAAAGCATGGACGTAAATGCTGTTGAACCAATAAACTTTCATGCATGCATCTTTTTATAGAGGTGGCCAAGGAAAGGGAGACGGAAACATTCGTAAGAAGAAAGACGAAGCTGGGTGCTCACCTGCACGATTTCATTAAGATCATCCTCACGCTGAAGAACCTCACGGGCCTTTGTACGAAGAGAAATGAAATCAGGCGCTTCAACATCATAGAAAGACTCCAGTGCCTGGAAACGGATAAGCAGGACCACCAGAGGAACATGTGGTGAGATAGAGTTCATACACTTATTGCAACTGGTAAACATTTTTAGAAAAGGCGGCTTGCAGAGTACTCAGGAACTCACATTGGTGTACTTGGAGTAGGAGATGAGCCAGTTCACAGCAGGGAAGTGCTTTCTTTGAGCGAGCTTCTTATCCAGACCCCAGAACACCTGCTCAGTTGAAAGGTCCCAAGAAAAAAGGCATTTGGTTAATGGCCAAATGATATCACATCCAGAAATGCTAAGTGGAAGCGCCACTGACCTGGACGATACCGAGAGTGGCAGCTGTGACAGGATCTGAGAAGTCACCACCAGGAGGAGACACAGCACCGACAATGGTGACACTTCCTGTACGGTCAGGGCTTCCAAGGCACTGAACCTTGCCAGCACGCTCGTAGAAAGATGCAAGCCTGGCAGCCAGGTAGGCAGGGTAACCACTGTCTGCAGGCATTTCAGCCTGTTAGAAAAGGGGTACAAAAACCAGTGGGAATAGAACAGAATGAAACCAAATCATTCAGTTGTTGTGAAAAGGACCCTCCCATGTCCAGCAAGTCATCAGAAATGGCCAACTTACGAGACGCCCAGAAATTTCACGAAGAGCTTCAGCCCATCGCGACGTGGAGTCAGCCATCATGGCCATGTTGTAGCCCATGTCTCGGAAGTACTCAGCAAGGGTAATGCCTGTCAAGCAGTACAACAGTGTCGTCAGGACTCACTTCAGCAAGTTAACTGCTATACGACATACCAAGTCAGAATGGGGAGGTCTTACCGGTGTAGATGGATGCCTCTCGTGCAGCCACAGGCATGTTGGACGTGTTAGCAACAAGAGTGGTACGCTTCATCACAGACTCTTCACGGCCATCGGGAAGCGTCATGGTCAGCTTGGGGAAATCCATCAGCACCTGCAAGATCCACCCGGGTATTTCTTGAGTGTTAAATTAAAAACAACAGCAAACGATGCACTAGACTAGGAGAAATACGCACCTCAGCCATTTCATTTCCACGCTCTCCACAACCGACGTAAATGACACCGTCGGCATTTGAAAACTGCAATAACAGAGGAGGAACAAAATAAGAACACGCTTTACACAGAAAAAAAGAAGAAAGAACAGCACAAGTTTCCCGTAAAATGCCTACCCACCTTGGAAAGTGCCTGACTAATGACAGTCTTCCCGCAACCGAAAGCACCTGGAATAGCGCAAGTACCCCCAAGCACAGAGGGAAACAGGGCGTCCAAAATTCTCTGCCAGAAGGAAAGGGGAAAAGTTGATCAGTGAACCAGAGCATTATTTGAGGTTCAACAAAAAAAAACTCAAACGACCAAAAGATACCTGGCCAGTTAAAAGGGGTGTGTCTGCTGGAAGTTTCCGTGCCACAGGACGGGGAGAGCGGACAGGCCATGTCTGCAATGCATGGCACAAGGTTGGACACCAAAATTAGCACTATCCGTGACAACCCCATACGGATTCGAAGTGAAGCGGAGCGTCCACCATACCTGAAGCATAGTGTACTGCTTCGTCTGCCCTTGGAACTCAAGTTCGAGCACTTTATCCTGCAAAAGAAAGTGAATAAATTCTTGTGAGAAAAGACCCAGTCTGCGATTAAGGAGAGGTGGTACGGATGGCGAGTATCAGATTTACCTTCAAACTGTATTGACCAGGGGGTGCAACGAAAGTGACCTTCCCCATGGCTTTCGGAGGAGCACAGATCTTCTGTGTCATGAGGCTGTTTTCGATGACAGTCTGCACGAACGGGAATCCGGGCAGAAGTCAGCTTCCTGGCCTTAACGGAAACGCGCACAAAGGAAGGCGAGCGATCATACCAAACACGTACCCCGAATATGTCACCACCCGCAAGGATATCTCCAACATCTGCAACCCCGAAATGGAAAATGTCGCTCATCAGTTTCCACTTTGCCATAAAAAGATATGCCGCTAATAATCAGATTCGAACGAATCTTACTCAGAGCCCTCGGTTGGAACTCCCAAAGGATGTCTTTGTCAAGCGCGGGAACCGCGACACCACGCGGAATGTACACATTGCCGGACCTAATGGCAATAGTTTTCAATGGCCGCTGCACAAACGAATGTATGTATTGTTAAGGTAAACGTCTCGATCTTGATTTCGTGGTTCTCAGAATGGTACAACTAAAACGATCTCACCTGGATACCGTCGAAGATGTTGCTGAGAATACCAGGGCCGAGCTCCACCGAAAGTGGCTGAAAGAGGAAACCCATAGCACAGCAAGATGTGAGAACACAGAGCTCGACGAGGAAAGGCAAATGCACGCAGGAAGAAAGAAAAAAAAGCAACATCTGACCTTGTGAGTGCGAAGCACCGGATCTCGCACAGTCAGACCGGATGTTTCCTCATACACTGGGGAAGATCAGGGAAAATGGATCTTCCATTTTAGGTCATCAAAATGCTAAATGGACACCAAGCAGACTGATAAGGAATGCGAATGCATCAGAAATCGTTGCTTATAAAAATATACCTTGAATAGTTGCTGAGTCGCCCTCCAGACGAATGATCTCTCCAATAAGCCTATCATTTCCCACACGGACAAGCTCGTACATAGCAGCTCCTCCCATGTTATCTGCTATGACGACAGGCCCCGAGACCTGAAAGCGAACGACACAAGCCAGATCAGACCTCTACATAATTTTTTAAGCATTCACGCTCGAATATCGACGGATCTTCCGGACCTTCTTGATGTATCCATACTCGCTCTCCTTCTCCGCGTCCTCGAAGGTAGACATCCTTCCTACGCGAAGAAAGTGATCCGGCTAGAAGCAAAAGGAAAGCTTGAAGGGAAGTGCAGGAAACGGCCAAGCAATGGCTCCCTTGCCAAAGACCAGAGGGAGAAGAGCTGAGAGGAGAAAATTGCCAGGAGATGGGTGCGCCTGCTGTTGTGCCAGCGGTGAGCAATTCGGAGAGCTAAGGGGCTGTTGGCCTAGTCAGGGCAAAGACACAGGGCCCTCGCTAGAACACCCCCGCGCAAGAGGAACCCAGTCACGACGGTAATACTTGTAATGGAAACCGCGATCTAGTGTAGCGCCTTCGTAGAAAAAAAAATCCATACAAGTTGAGCACTCGTGAAAATACTAGACTAGTTACGGATTTCATCAGATAGGTATAGTGAACTGGAAACAACAGCAGCTTCACTTGTAAACGTGAATATAAAGAGCGGGAACACAGCCAGCAGAGATCAACAGCCAACTTGGACACTACAAGCTCGCACGCAAGTACATAGTACATACACCACGAGGCCAGAGCTCTCCAGCACCCTAGCATGCTGATCCTGCTGCTGCAAGTACATCCGCCCACATCGGCCTTACACTCCCTTACACATTCCTCCTTTCTAATACCCTCCCTTGAGGTCATTAACCACATCGTACGGAATAGGCGTCACCGTCTCCATGGTCGTACCCGGCACCAGGAACCCTGGCCGGGGACCAAGCGGCTTCCTCTTCCCGCCAACCACAGCCGGGGCAGGGGGCTCCAGGGCCTTGACTGCCCGCTTCTTCCTGTCCTCTTCATGGAGCTTCGCCTTCTCCTCATCCGACTTCTTGGCGCGCGCGTTGCGCTTCTCCAGAGCCTGCAGGTACTCCAGGGTCATGGGCGCGGGCTTCTTGTACTTCTTGGTCTTGGCCGCACCGCCAGCAGCCTTGCGGGCCTCGGCGTTGGCGTGCTTGTGCTCCTCGTTGGCCTTCACGCGCGCCTTGAAGTCCACGTTGCAGCGCGACGGGGTCACGTGCTCAATGCGCACGTGAAGGCGCTTGCGCACAATGCGGGTGTTCACCTGAAGCGGGAGGAGGGGAGGACGTGGAAGGATGATAGCACAGGTTGGGGTCAGGCAGGAGATGGGAACACGAGCTCAGTTCGGACATCGATGCTCGTGCGCACAATGCAGGTGGTCACTTGCAGAATGTACTAATAAGAGGGGGAGAGGGGAGAGGGGGGGGTGGGGGGAGGGGGATGGAGTGGGATGAAAAGACAGGCGGCTGGAAGAAGCCTCAGCTTTCTGTGGCAGCGGGAGCTGATACCATGCGGTTTTCATACGGAAACTCCAGCGAAAAAGCGTTGTGTAGGTTTGCTGCGACCATGTACTAAGGAGCTCTGTACTCATCAACTCGCACCTAAAAACTAACAAGCCAAAGAAACGAATGGAGGCTAGATGAAACGCGACAGATGAAGGCGTCTAAAGGTGAGAAACGAAGCACTCTAGGGTTTCGTTCGGCCGACTGTCTGCCCGGCACCAATATTTTGGACGCAAAAAACGTCCGTCTCACGACCCGTATGCAACCTAGCACCACAGAGTGCTGCGGCCTTCGAACACTCCCTAACCTCCTACCCTTCCACCTCAACGCAACGCTGCTCGCAGAGTTTTTCCCACCCTAACCACGCAAACGTTGCTCCCTACGAGTCTGTGCCACCTCCAATCAACTCTGCACTCAGTCCTGAGGTCCTCCAAACGCTCCCCAAAACCTCAACAGTCAACTTGCGCAACACTGCACGCAACCCTAAAAACGACCTCCTTATGGTCTGTCCCAGCACTAGTGTGCAGCACCGCACGCAGTCCTAGACCCCTCGCAACGCGTCGTCATCCGCGCAACACCGAACGCAGTCCAGCAGTCTCTCGATTCTCCCCAAACGCCGTTTCCCCAGCCACACGAAGTCCGACAGGCTCCCAACGGTCCCAACGGACCCAACGCTCCCACCGCTCCCAACGCTCCCACCACTCTCCAAGCGCCCGTCCTCCCACCCGAGTGCCGCATTGCATGCAGTCCTACAGAGTCGCATCGCTCAAGAAACGGCCGTCCCACCAACCGTATGCAGCGTCGCACGCAGCCCTGCAGCAGTACAAGGCCCCTGGAACGCCCCTTCTCCAGCCACGTGCAGCAATGCACGCAATCATGCCGTCTCTTTAGCGTCTCTATTCCGCGTCCATACGGTCTCTGCACCGTGGCCATACGTTTTATTGCACCGTGTCCGCGTTTGGCAACGCAGCAACGATATGAACAGCGGTGGGAGCTCAAAATCGCAGCAGGCGACTACACGAAACGACTCCAGGGACCACTCTAAGATGGTGATGCTGCCGATCGTCGTTCTGATCGTCGTTCTGCGGTGAATTCGGCGTAAGCTGTGCAATACGAAGTCGCTGATAACACGTTCGCAGAACAAGCTCGTGGTATGCTTCGCGGATCGTCCGAAAGCGGTCCGCAGACTCTAACGCGTGAACCACGAGCCATCGTTCGCTAAGCTTCTCACCACGCGAGCAACGACCGAGATCCTGGAACGCCGAGAAGGACACCAACTGATGTCTCCCACAAAACCTGACTCCCCAACAGGGCGACGAAACGGAATCCGTCTGCCTCCAAATCGACGAAATCCAAGAGCGAACCCCCCCAAAATCTGCCGGCCTCTGCGAGATGATCATGACCTAAATTCGAACCTCCGATTAACCGCCTCTAGCTAATCAGCCAACCAGCAATCACTTTCTGCTGGTAGCAGCAGCAACGTCTACGAACCTGCTTGTTGACTTCGACGCCAAGCGCGCGCTTGGTGACGTTCCAGACGCGGCCGGTCTTGCCCTGGTAGAACTTGAAGGGCATGCCCTTCTGCACGGCGGAGTTGACCTTGATGTCCACCATATCGCCCAGCTTGTACGTTCGCAGGTAGGTCGACACGGGGATGTAACCATGCTGGCGAAACCCGCGCGAAAACATGTCACGGGTTCGCGAGCGCAATCCATGGCCCTTCATTTTGGGAGATTTGGAACAACGGGAACCCTAACCTGTGTTAGCTGCTGCTGCTGCTGTGCCTGTTTCCGTGGCACTAGGGTGCTACTGCTGCTGACGCAGGGAGAGAGGAAAGGGAGGAAGTTAGGGAAGGAAGAGGAAGAAGAAGGGCTGAGAGGTGAAGGGGCAGAAGCAGGCACAGGGAGTGTCCTGAGTTCCGAGTTTGAGAAACGTATCGCACTGGATCTTACTGTATCGCACAGAGCCTCAATACTTTTAATCCAGACCGAGCTTCACCAGAAACCAACAACGAGAATTTTGGCACTTATGACATGCCCACACCCGAGGGTTGGGTGGCGAGGGAAGCAGGGGAAAGAAGCAGGGGGGCGGGGGGAAGTGGCGGAGCAAGCGGGGAAGGTGTAAGAGGGGGGAGGGGAGGGGACGGGGGAACGCAGCAAGGCGGAGAGATTGCGGCGACTAGGGCGAGTAGGAAGGCAAGAGGGAAAAATGCGGGGATGTGCTGGTGGTGGTGTGCCACAATTTTCGCGGTTTGCGTGAATTCTTCTTCAGATTGTTATATGTAGATATGTTTTTATTCGGTACAAGCATACGTCAAAAGTGCTTCGATAATGTGTTGCAACACAAATTCATTTGAATGCCTTGCCCCCAGATTGACCTGTGCGCCGGAGATTCGCGAACCAGCACAACCCAATCACATTTCAGAGCAACAGATTTAGAAAGGCTGCATTCGCTTCGGTTCAGAACGGTGCAACAAGGGTAACTCGAACTCTCTGACAAGCCAGCTCCTTGGGATTGGTTGACTGCCAGTACGCAGTGATTTTCAGACAAAGCTGGACCTTTGATTCCATCCAACATCAGGTTCGAAAATACAGAGGGCGGCAGATGGTGTAAATGTTATTAAAGTGGTTTGATACGGTATATCGAGGTTCCCCTGGTCGACCGTGTATGTCAAACCTTGTTCAAGCCAAGAGGCACCGCGTCCTGTCACTCCCACAGAGCCCATATCCCGAGCGGTGTCCCGCATTTCTATCTGCAAGCAGCAACCCGTGAACATTTTCGGTCCTGTGCTAACAAGTTCCCCCCTCCAGAGGCGAGCCCGTTCCAATGGCTTCCGCTGCGTCGTGCCATGCAAGCAGCGTGATGTCTGGTTTCACGAGCCATACCAAAGGTGCTCCACGCGTTTCAAAGCGCTCAATGCCGCTATGTAGCAGCAACCTGAATACGTATTTTTCAGGGACAAACGCGCCGCGATTCGCGGGAGGTCGACCCCTCGTGGCGTCCACGCGACCAAGTGGAGCTTCGCGCGTCCATTTCTGGAGAGAAAAGTCCCAGGTCGTCTGTTCTGCGTCGCTTGATGGCGTGACAACAGCAGCTGTGACTGTAGAGGGAGGCGTGGCGACAGTAAAGGAGGAGAAAGCTGCGGCTGAGGAGGAGCTGTTCGACTGGGACAAGGCTTGGTACCCAGTGGGTAAGCCTACAAAGCTAATCCCGAGGCTGCAGGGGAGTGAGATGATCCTGTAAAGTTAGGCTACAAAGGCCGGCAGGAGGCGGTAGCACTTCTGTTACGTTCCTGTTGATGGCTAAGGAATCAGAAGTTTCGTTGTCGAGGTGTAATTTACGCCATTATTTTTTCATCAATCAACCCATGTCCTCCCCACCCCATTTTCTCCCCCCAACCCGCCGGCCCGCACTCACCTAGACTCTAGACAAGCGCACCCCTGAGCCTGTCACCATCCCCGGCGACTTTCTGCCATTGGTGTGAGAGATTGTTGAGAATTCTCGAAAACATGTTCAACCAGTGGAGGGTCCCCGATTTCTTTCCTCTATCCCTCCATCTCCTCCCCCACCCCACCTGCCAGCGCTCACCAAGACTCTGGACAAGCGCGTCCCTGAGCCTGTCACTATCCGCGGCCGCCCCTTGGTCATCTGGTTCGACCAGGTGTCCGACCAATGCTTATTCTTCTCTCTATGATCCGACCTCCCTCCCCTCACCGCATGTGGTACTCCCCTCACCCTGCCTCCCAGTGCTGACCAAGACTCTGGACAAGCGCATCCCCGAGCCTGTCACCATCCTCGGCCGTCCATTGGTCATCTGGTTCGATCAGGTGTCCGACCAATGGCGGATCTTCCACGACCTCTGCCCACACAGGTACTTCCGACAATTAGCCCTATTCTCAGTTTCTCTTCTTCCGACCAATGGCGGATTTTCCATGACCTCAACCCACACACTTTTAGAAACATCAGTGGTTCTTCTTTTATTACTACTTGCATTCCTCATCGTAAGGTTAATTTCTTCAGTCTGTTGGGGCTTTAACTTCCATAAATTCCATCGGTACGGATACTGGAAGGGGGATTTCTGCAGGTGATTCTGTGTGATACTTCTAGCTCTATATGACGTTTCCCTTCTCGCTGTTCCCCAGGCTTGCGCCGCTGTCAGAGGGGCGGATCCACGAGTCAGGGCAGCTGCAGTGCTCGTACCATGGATGGACGTTCTCAGGCGAAGGCTCATGCGGGTTCATTCCTCAGGCTCCCAAGGATGGGCCAGCGGTGAGTGGGATATGTAAGTGATAGAAAGAGTAAGGAAGGGAGGAAGGATAGGGGAGTGAAGATCTCTCAGATGCCTTTTCCCCCCTCCAATCCTTCCCGTCTAAACTCTTCTGCTATTTCGCTAATCCGGGTTCCTTATCAGGTGACCGCCTCGCCTCGAGCATGTACCCATGTGTGTACCCGTGCCGGGAGGACCAGGGCATTCTCTGGTTCTGACCCGGTACCCTCCGCTGCTGCTCAAATAGCTGCTGCTTTGCCTTGCACTGCTGCTGCTGAATCCGTCTGCCCCCACTGCCCCCCATCCCCTCCCCCCCCATCTCCCCCTTTCCAGGTGAACGCCTCGCCTCGAGCATGTGCGCGTGTGTACCCGTGCCGGGAGCACCAGGGCATTCTCTGGTTCTGGCCGGATTGCTCCCCTTCCGCTGCTGCCGAGTCATCTGCTGCCCCTCCTCCCCCGACCCTCGCTGAGTTTGACGACCCGAGCTACAGATACGATACTGGCATGGCGGATCTAGAATACGGGTGAGCTGCTGAGGGGAGGGAAGTGGAAGATTGAGGGGAGGGAAGGGGGAGGGGAGGGGAGGGGGAGGGTTGCTTATCCTCCCTGAGTATGACGACCCGAGCTTTCGATATGATACTGGAATGCCCGATCTAGAATACAGGTGAGCTGCAGCAGGTGGGGCAGAAGAAAACAAGCGTTGCTGGTTCTACTTAAGCACGTTTCTTCCTGGCATGGCTGCTCTTAATGCGGACGAGCTCATATATGTGTTCAGGAGTGTAATGTTGATTTTTTGGGACAGTTACACTTGCTGTGAGGCGTTGCTTTGCACAACTCAAAACAAGAGATCAGAAGAGACTAGAGTTTTATTTGCTTCCCTTCCGTTTCCTGCCCAACAGCTACGAAATGCTGATGGAAAATCTGTTGGACCCAGCGCATGTGCCCTTCGCCCATCACAAGTACCAGGTCAGGACTGAGAATCCACGTTAGGTTCCGGGATCAATTCTTGCTATCCACCCACGTCACTTGCGGAAAGTCAGGCACCCTTTTCACATTTGATCCCACCGCCATTCATTGGGAAATCATAACAATTGTGGGCCTTTGCCGTCCGTGGTGGTAACGAGCTCTGCCCACGAGGCATAGAGGGAATGGGCCTCTCTTCCTCATACACACACACCATCCCATCCCATCTCATGACATCTTCCAAACACCACAAGCTGGCCGTACCAAGGTGGGCCACTGCCGTAAGTGATGGTAACCAGCATTGATTTGTCACAATGCATTGATTCTTATCCTTATACACGCCCTCCCATCACCACAGAGCGATCGAAACAAGGGGGGGGCGCTGTAGATAAAGGTGGTATCCAGCATGGATTCGTCGCAATGCATTGATCCTTATCCTTATACACGCCCTCCCATCACCACAGGGCGACCGTAATAAGGGGGGCCCGATGCCGAAGATGGTGGTAACCAGCATTGCTGCACGAGGCATTGATGGAACGAGCTTTCTTGGCGGCCCGGCAGCTGTGGTGCCGCCCTGCACGCTCATTCAGAAGCTCTTTATCGGCGGGAAAGTGGTGAGCTACTAATTATTAGCACATACTCGTTATTAGCACTTGCTCGTGGTGGTAACCAGCAACAATCCACGAGGCATAGAGGGGACGAGCTTCCTGGCGGCTCAGCGGCTGTGGTGCCGCCGTGCGCACTCATCCATAAGCTCTTAATTGGTGGGAAAGTGGTGAGCTACTCGTTATTGACACATACTCGTTTCAAGCAAGAAAGCTCCTGGAAATGATTCATCATGACTTTTGGATGGTGTGACTAATTTTCTCGTGCTGCCCTCTTCTTGCCTCCACCTTCCCCTTTTCCTCGCCATCCCACCCTCTCCCACTCCCCCGTACTCCCACCCACCCGTCGGCCTGCTTCTCAAATCTCCTGCAGCCCATCCCCCACTGAGTGTCGTATCTACCGCCTTCCCTCTCCTGTTATCTGTGCAGGAGGAAGGGTCAGGCAAGAAGCAGAAGACGGCGATTCTCTTCTTCCACTGCATTCCCCGCCTGCCCGGGCAGAGCCGCCTCATCTGGTTCTTCATGAACAACATCATTCCCCCGTGGGTGCCGTCCCCGCCCGAGTGGTTTGTGCACTTCACTCGGATGAAGGTGCTTGACACAGACCACGTGCTGCTGCATCTCACAGTGAGTCATCCGCCTAGGTCGTTGGCTTTGTATGTGCCTCGAAAGCTTCTCTTCTAAAAGGTGAGTGATTCGACTCCCAGACAGGGGTGGGCTCCATCTCCTCCCTGGTCAGAGCCACCTCATCTGGTTCTTCGTGAACGACATCATTCCGCCGTGGTCCCCGCCTGAGTGGTTTCTGCACTTCACTCAGATGAAAGTGCTCGTCGTCACAGACCACGTGCTGCTGCACCTCACAGAATGTCTACCATTGTGCATGGCTGTTCGAAGAACCCCTGCCACTTCAGACCCACCCCGAGTGGTTCTTCTTCTTCACTCGGTGAAAGTGCTCGACACGGACCGCGTGCTGCTGCACCTCACAGTATGTCTACCAGTGTGCATGGCTGTTCAAATCAAAGAGCTCCTGCCACTCTGAACGCCACGAATGGTACATCTACTTCACTCGGTGAAGGTGCTCGACACAGACCACGTGCTTCTCTGCTGAACCTCAAGGTATGTCTATTGTCCCACGTGGTTGCCAAAAGGCGTCTCAGCCCCCTCACACCCCACCTCGGCAGTGAGGAGGAGGGATGGGCAGTGAAGGGAATACTTTTTGAGGCGCCTAAACAATCGGCTCTGCTGCACCTCACGGTATGCCTATTGTCCGACGTGGTTGCCAAAAGGAGTCTCAGCCCCTTCAGGCCCAGTGAAGGGGTCCTCGGCAGTGAGGAAGAGGGATGGGCAGAGAAGGGAATAAGGCGGTACTACACTCCCACCTCGGCTGACTCCGTTGACTCCACCTACCTCTCATATCACCTTTTCCCCATCCCCCAATAATCCCTGCCCCAATCCAGGAGCAGAGGAAGAGGCAACTATAGGAAGAGGCAACTATAGGAAGAGGCAACTATAGGAAGAGGTAACTATAGGAAGAGGTAACTATAGGAAGAGGCAACTATAGGAAGAGGTAACTATAGGAAGAGGCAACTATAGGAAGAGAGAGGGGCGGTGAAGAGAGTAAGGCAGTACTACACCCCCACCGCGGCTGACTGATTTGTCTCTCTGGCTACCACTTCACATCTGTACCTTACACCCAATGCAGGAGCGCTGGCTAGAGGAAGAGGGAGGGGAGGTGAAGGGAGTAAGGCAGTACTACACCCCCACCACAGCTGACTGCTTTGTCTCTCTGCCTACCACTTCACATCTGTACCTTGCACCCAATGCAGGAGCGGCGGCTGGAGGAAGAGGGAGGGGAGGTGAAGGGAGTAAGGCAGTACTACACCCCCACCGCAGCTGACTCCTTTGTCTCCGCCTACCGCTCCTGGCTGCAAAAATATGCTGGCAGCAAGGCGCGCTTCCCAGCTTACGTCAACCCGGCACTGCCTCCTGCCAAGTCCAGGAGGGAGATTCTTGACAGGTGGGTTCTTGCTCCGCTGTTGTTGATGTGCTCTTCAGGCGCCTTAGACCAAGCACTGGCTCAGAGGCTGCTTGCGGGGCGGCAAGGTGCGCCCTCTGCCAAGTCCAGGACGCATATTCTACACTGGCGTTCCCCATTTCTCACATTCCTGCCCTATGTCCCTTTCATCCTCTCCAGCCCCTTCCCCATTCCACTCCCCACCTGCTAGACCGCGCTTCCAGATGCTTCTGTGCGCCGACCGCCAGCGAGTGCAGCGGTGGTCGGGGCGCTTCAACTCACCCCTCTGCCACTTCTCTCCCACTCCTTGCCCTTGATCCCACCTACCAGGCAGCGCTTCCACGTGCGCCTGTGCCCCGACTGCCAGCGATTGCAGCGTTGGTCGGAGTGTCTTCGTGTTTCTCACTGGGGAGCCGCCCTCACCCACCCCCCCCCTCTCCCTCCCCCCCCCCCCAACACACACCCCACCTACCAGGCAGCGCTTTCACGTGCGCCTGTGCCCCGACTGCCAGCGAGTGCAGCGTTGGTCCGAGCGCCTCGGCACCGCTCTCTGGGCCGCCGCACTCCTGCTCCTCGCTGCCACTGCCCTGCTGCCCCTCGCCCCCCCTGCTGTCCAGCAAGCTGCAGGCCCCACCGGTGCTGTTGTTGCGGCAGTGGCTGCGCTTGTGTGTGCTGCGGCTGCGCACTGGCTGAAGGGGTTCATCGAGAGGAACTATGTATTTGAGGACTTCGTGCATGCGCTCTGGTACCCTGCCACGAAATAGCCCACGGAGAAAAAAAAACCCACGGGCTCTTGTTGCAGGCCCATAGTTGTCAGGCTTTTTACGCTGATTTTGCTCTCTTTTTTTTCAGGGTGTTCTTGTTAGAGTACCTGGGAAAAAGTGTGACTCCGGAAAAATGTCGAGGGATACAAAACTTAGGGCTGTACTTGCTAAAAACTAAACTAGCTAAGCTATAAAAAATGTGCAATAGCTAATCTATATATAAATATATTTGTTAACACACCCCCTAGCCTAAATAGTGGCAGTTCATAACAAGGCAGAGTACACCAGGGCAGCACTACTAGTCTGACCTCTGGTGAAGGGAACAAGACAACTCAGGGCAGCACCACTAGTCTGACCCCTGAGACCAGAGGCCACAAGGCCAATCAGCAAGTGTAGCAAGGCATGCAGATATAGAACAAGTACAAGCAGGTATAGTATGACTCAGGATACAAGGAGCGGTGCTACGACGGAGGCTAGACCAGGCTGAGTACAGAACCGCTGATGATCACGAGGCGCAAGTGCCTTAGTGAGGATACCAGCAGTGTTGGCCTCAGAGGCCAACTGTACCACACGAGCCTGGCCGCGCTGCTGCAACTCACGCAGCAGGAAGTACCGCAGCTGAACTTACTTCGCCCTGCCCTCAAGTCGAGCCTCCAGACACAGGAGGGTCACGGCCCTATTGTCGGCAAACAGGACCGAGGCAGACCTAGGCTGCACACCCAAGTCAGTGAGCAAGAACGTCAGCCAGCGGAGCTCCTGAGCGGCCATGGCCCCAGCGTAGCTCTCTGCCTCACAACTCGACTGAGCTACAGACGACGACCTTGTGGACCTCCACGAGACTGCACCCGCACCAAGACTAAAGCAGTAGCCCTGAGACGACCTGAGCGTCTCCACGTCGTCAGCCTACGACGCGTCTGTGTGTCCAGTGAGCACCACTAGCTCCCATCCTCCCACCACAAGCCCCAGTTCTGATATACTCGACAGATACCGCAGTACCCTCTTCGCAACCGACCAGTGGACTGGTCGGTACCTGCCTGTCGCAACAAAGCGAGCCAGGAGACTGAGAGGGTACGCTAGATCTGGTCGAGTGTAGGTCATCAGGTACTTGAGGCACCCCACCAGCTCTGTGTATGGACCACTAGCCTCGATCGACTCAGCCGGAACAGGAGCAGAGAGCTTGTCCTCCACAGGTAGAGGGGTGGGCTGTGCTGAGGTGTACTGGAGACTGAACCTCTGGAGGATCCGATGCACCATATGAGACTGGGAGAGTGTGATCGTGCGAGCAACACAGTCACGAGAGATCTCCAAGCCCAGATAGTGCCTTAGCTCCCCCAAGTCTGTACAAGTGTGTCTCCTAAGTAACTCGACCTTCACTGAGGCCAATGCGACACTGTCAGGAGTAGCGAAGATAAGATTGTCTATGTACACTAGAATGTAGAACGGTGTCTGGCCCGTGCGAACAAAGAGAGAGGGGTCAGCAGAGGATGGAAAGAACTACAGCTCAGCAAGAGTGGTGCGAAGCGTGTCGTGCCACTCACGGGGTGCCTGATAAAGACCGTAGACAGGATGGCACAGGCTCTACTCAGTCCCAGGTGGGAAGGACCCAAAGAAGCCTAGAGGGCACCGGAGGTAGAGCTGCTCGTGCAGACTACCCTGAAGGAACGACATAGAGAATTCGAGTGAGTGAAGCTCGTAGTCACACCGCGCGGCTATGTGAAGAAGGACCCGAAGTGTAGTCATCTTCGGGGTCGGGGAGAAGGTCTGGAAGAAGTCCACACCCTGACGATGACTGAAGCCTCTAGCCATGTAACACGCCTTGAACTTCGGCGGCTCTCCAGGTGCGCGCTTCATCCTGTAGATCCGCAGGCCATCGACTACGTTCACCCCAGGCAAGGGAACTGCGTCGACGTAAGTGCCTGTGGATCTGTAGGATGCCATCTCAGCCTCCATGGCCTGTATCCACTAGGCTGCCTAGGGCCCCGACACAGCCTCAGCGTAAGAGCATGGAACAGGGATGTCGAGAGCGCCTGGGTCGCCTTCTGGGGATACAAGCATGGAGAAGAGATGGGGAACAGCGGCAGCAAGGTAGGCCAACTCGTACTGCCTGTCCTCTAGCACGTCACTGCCAAGGGCAGGTGCACCCCTGACGGACAGAGGACCGGCAGTACCAGAGACCAGAGCGGCAGCGTAGTTAAGGCGGTGGCTAGCAGCAAAGTCAGCAACAGCAGCACCAAGCGCAAAGACGGACTCAGGAGGAGCAGTAGGGTCAGTCACAAGCGACGCAAGCAAGTACGAGAGGGTAGGACGAGCAGCGAGAGCAGCGTCAGAGCGAGGAGGGGGGGACGACGAGAGCAACGACGGGGGAGGCAACGGGAGGTCTGGGACCGGAGGAGCACACGAACGAAGAACCATAGGGTGGACACTAGGACGAGGAGAGACAGGACGTGCATCAAAGGGGCGACGGACCCAGCGGGGAAGAACAGGGAATTGGGGACAAGGGGGAACGGGGGACAAGTCGGGGGACGGAGGGGAGCGCGGGGGAAAACGAGCCAGAGAGGAGTCTGGAGAAGGGAACAACGGGTCGTAAATAGGGTCACACATCGGAGGGGGAACGGGCGGGCAAACAGGGGAACATGGAGCAAGACCAAGGAGACGAAGGGCAGACTGCGGCTGCTCCTACTGCGGCGGCAGCGCCTGCTATTGCGGCTGCTGCTGTGGCTGCTGCTGCTGCTGCTGCTACAGCTACCGCTACGGATGCAACTGCTCCCTCTCCTCTCCAGCACCTCCAGCGGCACCATGGCTGCCACCGGCACTCCCCGAAACATCACCCCCAAGAATAGCACCCTCGGACGCAACACCCACAGAACCAGCACCCCCAGAGTCAGCACCCCCAGAACTCGCACCCCTAGAACCAACATCCCCAACACCAACACCTCCAACACCATCACCCCCAGAAGCAGCACCCCTAGAACCCACTTCTCCCTGCTGCGGCTGCTTGAGGCTGCTGTGGCGGGTGCTGCTGCTGTTGAGGACATGGGGGGGGGCGGCTGAGGTGACTGGAGTACCAAGGCTCGGGAAGGCGCCACAAGGACAGCAGGCGCGCCCCCAGAGTCTGCCAACTCCCCCACAGGCGCAATCGAGGGGAACTAAGTGGCATGGGAGACACCAGACTGGGCCGGGCGGGCCGAGAGGGGGTGCGGCAAGTGAGGTAGTGACAAGGAAGAGAGGAGGAGGAGGCACAGGAGCACTGCGGTGTGGGAAGTGTCGGTATTAGGGGAGTAACTCGTTGAAGGTAACGTCACGAGAGTGGTAAAAACGGTGGTGTGACGAGTGGTGCAATAGCCAGTCAGACGCGTCAAGCGCGTCAAGCAGAAACCCCAAGAAGACACAAGGGAGGGTGCGGGCTGAGAGCTTGTCCGCGCTAGTGTCGCGGACGTGAGCAAGGCTGCCCCAGACGTGGAACGCAGACGTGTCACCAGGAGACTGGGTCTAGGGGAGGGTCGGCGAAACCTGTGGCCGCTGGGAGTGCGGCCACAGATTAAGCTAGTGAGCAGCGTAGCGCACAGCAAACGGCCACAGAAAATGAGGTGCATCGGCGTAGATCATGGAGGTGCGAGCCACCTCCATGATCAGGCCGATGCGTTGCTTAGCGACCCCATTCTACTGTGGGGAGTCCGGCAATGTGTATGTCTGGCGGATGCCCTCCGCACGACTGAACCGTCCTAGAGTGCCAGAGGTGAACTCGCCACCTCGGTCAGAGTGTAAGCGACCTACTGGCAGACGGTGGTGGGTGCGAACAGTGAGAAGCCACGGAAGGAGAACGGTAGGCACGTCGGCCTTCCGCTCCAACGGGAATACTGTGGTGAACCGCGAGAAGTCGTCAACGACGACTAGGAAGTAGCGCTCCCGACTAAGACCATGGACAGAGGCAGGGCCCCAGACGTCTATGTGCCGTGTCTGTAGTGGCACTGTGGTAAGAGGGAACAAGGAGGAGTGAAGGGCAGTGCACTGCCGGCCCTCGACGCAGGAGGTGCACAGTGGCGCTACTGACAGAGGCAGGGCGGGGAGCGACGCAGAGAGACCTGTAACTAGACCATGCTGGGACATGTGCCTAAGACATGTGAGTGCAGGGTAACCTAAGCAGTGGTGCCACAGAAGGGTCGAGTGGGCTAGTGAGCGACAAGTGACCTCGGCAGACGCAGTAGCCGACTGGGACTCAGTGCACAGTGTAAAGAGACCTGACCTAGGGTTACGCTCAAAAGTGGCTAAGTGTCGACCGGTGGCTGTGTCTGTGCAAGCGCTGTGTCTCTCACGGGCAGGGAACGTAGTGGTGATGCCTCGGTCCTGGAGGTGACCGACATCCACTTGGTTCCTGGCAAACGAGGGGATGTGCAGACCGGTGAGAGAGCCGGAAGGGGCAGTTGGATAGGGGAGAGTGGTGGTGCTACGCGCAATAGCTGTGGCGGAAGAGTCAGCTAGTGTGATGCGGACAGGTAGAAGAAGCGGGGTGAGAGCAGTACTGCTTAAAAGAAAAGCACCGAGACGCGCCAGAGTCTATGACAAATGATAGGGCGGACATGGCGGGGCCCAGTGAAGAGTCTCTAATAGGCCCTACGCCTGACACAGCAAGAGAGTCTATGCCTGACGCAGCAGGGGATCCTAGACTACACACAGCAATAGCTCCAAGGCTACGAACAGCACGATAATAAGATCCACGAACACTAGAAGCATCAAAATACAGTGAACACAACGCATGATCGATCTGACTCATATCCATATTAAAGATAGGAACCCCACGAGGAAGCAAGATGGGCCAGGAGGGTACCTGCACCAGCAGGCCGAACAAACGACAGTAAAGGTCGTCCAGGCGGCGGAAGCAGCGAGCGGCGATGTGCCTCACGCGCCTGCACTTCTGGCCCCCATGCAATCCCCAGGGCACTGACTGCCCTAGGCCCTAACCCCCACGGCCTCCACCACGACCACCAACCCCAGGGCCCGCCGGCCCCCACGACCGCTGCGGCTGCTGCTGCGTAGTCCCCGACTCTGACTGACCGCCCTCTCGGTCCGCACCCGCACCCTCTCCACCCACTGCTGCCGAACGCCCACGACCCTTGCTCCCCTTGCCCTTGCCCTTGCCGCCAGAGGAGCGGCTGGGGACAGAGGTAGCCGCTGCGGTCTCAGTTACAGAGGCGGATACAGGGAGTGTCACTGGGGAGGGAGCGCTGCACTGAAAGATAGGGACTGCCGGCGTGCCAGTGGAACCAACAATGGCGCGGAGGGGATCCTCTACCTCAGGCAGGGAGGTGGAGAAGAGGGTAAGGGTGAGCTTAGAGGGGTGACGAGCGAGGAGCGCATCGCGGGCAGGGGCTAGGCGATCAGGGAGGCGAGTGACAAGGAAGTAGATAGTGGCGAAGAAGGGGGGCGGGACGAGCGCTAGCTGGGCCTCAGTATGGGTCGCACGCCAGCTGGCCTCGAAGGAGCGCAGGTGCTCGACTAAGTCTACTACTGTGGTGAAGGACGTCAGGTCATGGTGGAAGAAAGGGAGGAGGAGACGACCAAGAGTGGCAGACGACGGGGTGGAGTACCTAGCGAGGATAGCCAGCCAGAGGGCGCGGACTGATACAGCACCCACAAAGTGGGAGTGCTCGTCAACCGGCAGGCATTTGAGGATGGCGACGCGAGCAGTGACGTCGCGGGACGCCCAAACATAGTAGGCAGTACGAGCAGCAGCGTGCACAGTCTGTTGCTCAGACGTCGCGTCAGTAGCAAGAGCGCCCGGGCGGGGGACAGCAGTGAACTCACAAGAAACGTGGGCGTCCAGGGACTCTAAGTCGACGCGCTGACTCGTGAAGTGAAGCAGAACTGCCTCCTGCCAGGCGGCAAAACCGACTGCCCGCCCCCCCTCCCCATCCAGGCGCAAAACACAAATGCCAGGCGACGCCATGCTGGTAGCTGCGGCCGTGAAGACAGAGGCGGCAAAAGCAGGGACAATTGGGTCAGTTGCTACAGGGGCAGCTAGGACAAGGGCTGCAGAGGGAGCCGGTGGCAGCGGTGGCTGCTAGCTAGCAGCAGGGTGGCAGCGCGGCAACTATAAGGGCAGCGGCGGTAGAGACGGCTGTAAGGGGCAGTGGCGGCAGCAACAGCTGCAAGGGCAGCGGCGGCAACGGTGACTGCAAGGGCAGCGGCGGCAGTGGCGGCTGCAAAGGGCAGCGACGGCTGCAAGGGAAGCGGCGGCAGTGGCGCTGCAAGGGCAGCAGCTGCAACGGCAGCTACAAAGGGAGCGGCGGCAGCAGCGGTGGCAGCGGCAACTGCAAGGCCAGCGGCGGCAAGGGTGGCTGCAAGGTCAGCAGCTGCAGTGGCAGTGGCGGTAGCGGCAGTGGCAGTGGCAGCAACGGCAGTGGCGGTTGCGGCAGTGGCAGTGGCTATAGTGGCAGCGGTCGGGACTGCAGCAGTTGCGGGAGGGGCAGTGGCGGTAGCGGCAGCGGCGGCTGCGGCTACAGCGGCTGCGGCAGTGGCTGCAGCGACAGCGGCAGTGGCAGCGGTGGCAGCGCAAGCGGCGGCAGTGGTAGTGGCAGCAGCTGCTGCAACACTGGCAGCGGCGGCGGCGCAAGTGGCTGAAGCGGCGGTGGTTGCAGGAGCTGCAGCAGTGGCAGTAGCAGCAGAGCAAGCGGCAGCAGTGGCAGCGGCAGTAACTGCAGTGGTAGCGATAGTGTTTGTAACGGAGAGGCAATAGTGGCGGCAGTGGCAGTGGCTGCAGTGGCAGCTGCAAGGGCAGCGGCGGCTGCAAGGGCGGCGGCGGCAGTGGCGCTGCAAGGGCAGCAGCTGCAACGGCAGTTGCAAGGGGAGCGGCGGCAGCAGCGGCTGCAAGGGCAGCGGTGGCAGCGGCAACTGCAAGGGCAGCGGCGGCAAGGGTGGTTGCAAGGGCATCAGCTGCAGCGGCAGTGGCGGTAGCGGCAGTGGCAGTGGCAGCGACGGCAGTGGCAGTTGCAGCAGTAGCAGTGGCTGCAGTGGCAGCGGCGGCTGAGGCAGCGGTCGGGACTACAGCAGTTGCGGTAGGGGCAGTGGCGGCTGCGGCAGTGGCTGCAGCAGCTGCAGCGGCTGTGGCAGTGGCAGCGGCGGCAGCGCAAGCGGCGACAGTGGCAGTGGCAGCAGTGGCAGAGGCAGTTGCTGCAGTGGCAATGGTTGGCGCAGCAGCGAGCTGGCCAGTGATGGGCTGGCAAGCGCTGGCTAGCTGGTTGGCGTGTTACCTAGCGCATTGACTGGCTTGCCGGCTAGCGCGCTGGCTGGTTCGCTGGCCTGCTGGCTGCCGTACGAAACAGCGGGAACGCTAAAGGGGAGTACGTCGAGGCTACAGTGCGCAAAATTGGAAGGCTACAGTGTGCAAAATTGGAAGGCTACAGTGCGCGAAATTGAGAGAGGTGCACACGTGCGAAAAAAGAAGCCACAGCAACGGCGGTAGCGTGAGAAACGACGGAAAAAAGGGTCTAACCTAGCTCTGATACCATGTTAGAGTAGCTTGGAAAAAGTGTGACCAAGGGAAAATGTCGAGGGATACAAAACTAGGGCTGTACTCGTTAAGAACTAAAGTAGCTAGGCTACAAACAAATATGACATAGCTAATCTACACATACATATTTTTGTTTACAGTTCTCTTGTATCGAACCTGATGAATCAGCCGAACCGGATGAAAGAGAAAGAACCAGGGCTAACCAGTAAGAAAACCACTACCATAAACTGATTTTCAGGGTGTTTTTTTAGTTCGACACTAATCAATCAGCGTGGCCTAGAACGAATATGAGGGCCTGTTGTGGTGGTTGCGGTGCTTGTCTGTTCTGCGGTTGCTCAGTGACTGGAGGGATTCATTGAGAGGAAGTACACAAGCACGTGCAGGAGGACCTTAGCCATGCACTATGGTCTAATATAAAAAACAGTACTATGTTTATAAGAAGCCAAGTGTATGATAGGTATATAGAGTGCCTCGGTGGTGACATGGGAAGATGTATGTGCCATATGCATAGTAATTTGTGAAATGACCGGTATATTTTGGTGGTGGTTACTATATTTCACTAGTAGTACATTTTAGAGATAGTTTGGATTTGGATTGATACTAGTAGTATGGCCATCATAAGATGAAGTGAAGCAAGATGTTGCACTGCTCTTAGCAAGCACCGAGTTAAACAACACCGGAGCATGACTCTGAAAAAACTGAGCAGCACTGCTGACCAGAAGCCACTGAAAAGCCCACTCCCCACAAATTGCCGTTTCCTTATTTCCCGCCTTTCCTTTGGTGGGGTGCCTGACACGGCTTGCTTGTAGCTCAGCCCCGAGTCCCCGTCCCGCTTGCTGCTTGGGTTCGCCTTTCTCGCCTAGAGCGGTATTGTGCTTCTGGGAGCAGCAGGGAGTTTGCCTTCGTTAGAATCACGCAGGGACGATGCCTCCTAAGGGGAAGAAGGAGGCTCCAGTCGAGAGGCCGATCCTCGGTAGATTCTCCTCGCATCTTAAGATCGGTATTGTGCGTGACCCGCCATGACCTCTTATCTTCTTCCTGTCTTTCGCGCTCTCCCAGACGCTCTCCGGCTCGCATCCATAGACTTTTTTGCTGCTTACATACGTCATGCTTCACGGATTCTTGTCGTTAAGCTTCGTACTGATGGTTTTTGTGCCACAGTATCAGTCTTCTTGGCCTTATCACTTCGTGGTAAGCATTTTTACCACTGAAATCCGTAACCCTAATCTGCTTTCCCTTCCCTGTTTTCTGGTTGCAGCCATGAAGCTTTTCCTCTGCTCTCTTTCCGGCTCCTTTCTCTGATCCCGACCAACTAGGACGATCTTCCCAATGTCGGCAAGTCAACCGTTTCCATAGGCTCACCAAGCTCTCCACCCCCGTTAATAGCTTCCCCGTTTTCACCATTAACTGTAGTTACCCCAACTTCTCTGCTCCAAACCAGGTCGGTCTTCCCAATGTCGGCAAGTCAACGCTGTTCAACACACTGACCAAGCTCCCCATCCCCGCTGAGAACTTCCCCTTCTGCACCATCAAGCTTAATGACCCGTTTCTCTACTCCCTTCTCCCCGCACATCACCAGGTCGGTCTTCCCAATGTCGGCAAGTCGACGCTGTTCAACACGCTCACCAAGCTCTCCATCCCCGCTGAGAACTTCCCCTTCTGCACCATCAACCCCAACGAGGCTCGCGTGAACGTGCCTGACGAGCGCTTCGACTGGCTCTGCCAGCTGTTCAAGCCCAAGAGCGAGGTGAGTGGAAATTGTGACTATGGCAAATCACTTCTGTTGGTTGGCATGCATTCAGCCGCGCTTCGACTGGCTCTGCCAGCTGTTCAAGCTCAAGAGCGAGGTGAGTGATTGTTGCGTCTACAGAGAGTATGACTGTAACAAGCATGATTGTAGCGAGTCAGAGCTGTCGAGTGGCTCTGCCAGCTGTTCAAGCCCATGAGCATGGTGAGTGATTGTGACTGTAGCAACGGCCCACTCGCAGTTCTCGGCGTGCATTCAATTCAGTCACCTTTCGCCTGGCTCTGCGAGCTGTTCAAGCCCAAGAGCGAGGTGATCCCAACAGAACGCTACACAGTGTAATAGTTAGCAGGGTATTTTTGAGAATTCTAAAAAATAATTACGAGTATGTATCCAGTCACCTTTCGGCCGGCTCTGCCAGCTATTTAAGCCCAAGAGCGAAGTGAGAAGAATACTATCGAGTGTGACAGTAGCGAGTCTTGGAGGTGAATGACTTTGCATGGCTGGTGGTGCGCGTGTTGGTTAGCTCTCTCACGTGTCCTTTCTTCTGACCTCTCTTTCCCTCTTCCCTTCGTCTATCCCTTTCCCCTTACCCTTTCTCTATCCCGCTCTCCCACGTGTCCTTGATCTTTCTTTCGCTCTTCCCTTGCTCTACCCCCTCTCTCTCCCAGGTCTCCGCTTTCTTTCGCTCTCCCCTTGCTCCACCCCTTTCTCCTTCCCTTTCCCTATCCCTCACTCCCAGGTGTCCGCTTTTCTGGAGGTGAACGACATCGCGGGGCTGGTCCGTGGGGCCAACGAAGGGGAGGGGCTGGGCAATGCTTTCCTCTCGCACATCCGAGCCGTTGATGGCATCTTCCACGTGTGCCGTGAGTAATAGACGACCTTTGATTTGAGGCATCGTCCGCGTGCCGTCAGTAATGGACGGCCTTTGAGGCGTCTCAAAAATCGCAGCCGGGCTGTTGACGGCATCTTCCATATGTGCCGAGAGTCTTGACGTTCCCCATGCTGCCATGGCATGGCAATGATATCACACACCCACCACAGGTGCCTTTGATGACAGCCAATGCTATCCACGTGGAGGACATGGTGGACGGACCTGATCAGCGACATGGCGATCGTTGCCCTTTGCACCTTCTCTCCTCTCCCCCCCCCCCCCCCCCCCCCCCCTCTGCTTCCTTCTTCCGGCCTTAGAGGTGCAATCGACGACGCTGATGTGATCCACGTGGAGGACACGGTGGACCCGACAGGGGACCTGGAGATCCTAGCCCCTGGCACCCACTGCCCCCATAGACCCAGGTCCATCCCCATCCCCCCCCGTACCCCCACACACCAGGTGCGTTCGATGATGCGGACGTCATCCACGTGGAGGACACGGTGGATCCGATCCGGGACCTGGAGATCATCCACAACGAGCTGCGGCTGAAAGACATCGAGTTCATGGAGCGCGCCAAGGAGGACTACGAGAAGCAGCTCAAGCGCAGCAACGACAAGCAGCTCAAGATCGACCACGAGCTGTGCTTGAGGGTGAGAGGGGCGTGGGGGGGAAGAGAGGGAATGGGGTGGGGGAAAGGGAGGGAGGCGCCATTATGAGCAGCTCAAGATCGGCCGCGGGTGAGAGGGCCTGCAGGCTAGGTAGGTAGGAAGCAGGGGAGAAGGCGCCTATTTTTGAGGCGCGTCAAGACAAGGCGCAAGGCATGGAAGGGCCCCTGGGAACAAGGCGCAAGGCATGGAAGGGCCCCTGGGAACAAGGCGCAAGGCATGGAAGGGTCACGTGGAGCCGCTGAAGCGACTTTTGAGTCGACTCAAAAGTCACCTCTGCATGGAAGGGTCACGTGGAGCCGCTGAAGCACAGCCAGCAACGCTTGTCCCTGAGGGCAATGAGGGCAGGGACGGACGGCCCCCCTCATAACCCTCTTTCAAGGATTATGGGGTGTTGCTGCACTCGAATGGGGGCAGGGACACCCCCCTCCCCCTTCCCCCTCCTCTCCTCTCTCAACCCCCCCCCCCCCCCCCCCCTTTTCTCCCTTTACAATACAACACACGCACACTTCCCATTGCCACGTGTTGGTGCGTTTGAACGAGGGAAAGGACGTGCGTCTGGGGGAGTGTAAGGCGGCAGATGTGGAGGTGCTCAACACCCCTCTCCCCTGCCCTCCATCCCTTTTTTGCCCCACACCCCTTTTTCCCCACGCACTCACCCCTCCACCCCTTATCCGTCCACACATGCACACACCTCACCCCATTGCAGGTGCTGGCGCATTTGAACGAGGGTAAGGACGTGCGCCTGGGTGAGTGGAAGGCGGTCGACATCGAGGTGCTCAACACCTTCCAGCTGCTCTCTGCCAAGCCCGTCGTCTACCTGGTATGGTGCTGCCGCGTGTCTGGTAGGTGTCTGGTGCGCGATTGTGGTGTGTGTCTGGTGTGTACTTGTGGTAGGTGTCTGGTGCGCACTTGTGGTGTGTGTCTGGTGCGCACTTGTGGTGTGTGTCTGGTGTGCACTTGTGGTGTGTGTCTGGTGTGCACTCGCAACAAATACCTGCTTTGAACCACCACAAGCATGCACACATTGAGGTGCGCAACACTTTCCAGCTGCTATCCGCCAAGCCTGTTGTCTACCTGGTATGGTGTGCTGCCGTGTGTCTGGTGTGTACCTTGTCTGAAGACACTCAGACGCCTGCAACTTGTTCCAGTTCTTTGGCTGCTTTCATGCTTTAGCTGCTGCCACTGCAGCGATGGTGCTAGCGCTGCCCCCCCCGGACATCTGCCCTTGCCATGTGCTATTTTTTTTAGTGGTTACGTTATTGCTGGCTTTCGTGTTACTGTACTGGCAGGTCAATCTGACCGAGAAGGATTACCAGCGTAAGAAGAACAAGTGGCTTGCAAAAATCCACGGCTGGTAGGTGCCAAGATTTTTTATTATTTTTTTTTTCCCTCCCAACGTATCACTCTTTTCTCCTGTAGGTGATTTTTATGAGTTGTAAAAAATCGCCTTTTCCTCGCCTGCAGGGTGCAGGAGCATGGGCAGGACCCAATCATCCCCTTCAGTGGAGTGTTGGAGTCCAAGCTAGCTGACATGCCGGCAGACGAGGTTGCCAAGTACTGCAAGGAGAATGAGATCCAGAGGTGAGACAGGGCTGGAGAGGAGTATTTTTCCTCCATAATCCCCCCTTGATTGCAAGTGCTCGAGTCCAAGCTGGCTGACATGCCGGCAGACCAGATTGCCAAGTACTGCAAGGAGAATGAGATGCAGAGGCGAGAGATGCAGAGGCGAGAGATCCAGAGGTGAGATCCAGAGGTGAGAGATCCAGAGGTGAGAGAGCTGCGGATTAGGGTTTTTCCCCCTTTTTTTCCTTTTTCTTTTCGGTTTCTGTTTCAATGCTTTCTGGCCCCGCCCGTGCAGCCACCATCCCTCTCTCCCGCTCGTGTTTCTGTTTTCCTTTCTGTAACTTTCTCTGGTTCTCTCCCATTCCCTGTGGCAGTGGCCTTCCCAAGATTATCAAGACTGGCTTTGCTGCCATCAACCTCATCTACTTCTTCACTGCTGGGCCTGACGAGGTCCGTTAACTACTTTTAACATGTGCCTTTAGTGAAGAGGGACTGCGCTTGTTGTTGCTTTGCTGATGTCCTCAGCCTCATCTGCTTCTTCACTGCTGGGTCGGACGAGGCCAGTTCACTTCGCCTACCAGCAGCGAACCCCCTCCCCCCCTCCCCCCCCCCCTCCCCTTCTCTCGATCTTGATTGTTTTTTTCTTTCTTTCTTTCTTTCTTTCTTTTCTTTTCTTTTCCTTTTTTTTTTCAATCTCATTTTTTTTTGTCTCTGGTTCTGCATTTGGCCGTTCTACCACTCTTGGGTTGTCTTGTCTCTGCCTGCACCAGGTCCGATGCTGGCAGATTCGCAAGCAGACCAAGGCACCGCAAGCAGCAGGGGCCATCCACACAGACTTTGAAAAGGGCTTTATCTGTGCTGAGGTCAGCTGCCTATATTTCTCCACAACTGCCTTGCTTCCTGCTGTTAAATATTTGTGTTTTGTTTTTTGCTGTTCTTTTTTCCATCTAGGAGCATTGCTGTGGTGTGTTTCGTTGGGTTTCTTTAAGCTTATTTTTAAATCCATGTGTTTGGTTGTTGTATGTTGCTTGATTCTTCCCTCTCCTCCTCAGGTGATGAAATTCGAAGATTTAAAAGAGCTTGGATCGGAATCTGCAGTCAAGGTAAGAAAAGTGCTTGCACCCTAAACACGAATCTGGCACACGTATTCCATTCCATGGAAGTACTAACATTCAGTGACTCGTGTTTGTGTTGTGTTACTGTGTATCATGACAGGCTGCTGGCAAGTACAAGCAAGAAGGGAAGACATATGTGGTTCAGGATGGCGACATCATCTTCTTCAAGTTTAATGTCTCTGGAGGTGGCAAGAAGTAGGACATATTGATAGCAATGAAACTATTTGGTGATATTTGTAATGTGTGAAGGCATTTTTGGGCAAATCAGAGTACCTTCTACAAGAGCCTCATTGTTGACGAAGCTGACTGTGGAGTGATGTTTTGCTCCGAAGCCAACCAATCACAGCTGCCAGCGTGTCCGATTAGTGGCGCTGGTGGATGTGTCAGTCGTGGCAGCCCGTGCGCCGTGGCGTCGCGCACTTCCCTATGGTTGTCGGAATCCTTTCTGCGCAACCTTCCCCCAGTACGTTCTCCGCCTCCCCCTCCCCTCCTCCTTGTTCCATCTCTTAGGAGTCTGGCATTTGGTGACGTTGGGGAACGTCACAAAACGGCACAGTGCGGTTCTCTTGTGTTCGCAACTATTTGAGAGCAAATACAAATCGGTGCCGCGATTCACGAAACCTTGCATGTTCTTTTGACACCCCCTTTCCTTCTCCTCTCTCCCTCATCCAGGTTTTCTCCCCCGCTTGCACATTCACCAGCAGCACCTCCAGCAGGGACCTGTTCTAGCAGCAAGGTCTCTCTCCTTGCCCTCTCGTTCAGCAGTTGAAAGTCCTGCATTAGCGTGCCGACAATGGCCGCTACCGCCGCGTTGCTGACGAATCAGATTGCTTCATTGAGCATCAGGTTAGCTTGCCCTGGATCTTCAGCCCTAGTATGTATGTCAATCTCTCGGGTTCGCTGCGTGGAGAACCAGTTTGGTCGGATGATCGGTTTCTACTGGTCGCTAGCATTACCCTGGATTTTAAGTGGCACACTTACGAAGTGCCATAACGCTGAGTGATTTCGCGATGGCGTCGGTCCTACCTGCTGGCGACGCTAGTGGTTGGTTCAGCTACGCGCCTCATGTCCCTGACGAACTCGTAGGGCTGAGTGCGTGGACGAGCCAAGAGCTCAAGCTCCATATGAACCCGGGAGATTAGGGTTCGCGCACGGGCCAAGTGCGTGGTTTAGGCTTTTTGTCGGTCAGCCGGGTTACCTGGTAACCTGCATCCGGATGGCTTCGACGAAACTCTACTCCATTATTTTACCTGTTCATGCGCGCCTGCTGATGTATTCTGAATTACGAAGCCTTTTTATGGTTGCTGTGTCGACCAGTCCCAGTCTATCACCCTGTCATTCGCAAACATGTCGCTGATAGTTCGTCCAATCGCTTTCCAACGTCTTATTGTCCAGCCTACTTGCTCGCCCCAGTCCTCTTCGTTTCCACGTTTTCCCAATTCCTTCCCATGTGTCCACCTCCCTCGCCCCTATACCCTTTTCCAGGCCGGACTCTCACACTGTCCCCCCCGCTTACCGCAGCCCCCTTTACCCGCCGCCGCTCAATCTCACCGCGCTCTATGCCCCCTTCCTGTTCTCATCTTCATGCCTCAAGTCCGATTTTGACGGCCAGGCCCTCACACTCTCCTCCCCCCTCCTCGCCGCGGCCCCCTCTACCCGCCGTCGCTCCATGCTTCCCTCATTTTATCCCATCCCCCCTCCATCCTCACTCCCATCCCAGGCCATCAGCATGCCTCAAGTCCGACTTTGACGGCCGCTCTCTCACAATCTCCTCCCCGCTCACCGTCGCCCCTTCTCTCCGCCACCGCACTATCTCATTGCGTTCTATGCCCCTTCCCTGCTCCCCCCTTCCCCGTCCCCCCTTCCTCCCTTTCTCTCCCAGGCCATCAGCATGCCTCAAGTCCGACTTTGACGGCCGCGCTCTCACCCTCTCCTCCCCTCTCGTCGCCGCGGCCCCCGCCATCCGCCGCGCTTCCGTCGCCGCGTCAGCCGCTCCCCCCGCCGCAGCCGCCGCTGCGGTTTCCGCCGCAGCTCCCGCCGTCGCGGCTTCGCTAGCGCTCGACGATGACGTGGACGCGGGTGGGCGGCGGTACCCGCCGTTCGCGGCGTTCCGCATCCACGGCACGGGCAGGAGAAAGACGGCCGTGGCGCGCGTGGGGCTCATCGAGGGCAACGGGGAGATCTTCGTCAACGGGCTGCCCCTGAACGAATATTTCCAGAACCAGGCGCTCATGATCCAGGTAATGATGGGGGGTGGAAGGGGGGGAGGAGAGGAGGGAGAGTGGGGGGAGATTGGGGGGCATGGGGGGGGAAGAAGGGGTTGGGGGGGGGGGGGGGGGACGGCTGGGGAGGAAGGGAAGTGGAAACGTCTGAAAACAAACCTCGTTTGAGCGGGTCCACGCAAAGCACTCCTGAAGCAGGCCCTCAAGAACCAGGTGGTGCGATTGAGACGCGCTATATCGCTTCTGAAGCGTTTCAAGAGACTTCCTGGGCGCCCCAGGGCATTCCAGAAGCCGCCTCGTTTGATCCAGGTCCGCTGGATGCATGAGTCGAGATACTGGTGGCTGTGGTGGGGGCATTGGGTGGACTCTGGGTGGACTCTGGGTGGACTCTGGGTGGACTCTGGGTGGACACTGGGTGGGGACTTGGTCGAGACTTGTTGGGGAAAGCGTGGGAAGGGTTTGAAGGGGGGAGTGATGGTCTAGGGGCAACAGGAGTGGTAGAAACACGTCAATGGTGCAAGGGGGAGGGTGCACGCCAAGGGGGAGGGTGGGAAGTGTGAGAGGAGGAGCCTGGAAGTTGCCACCGTCTTCCCTGTGTTCCCTCCTGTTGCCTTATTTTCCTGGGGGTTGACGCTGCTCAACTCGCTCCCCCCCGTTCTTTTCTCGGCACCCCCTTTCCCTCTGTTCCTTCCCCACCACCCACCCTCACGAACCCCATCAGGCGGTGAAGCTGCCCCTGTCCTCGCTGGGCTGTGAGGCCAAGTATGGCGTGGTGGTGAAGGCGCAAGGAGGGGTCCCTTGTCATCTGCTTCTTTCCGACCACCCCTGCCCCCCCACCCCCTCCCCTCTTATAATCACAACCCCATCAGGGGGTGAAGCTGCCCCTGTCCTCGCTGGGCTGTGAGACCAAGTATGATGCGGTGGGGAATGTGCATGGAGAGGTCCCTTGTCATTTGTTCGTTCCCCTCATCTCCCCCCCACCCCCTTTCCCCTCTTCCTCTTCTCTCAAATTTCAACCCCCATCAGGCGGTGAAGCTGCCGCTCTCTTCCCTGGGCTACGAGGCCAAGTACGATGTGGTGGTGAAGGCGCATGGAGGGGGGCTCAACGCGCAGGCGCAGGCCATGGTGATGGGCATCGCCCGTGCTCTCGTTGCTGCCAGCGCTGCCAACCGCCCGCCGCTCAAGGCCCAGGGCATGCTGACGCGTGATGCCCGCTCGGTAGAGCGCAAAAAGTATGGCCTCAAGAAGGCCCGGAAGGCTCCCCAGTTCTCCAAGCGTTAAATTGGAAAAAATGGGTGCCGGTGGAGATCTTGTGCTTGTGGTTTTGTGCCATAGACATATAGATGGGGGAGCTCAAGCAATGTGTGGCAGCTTTGTTCTCTGAAGGTTTCATATCATCAATCTGTGATCACTAATAACCACACTCAAAGTTCAATAGAAAGAAATCATTATCTTAGCATCATCACCAGAATTAAAGTGTCATTGTATTTCAGCTTCAGTCTCGGAGTGTTTTAGGCCCCAAAACATTAATCAGTGTGATATTTTCCGGCTTCATGCAAAGCAACGATGTCCAAAAAGTTGCTCCCTCCTCCACCACTCCATGCCACATTGCTCCCTCGTGGAAGCGACATTTTACGCCACGTGGTCCATCCGGTTTCCAACAAATCCGACCGCCACCTCATCCGAATTTGCCACGGCACGTCAGTGCCTCCGCCTGATGCTTTCCGCGCCCCCAATGCAATCTCGAGTTTTATCTGCTTCCTGCCACGTTGAGCAGCGAATGCGATTGGACCACCGAAAGTGGTAACCCTTCGCCCAAGCATCCAATACTTCCATCCGAGAGCCTCATCTCTGAATCTAGATCAGTTCTCCACCGTACGATCGATCCCCCTCAAATTTGTTGTGAATCAGCTTCACCCTGCACTAAGCTAACTGCGTGTACACTCTAAATATTATTTCCAGCCCTGGTTGGTCTCCCTTGGGATTTCAGGAGCGAAGACTCCTCTCTACCCCCTTCCCCGAGCAGCCTCTTTCGGTAGTAGCTGCACTGCTCTCTCCTGACAGAGTTAGGGGAACCACTAAGGACCTAATTTGACAGCACTCGTCTTGTCAGCAGGTCCAGTAGCTACCACCGTACCGTAGTAGCAATGGCTTCAGTGAGCATTCGAGCAGCCACCCAGGCTCTGGGGTCCCTCTCTCTCTCCTCCCAACTGAGGACCTCTAGCAGAGTATCGCTCGGGGACTCGCTTAGGGTTTCGAGCTTCCGGGGCTGCCAGCTCGTTGGTACGTCCATCGATTCCTTCCTTAGTCACCATCCAGCTCACCGCCTTCTTTTGAGGCTCCTAAAAGAACCGTATTTGAGATTTGTCAGTTCCTGTGTTCTCATTCCGTGAGATGACTTCTGAGTCGACTCGAAAGTCGCCTCGTTTTTGAGCCGTCTGAAGGGCCTGTCTTTGAGATCTGTCAGTTCCTGCGTTTTCATTCCTGAGCTTCCCTTCTCGCGCGAGGCTGTCTCCCTTTGTGCACCACGCGTCATTAGCACATTCGTACTTTCCAACGTGCACTGTTCAGTCATAATACGTCGCTTAGCCATCACTTTTAAGCATCGAAATTCTTGACACCAGCACATCCGCAGCCATTCACGTTGTCAATCTGCTGCGTCCCTCCGTTTCCTGATCCCCGTACTCCACCTCATGCACACACATTTATCACCGAGACCACTGCACACCGCAACCATTGCTCACCAAAACCACTGATCACCGCAGCTGCTGCTCATTCTCCACTGTTCAGCTGCTAGCAGGCCAACTATTGTCGCCGCCGCTGCTGTGAGCTGCCGGTTTCCCGCTGGGATTGCTGCTGCCAGGGGAATCTGACTGTTGGTCGGTTTTGGAGCAATGGTGCTCATTGTTGAGAGCAATGGTTGAGCGTTACAGAGGAATGCACTATGTTTTCCTTCTCCCGTGCCTCCCAGCACGCCAGCGGTGTTTGTGGCCGCCGGCAAGACCGCGAACTCGAATAACAGGGTGGACTCGGCTATTAAGCGCGCCAAGCAGGCGGAGACTCGATCCGTGCTCGTTCCTCTTCTTTCTCCCCGCCCCTGACCTCTTTTCTCATCCCTCATTCCAGCTGCCAGCCGGCCAGCTGTTACCGCTGCCGCTAGCAGATCTCTAGCCGTGGTTGCCGCCGCTGCCAGCCCTCCCGCCGTTGCTGCGGCTGCTGGCAAGACCGTGAAGCCGAAGAAGGTGGACTCGGCCATCAAGCGCGCCAAGCAGGCGGAGGTGCGGCGGGTGTACAACAAGTCGCGCAGGACGGAGATGAGCACGCGGATGAAGAAGGTGAGCGGAGGGGGAAGGAGGGGAGAGGAGGGGAGAGGAGGGGAGAGGAGGGGAGAGGAGGGGAGAGGAGGGGGAAGCCGAGGTTGAAAGGGGGGTGATTTTGAGGGCGATTCAGGTAACTTCGGATGTGCTCTTTGAGGAGCCTGAACAGGTGCGGCGGGTGTACGACAAGTCGCGCAGGACGGAGATGAGCACGCGGATGAAGAAGGTGAGCGGAAGGGGAAGGGGGTGGGAGGGGGATGGATCATGGAACCGAGTGTAACCATGATAGAATAGACTTGGCGGATGTACAACAAGTCGCGCAAGACGGAGATGAGCACGCGGATGAAGAAGGTGGGTTGGGGATGGCCGTGGAATGCGCGTTCTGAGAAGCTTGAAAAAGTTGGGGTTGAAGGGGGGAGGGAGGGGGAGGGGGAAGGGGGGAGGGGGGAGGGGGAGAGCTGAGAAGGGGAGCAGGGGAGAGTGGAGCAAGCGAGGTACGGAGCTGTGGCGGTACGGATCAGCGACAGTACGTATGACGGTTCGCATCAGAGACAGTTCGCAACAGGAGCCGTTCCTATCAGGGACAGTTCGCATCAGGGGCAGATCCTATCAGGGACAGTTCGCATCAGGAGCAGTCCGGGGCAGTGACAGCTCGAGAAAGGCGCAATAAGGAGCATAGACAGCCGTAGCACGGACAGGGAGTAAGGCAGCGAAGTAAGGAGCAGGGGCTGGCGGAGTCAATGGTTTGGCGTGCAAGAGGGACAGGGGGGGCTGCTAGAATACCCCGTTACTGAATCTTTTTTCTTTAGGCGCCTTAAACATCGACTCAAGAGAGAACCAGCCGTCAGCTCCTGGAAGGCCTGGTTACTGAACCAGCCGTTTGTGCCGTTCATACTCAAATGCTCTCTTCAGCCTTCTCGTGTGTTGGTTGGCATAAGCACGGTGCGCCTGGAATCGTCGACGTCACTTTTGAGTCGACTCAGAAGTCAGCATTGTGCGTTTTTTTTTTATAATTCTCTAAAATCGCGTTTTGGGTCCACTCAGAAGTCAGCACCGTGTGCCGCCTGGTTCGTTGATGTGCTTATGACATCACTTCTGGCGAAATCGCACAGAGCGATTCCTGTTCTTGAGAATTCTAAAAAACATCGTGCATGAAGCTCACTCCTGTCCTAGGCGTGCGTGCGCCTTCCCTGGCAGCATTGGAAGGAAGCAGATTTGTAAGGAGCATTGGGCGTGTCCTCCCAGGCGTTCATTGCTCTAGAGGGGAGTTGCTCGCGCGAGTGCGTCCCTTATCAGAGGAGTAGCTAAGAAGCCTTTCCCGCCCACACTAGTCTCATAATTTCTGTCGCATGCGGTTTTCCCTTCCACTTTCCTGCCATCAGGCGTCCCTTGCTCTGGAGGAGCTGCGCAAGAGCGCCTCTCCCTCGGAGGAGCTGGTGGTGGCAGCCGAGAGGCTCATCTCGGAGGCCTTCTCCATCATCGACCCCAATCATTTGTGCCCCTCCCTATACACCCCGTCCTTTCTGTTTCCCCCCCAGGAGCTCCTTGCTCTGGAGGAGTTGCGCAAGAGTGGGTCCCAGTCTGAGGAGCAGGTGGTGGCGGCGGAGATGCTCATCTCGGAGGCCTTCCCCATCATCGACCCCCAATCATTTGTACCCCTCCCTATGCACCCTTTCCTTCCTCTCCCTGCCAGGCGTTCCTTGCTCTGGAGGAGCTGCGCAAGAGTGGGTCCCCCTCCGAGGAGCAGGTGGTGGCAGCTGAGAAGCTCATCTCGGAGGCCTTCTCCATCATCGACCGGTCCGTGAAGGTCAATGTCATCCACCAGAACAAGGGCGCTCGCCGCAAGGCTCGCCTTTCCCGGGCCAAGCGCGCTACGCTGATTTCGCTTGGATTGTACACTCCCGAGCCTGCTGCTGCTACTGCGTAGAATGATGGTGGTTGTGGGGTGGGGTTGGAGGACTGACAGTGTATGTTAGTCTTTGTGATGGTGTTATTTCTTGTTAATGGTAGTGCATATATACAAACGCACTGCTGTGGAGGGTAGAGGAAGAGCAAGAAGTCCAAGTACAGATCTTCATGAGGATAAAATATTTTAAGGGCATGCTTTGCAACATCTGAACTCTACAGTAAGTTGTAATTGGCTCTATAGTTACGCAACAGCCGTTCAGATTCGCACAGCCTCGAGCTCTTGGTTTGCGTGGTAGATTCATGATTTGCGGATCGCAAAGGGCCAGAAGTTGGTAACAGTTTTCGCGAGGATGTACACGCATTGATAGGTGCACGAAGTGAACCGACCACACCACACCTGGGGAGCTCCCGCGCGACTCCGGTAACCTCACAGAAACACGGCCTGATTCCTGCTTCCTCCTGTTCCCTGATCCGATGACGATCAATCAGCGACCACGCAGCGAAGCAACGGAAATGTTGTCGGAGCAGCAGTTGACGGAGTAGCGCCTGATCAAAGTCCTGACGGAGAGGCACATGACGGGGGAGCAGCAATCGGCATAGTTTTACTGACGTGACTAATTCGAAGTTTTTGCACTCGTGAGGCAGGTTCTGCGTTGGAGGCCACGAGTCGAGGTGAATGCGTCCATAGAAGTGCAGCTGACTTACGCGCGCTGGCAGTTCACCCAGGCGTACGTCAGGCTTTTCCACAGACCAGCCAGGTTTGCCTGGATCGAGGCCAGGAATCTGGTAAACTGGATAGTAACATCTACCAGTAGAGGCCTCGGGTTTATCCGGAGTGAACGTGTCGTGAGACGGACACTTTTAGGCGTTCTTAGTAGCCGGACTATTAAGCTGCTCTAGAGGCGCCATGTCGCTATTAAACGTTCCCTTGAATAAACAAGGACCAGTTTCGTCATTGCTTCCCCGATCAGTACCCTCCACGTATATCGTTTCCTCACTTGATCGATTTGGCCGTGACTCGTTATGCGGCCCTAGACGTAATCCTCGCTATAGTTTATTGCCGCAGCGACAGGACCCATTAACGGACCTGCTTCAAGGGGGGAAATGGAGGGCAAGGAGAGCGGCGAGTGGGAAGAAGCGGCTAGGGCCGGTAACCCGTGCTGCTGTTACAGCTGGTAACCCGGTTACCGATGCTGGGGACGTAGCTGGTCGGGGGAAGAGTAACGCTGGGCAGACAGCACTCCACAGGGTAAGGTGATGGGGGGATGCGGGGAGAGGGATAGTGGGGGTGGGGGGGGGGTGGGGGGGAAGGGGGGGGGATGTGAGAAATTCGGTAACTTTTCCCGGGTGGTGCACCACTGAACCTTTTTCTCTTCCTTCTCTTTTTCCCATCCCCCCCCCCCCCACACACACCCCCCCCAGAGCACGTTGGGCATGATAAAGAGCGAGAAATTCGAAATCTTCTCTCTCAACGCGTGGGTGGTGCAACACTGAACCTTCTCTTCTTCCTTCTCTCCTTCCTTCTCACCTTCCCATTCCCTCTCTTCCTCCCCCACCCCCAGAGCACGTTGGACATGATAAAGAGCGAAAAACTCGGTATCTTCTCCCTCAACACGTGGGTGGTGCACCACTTTCGGCACCTCGTGGCGCAAGTGAATGCTTTGGAGCCGGCGATGCAAGCACTCACGGACAAGCAGGTGCTTTTAGACACGTGTACTAGGGCTTTCAGGCTCATAGGTAGGTAGGGATGCCAGGTCTGTGGGTAGCCCTCATCCGCACCTCGTGGCGCAAGTGAATGCTCTGGAGCCGGCGATGCAAGCACTCACTGACAAACAGGTTAGTAGTTGCACTCTCTCAAAAGGCATCTGGTCTGAAGCAAGCTCTGCCTTCTTCAATGCTCGTATGACGTCTCCACTCATCTCGAAAGACGAAAGAACACAGCCGCCTTCTAGGTGCTGCTGATATAGGTTAATGAGTCTATGGAGTGCGTTTTCCACGCGTTTACCCTCTTGGCAGCTCCGGCGAAAAACACGCGAGTTCAAGAAGCGCCTGAAGCAGGGAGAAACGCTGGATGACATACAGGCAGGTAGGCTAGGTGGGTTCCATCTGGTGAGGGATGTTTCTAGTGTGTGTATCATACTTGGTGTAAGTCGTCTGCCCTCTAGGTTTGACGGGTTGAAAAAGCGTCTGAAGCAGGGAGAATCACAGGACGGAATACAGGCAGGTAGGTGTAGGTTGTATCTGGTGTGGGTTGACAGTCAACCGTTGACTGGTATACGTAATGTGTGTTATCTGTGGTGGTGGTTTGTTTTGTTCTTGTTTGTTGCGGTGCCTGTTGCTCGGCCAGGATTCACATGCATGCGCGTTTAGCTTTGAGGAGAGGACATGCATGCGGCTTCTCCCAATCGATCCATTATTTGCTTTTGAGTCGACGGCTTCTCCCGATCCATCAATCGTTTCTCCCCTCACTCCGTCTACCTCTCCTCCTCTCTCCTCCCAACGCTTCCTTCTCTGCCCTCCTCCCCGCGCTCTCTCCATTTTCCAATCTCTAGAATCATTTCAAATCGTACCCTGCCTCTGTTTCACCCTTCATCCCTACCTCCCTCCCTACCTCCCTCCCTCCCTCCCTTTTTTCATGACTCGGCTTGTTCTCTCAACTCAACCCTGCAGAGGCCTTTGCTGCTGTGGCGCGCTAAGGGTAGCCAGGCCAGGCGGAGTCTTTGCACGCCTCACGGTCTGTCCCTCTCTCTCTCCTACCTTATCCCCTTCCCTCTCCGCCCCTTGTGGACAAGCAACGCCCCTGCCCTTCACCCAGCAGAGCCCTTTGCGGTAGTGCGAGAAGCAGCCATGCCAAGTCTCCGCATGCGATCCCGTCTGTCCCTCTCTCTCTCTCCTACCTTATCCCCTTCCCTCTCCGCCCTCTTTGGACGTACACCAACCCGCCCTCCACCCTTCATCCCTCAGAGGCCTTTGCGGTGGTGCGAGAGGCCGCCATGCGGACTCTCTGCATGCGACATTTTGACGTGCAGGTAGGGGCGTGTGCGGTTGTGTGTGTGCGTTTGTGTGCGTGTGTGTGAGTGTGTGTGAGTGTGCGTGAGTGTGTGTGAGTGTGCGTGAGTGTGTGTGAGTTTGTGTGAGTGTGAGTGAGTGTGAGTGTGTTTCTTTTGATTTGACGAATCCATTGTCAGTGACCTTGGCCAGGCGGACTCTCTGCATGCGACACTTTGACATGCAGGTAGGGGCGTGTGCGTGGGTCTTTTGAGGCGATATCAGAGAGGAAGGCAGGGGAGCGAGGGCAAGGCCACGGTGCGCGCATTATCAGAGTATTGTCTTTCCCATCTCTCCCTCTTCCCTCCCACACGCTTCACGTAGATCGTGGGAGGGGCGATGCTGCACGGGGGGGGGGGGGAGGGGGGGGGGGGGATATTAGAGATGTAAGACTGGGGAGGGAGGGCGAGGCTCTGGTGTCCCCATTCTCAAAGAATCCTTTCTCGGTTCCATCTCTCTCCCTGACCTCCTTCTCTCAGATCGTGGGAGGGAGAGGCGGTGCTGCATGCTGGAGCCATTGCTCTGATGAAGACAACTTTTGAGGCGCCTCAAAAGTCCTCTGGTGTCCCCATTCTCAAAGAATCCTTTCTCGGTTCCATCTCTCTCCCTGACCTCCTTCTCTCAGATTGTGGGAGGGAGAGGCGGTGCTGCATGCTGGAGCCATTGCTCTGATGAAGACAGGCGAGGGAGGGCAAGGCTGTGGTGTGCCACGCCCATCAGTCTTTCCGCCCCTTCGTGAGGAGTCTATTTTTGAGGCGCCTCAAAAATAGACTCGCCCTGTCTTCAGCTTTTCCCCAATCCCTAGTCCAGCGCACCTCTTCTCTTTTTGAGGCACCTAAAAAATAGACTCATCAGTATTTCCTCCCCTTCCCCTCCCCCACTTCCCCCCATCTCCCCCTCTTGCAGATCGTGGGAGGGGCGGTGCTGCATGCTGGAGCCATTGCAGAGATGAAGACAGGCGAGGGCAAGACTCTGGTGTCCACGCTGGCAGCATATCTCAATGCCCTTGTGGGGAAGGGCGTGCATGGTGAGGGCTTATCAGGGGAAGGGTGTACGTGGTGAGGTTGTATCGATTGAGGAGTGACCCTGGTGTCCACGCTGGTCGCACACTTCAACGCCTTTGTGGGGAAAGGCGTGCATGGTGAGGGTCGTATGTGGTGAGGGCGTATTTGGTGCAAGGGTGCGTTTGGTGTGAGGGGTGCTCCTGGTGTGAGGGTGCTTATGGTGTGAGGGTGCTTATGGTGTGAGGGTGCTTATGGCGTGAGGGTGCTTATGGCGTGAGGGTGTGGGGAAGGGGAGAGAGAGCTGTCAAGGAAGGGCGAGCATGGTGAGGGAGGGGCTGTATGCTCTTCTGACACTGTGCTTGCTGCTGCCACCCCCTCATCAGGGATGCAGAGTGCTTTTTGGCCTAACTCTGGTGGATCCGCCGGTTATGAGCCCATTTTGAGTCGACTCGAAACTAGACTCAAAACTCCTCGATGCTGCCAGCCACCAGCTCATATAGGGAGGTGGAGTGATATTTGGCCTGACTCTGACTCTTTGGCTTGCAGGGATGCAGAGTGGCTCGAGGGTGACTCATAGCCAAGCCTATTGCCTCCATTTCCCTGTTCCATACCCCCCCCATCCCAGTGGTGATGGTGAACGGCTATTTGGCTCGCAGGGATGCAGAGTGGCTTGGGGGTGACTCAGAGCTTTCTCATTGTCTCCATTGTCTCCATTGTCTCCATTGTCTCCATTGTCTCCATTGTCTCCATTGTCTCCATTGTCTCCATTGTCTCCATTGTCTCCATTGTCTCCATTGTCTCCATTGTCTCCATTGTCTCCATTGTCTCCATTGTCTCCATTGTCTCCATTGTCTCCATTGTCTCCATTGTCTCCATTGTCTCCATTGTCTCCATTGTCTCCATTGTCTCCATTGTCTCCATTGTCTCCATTGTCTCCATTGTCTCCATTGTCTCCATTGTCTCCATTGTCTCCATTGTCTCCATTGTCTCCATTGTCTCCATTGTCTCCATTGTCTCCATTGTCTCCATTGTCTCCATTGTCTCCATTGTCTCCATTGTCTCCATTGTCTCCATTGTCTCCATTGTCTCCATTGTCTCCATTGTCTCCATTGTCTCCATTGTCTCCATTGTCTCCATTGTCTCCATTGTCTCCATTGTCTCCATTGTCTCCATTGTCTCCATTGTCTCCATTGTCTCCATTGTCTCCATTGTCTCCATTGTCTCCATTGTCTCCTGATAAATATGGGTCCATTGGTCTCGTCCATTGTCTCAGAGCCTTCCCATTGCCTCCATTTCCCTGTTCCGTACCCCCCTCCATGCATCCCATCCCAGTGGTGATGGTGAACGGCTATTTGGCTCGCAGGGATGCAGAGTGATTTCGGGGGGATGCAGAGCTGTTTCCTCAATTTCACTCCCGTCCCCCCCACCCCACCTCGCCATCCTATGCCTTCTCCCTCTCCCAGTGGTGACGGGGAATGATTACTTGGCTCGGAGATATGCAGAGTGGCTTGGGGGTGACTCAGTGCTGTTTCCCCCATCGCCTCTCTTTCCCTCTTCCATATCCCCCCCCCCTCCCCCATCCCAGTGGTGACGGTGAACGACTATTTGGCTCGGAGAGATGCGGAGTGGATGGGTAGGGTGCACAGCTTCCTGGGGCTGTCAGTGGGGGTCATTCAGGTGAGTGAGGATCAGTGTGGTGAGTGATAGGCTCTTAAAAAAACTGGTACAAAATAGCCTGACTCTGATGCAGGGTGCACGGATTCCTGGGGCTGTTAGTGGGGGTCATTCAGGGGAGGAGGGGATTAGTCAGGTGAGAGTCATTCAGGTGAGTGAGGATCAGTCTGGTGAGTGATAGCCTGATAGGTTTTTGAGACTTCTAAAAAGACTGGTACAAAATAGCCTGACTCTGATGCAGGGTGCGGTGCACCGATTTCTGGGGCTGTCAGTGGGGGTCATTCAGGTGAGGAGAGGGTGACTCGATTTAAGGAGGCGATCCAAGTAAATTCGTCTCTGAATATGCTTTGTTGGCCCTAACTCGTTGAGTAAATTTTTAGAATTCTACAAAATGACTCCAGGTGAGGAGAGGGTGACTCGATTTAAGGAGGCGATCCAAGTAAATTCGTCTCTGAATATGCTTTGTTGGCCCTAACTCGTTGAGTAATTTTTTAGAATTCTTCAAAATGACTCCAGGTGAGGTGAGGGTGACTCGATCTAAGGATGTGGTTTAAGCAAAAGTGTTTCGGGATATGCTTGGCCCTTCCTGGTTGTTCTTCCCATCACCCCCCTCCTCGACTTTTCTTTCGTACCAATGTCCATCCACCTCTTGCCCTGCTCTCCATCCACCTCTTGCCCTGCTCTCCATCCACCTCTTCTCCTCACCTGCATCGCCTTATCTTCACCTGCCCGTGCCTCGTTGTACTCCCTTTCAGCCAGGTCAGAACCGGGAGGAGAGACAGCTGGCGTATGCATGCGACATGACTTATGGCAGCAACAATGTGAGATATGAAGGGAGGGTAGAACCGATGGTCGTAATGCGTGATGGTAACCCTAAACCCTGGTCGTCATGTGTGATGGTAACAACTGCAGTGACGTGTGCCAGCCAGTGACGTGTGCCAGCCAGTGACGTTTGGCAGCCAGTGACGTGTGCCAGCCAGTGACGTGCTCCAGTAGCGTCCACACTGTGTAATTGTATTCAGTTGTTGAAAAGGCCGCCTGGTTACAATTTCTCCTTGCTGCAGGCAGGCAGCTCGCCTAGTCACATCACATGGCTGAATCATCCTGTGCAGGCCTCCAACGATGAGGTACTTTGATTGAAGGCGCAAGCTCATCAGGCCCTCCCCCCACCCCTCTCCTTCCCCCCCCCCCCCCCCCCTCTCCCCTCGTTTTGAGTTGTTTCAAATGTCCCCCCCCCCCTTTCCCGCCGGCCTGCAACACCAGGAGATTGGGTTTGACTATTTTCGAGACCATCTGGTGCAGGACCCAAGGGAGCGTTTGCTGCGGTGGTCAGATGCTTGTCATGATTCGATTGTGGATGAGACCCGGCTCCCCCTTCTCCCCACCCTTCCCGCCTGCCTGCACCACCAGGCGATTGGGTTCGACTATCTTTGAGACCACCTGGTGCAGGACCCCAATGAACGCACGCTGTGGTGGCCCGATGAGACCAACCTCACCCTCCCCTCCTCTCACTTTCCCCCTCCCTCCTTCCCCCCCGTTGTTTGCACCACCAGGAGATTGGGTTTGACTATCTTCGAGACCACCTGGTGCAGGACCCCAATGAACGCACGCTGCGGTGGCCCGACGCGCTGCACTACTCCATCGTGGATGAGATCGACTCGGTGCTCATCGATGAAGGCAGGAATCCGCTGCTCATCAGCAACATGGTGAGTGCTGCTCATCAGCAACATGGTGAGTGCTTCCTCCCCGCCCTTGCTCTCCCCACCCCTGCCTCACGTGCTCCCCTCCCGTGCAGTTGTCCTTGCATGTCATGTGCTTCCCAGTGGCTGCTAGAGTGGCGGAGATGTTCCCTCCACTCCCTGCCCATCCCCATCTTTACTCCCCTCCCCGCCCTTGCTCTCCCCACCCCTTGTTCCCCCCAACCCTTGTTCCTCCCCGCCCTTGCTCTCCCCACCCCTGCCTCACGTGCTCCCCTCCCGTGCAGTCATCCTCGCATGTCATGCGCTTCCCAGTGGCTGCTAGAGTGGCGGAAATTCTTCGGAGGGACATAGTGAGTGCCTGTTCAGTTCAGAAGGGCCGTGGCGTGTACTGCTTGGATGAATGTGTTCGGTTTTTGGGAATGCTCAAAAACCTGAAGTGGCGGAGATTCTTCGGGGTTTCTTGAGAATTCTCAAAAACACCCTGCAATATTGTCCTGCTTTTAATGTAAGTGTTAGGTTTTTGGAATTTCTCAAAAACTTAAAGTGGTGGAGATTCTTCGGAGAGACATCGTGAGTGCTCGCTCAGACGGGCTGTGCCTTGAACTGCTTGCATGAATGGTCCACAGGGTTGCAAGGTAACGTGGTTGCACTTGATTGCCTTGTTACAAGGTTACAGGTTCCAGGGTTCAGGGTTGTTGCAGTCAGGTTAAGATTCCTGGGCTGTTAACGCCCCTCCTCCCTCTCCCCCCCTCCCCTTATCAGGACTACACAGTCGACCTGAAGATGCGCACCGTGCAGCTCACAGAATGGGGGGTGCAGCCAGTAGGCAAAGCAAACCTGCTTCCACTTCCTCCTCCCCTTCTCCTGTGCTCCCCCTTGCCAGGACTACACGGTTGACCTGAAGATGCGCACCGTGCAGCTCACAGACTCGGGCGTGGCGATAGTGGCTGAGAGCCTGAGGAGCGAGGATGCCCCGGGGGAGGGGCCGGGGGAGGGGTCTGTGGAGGGGGAGGGAGGGGATGCCTCGGACCCAGATGATATTTTCGAAACCCGCAACTCGTTTGCACAGTGAGTGGCTTGCTTGAGGGCTTGAGGGGGGGGTAGTGGGCGAGGGAGGGGCGGGGGGGGGGGAGAAGGGGGAAGGGGCTGGGGGGGGAGGGAGGGGATGCCTTGGACCCAGATGATATCTTTGAGACCCGCAACTCGTTTGCACAGTGAGTTGCTTGCTTGAGGGCCTGAGGAGCGAGGATGTCCAGGGGAAGGGGGCGAGGGAGGGGCTGGGGGACGGTCAGGGGGAGGGGGCTGGAGGGGGGGGAGGGAGGTGATGGCTCGGACCAAATGATATCGTTGAGACTCGCAACTCGTTTGCACAGTGAGTTGCCTGCTTCGGTAGCTTCTTCATCTCCCATCCTCCCTTCCCATCCTCCCTTCCTTCCCATCCTCCCTTCCTTCCCATCCTCCCGTTGCTCCCATCCTCCCGTTGCTCCCATCCTCACCCTCCAGCACTAGATTCGTGCTGACGGCCCTCAAGGCCAAGGAGTGCTACCTGAGGGATCGGGGCTACACATATACACATACACCATGAGAAACGGCCAAGTGCTACCACCTGTCTCATCCGCCTGTCTATCTGCCCCCCCTGTGTTAGGTTTTTGAGAATTCTCAAAACCTATAACAAAACGAGGGAGATGTAAGCAGTGTTACGTTATTGAGAATTCTCAAAAACCTAACTCAGCACAAGAAATGGCCAAGTGCTACCACTTGTCTCATCCGCCTGTCTATCTGCCCCCCTCCCTCACCCTCGTCTTGTGTTCCCCTGGTAGGTTCGTGCTGACGGCCCTTAAAGCCAAGGAGTTCTACCTGAGGGATCGGGACTACATCGTGAGGGACGGCCAAGTGATCATAGTGGACGAGGTACGTGAATATATTGGATGCTCTCTAACCCAGAACAAGTGGGACGAAAAAAGGAAAGAAAAAAAAATAAAAAAAAACGTTGTCAAGAGTTAAATACGGGCTGGCTGGCACTATTGTTCTTATGTGCACAAGAACAGCTGCTGTTACTCCAACTCCCGTGCTATTCAGCCGCCCTCCTCTTGCGGTGACTTTTGAGTGAACTCAGAAGCCATTGCTGCCTTCCCAGCTCTTGTGCTATTCGGCCGCCCTCCTCTCGCTTTCCCCGTGGAAGGAGCTGATGAAGCTGCATGCTACGCACATCAAACTGCTCCCTCTTTTCCATCCCCTCTCCCCCCCCTCAACCCCGGTCAATTTTTCTAGTTCACAGGGCGAAGAGCAGCAATGCGGAGCGACGCTGTTCACCAAGAAGCATGCTACACACGCATCGAAGGCCTTCCTCTTTACCCCCCCTCCCTCCCCACCCCTCCTCCCCCCCAACGCCACACACATTCTCCAATTCACGGGGCGAACAACCGACATGAGGAGGTGGAGTGGAGCGATGGCATTCACCAAGATGCTTCCCACATCAAGATGCTTCCTCTTTACCCCCCTCCTCCCCCCCAATCCCACACACATTATCCAGTTCACAGGGCGAACAGCTGACATGAGGAGGTGGAGCGATGGCATTCACCAAGCTTATGCATCATGATGCTTCCTCTTTACATCTCCCCTCACCCCTCCCCTCCTCCCCACCCCTCCTTCCCCCCAACCCGGCACACATACTCTAGTTCACGGGGCGAACAGCCGACATGAGGAGGTGGAGCGATGGCATTCACCAAGCAGTGGAGGCAAAAGAGGGGGTGGAGATCAAGGTGAGGGGTACTACAAAGGGCTTACAAGTTGTTGTTGTGAGCTTGATCTCTCACTTGGAGATTAAGGCGAGGGGTACCACAAGGGCTTACAAGTTGTGCAGGGTGTTGTTGAGAATTCAAAAAAATCTCTCACAAGGAGATTAAGGTGAGGGGGTACTACAAGGGCTTACCAGTTGTGCATTGTGTTTTTTAGAGTCCTCAGAAGCACCCTGCACAGCAGTTGAGGCGTAAGAGGGGGTGGAGTTTAAGGTGAGGGGTACTGCTACTACAAGCGCAGGGCTTACAAGTTGTGCAGTGTGTTTTGGAGAACTCTCAGAAGCACCCTGCACAGCAGTTGAGGCGTAAGAGGGGGTGGAGATTAAGGTGAGGGGTACTGCAAGGGCTACAAGCTGAGTCTTTCCAGCTGGTAGGGTTGCTGCCTAGGCGATTTGCCTAACCCGTTCTCCTCCCATTTTCCCCCATGCTTACAAGTTGATTCTCCCTCCCATCCCGATTCTCCATCCACATGCTGCATCCTCCTCGCTTTGCCTATGCCTCCCGTCCGACCTCCCTTTGCCTACTCTATCCAAAAGAGTAGCTTCGGTTACCCACCAATCCCTCCTCCCCTCCCCCTTAACCCTTCCCCGCCCACCCTTCCCCCCTTTCCCCGTATCCTCTTCCCCCCTTGCCAGCCTGTATCAGAGACAGTAGCCCAGGTGACCTACCAGTCCCTGTTCCGCCTCTATGGCAAGGTTTCCGGCATGACAGGCACCGCCAAGACCGAGGTGAGCAATCCAGGGTTTCAGGCTTGGCGTTTTGGGCGGTGGTGGGGGCTTGTTGGTGTCCAAACACGTGGGGTGTGTGCAAGCAAGCATGCAGCCCAGGTGACCTACGCGTCTCTCTTCCGCCTCTACCGCAAGGTGGCCGGAATGACAGGCACTGCCAGCCAAGTTCGAGGCGAGCAATCCGGGATTTCAGGCTTGGCGTCTTGGGGGGGGGGCTTGTTGGTGTCCAAACACGTGGGGGGTGTCCAAGCAGGCCAGCCCAGGTGACCTGCGAGTCTCTCTTCCGCCTCTATGGCAAGGCGGCAGGAATGACAGGCACTGCCATGCCTAGACTGAGGTGCGTCCAGAGCCCGTGGTGGGGCTATAGAAAGAGGTTCAGTGCACTGCACTGCTTGCGCTCACTGCTTGCAAGGTTTGTGTTTGTCCGCCCAGCGCAATGCACTGAACCTTGCACAGTCACGGAAGCACACGTTCCCCATGTGCAATGCAATGCACAAGTTTCAGCGCAATGCACATGTGCGAGAATCCTCTCTTCTCTCCCGTTTCCTGCGTCTTTTGCCCTCCTAACCCCCGCCTTCATGCCCCTTCCCCCTCCTCTCCTCCCTCCCATCCCTCATCCACTACTCTACCCCCCTCCTCTATCACAGGAAGAGGAGTTTAAGCGCATATTTGGCATGCCAGTGGTGGTCATCCCCTCTCTTCTTCGCCTTCCTGCCCCTCCCCCCTCCACTCCCCCCTCCACTCCCCCTCCACTCCCCCCTCCACTCCCCCTCCACTCCCCCCTCCACTCCCCCTCCACTCCCCCCTCCACTCCCCCCTCCACTCCCCCCTCCACTCCCCCTCCACTCCCCCCTCCACTCCCCCCTCCACTCCCCCCTCCACTCCCCCCACCACTCCCCCTCCACTCCCCCCTCCACTACTCCCCCCCCTGCACCACAGGAAGAGGAGTTCAAGCGCATATTCGGCATGCCAGTGGTCGTCGTCCATTCTCCTCTTAGCCTTCCCGCCCCTCCCACCTCCTTTCCCCCCTCCACTCCCCCCTCCACTACTCCCCCCCCCGCACCGCAGGAGGAGGAGTTCAAGCGCATATTCGGCATGCCAGTGGTTGTCATCCCCACCAACCGGCCCAACATAAGAAAGGACCTAGATGTCGTCGTCTTCCTGGTGGGTCCTGCTGGTCTCGTGCTCCCAACTGCTTGTGTTCACACAGCCCACCAAACAACCAGCCCAGCACAACCCAACTGCTGTCCAAGCATCAAGCAGCCCACCATCCGAAAGGATCTTGATGGCGTTGTCTTCCTGGTGGGTTGCGTCCAGCTTCTGAAGCTGCGTGGTTTCACTGTTGGGTGTGACAGCATGCAGCAGGCAGGCAGGATGAGTTGGTTTTTGAGATGAGACATGCATTGGGCAACGCCTGCCTGCTGCATGCTGTCACACCCAAAATTGAAACCATGCAGCTTCAGAAGCAAGGCTGGACGCAACCCACATCCTTGAGAATCCTCAAGAACCAACTGCAAGCAGCTGCATGGACTCCAAGAAAGAAAGTTGACCGTCCGGTGCTCGTTCACAATGCCTTCCACGTCCTTGCCCTTCACTGTCAGTCTCCTTTTCCCTCCGTACCTTTCCCCCCCTCTCTCCTCTCCTCCCTCTCCTTCCCCCCCCCCAGCAAGCGCTCAACAAAGTGCACTATGTGATTCAGGAGATGCTCAAGGTGAACCAACCCACCCAGGTGCCTGTGCTTATTCTGTAGATTTTACCCTCCCAACTCCTTCCACTCTTCCCCCCTCTCCCCCCCCCCCAGCAAGCGCTCAACAAGGTGCACTGTGTGATTCAGAAGATCCTCAAGAAGGTGAACCATCCCAGGTGCCTGTGCTTATGGCATAGATTTTTCCCTCCCAACTCCTTCCACTCTTCCCCCCTTCCCCCCCCCCCCCAGCAAGCGCTCAACAAGGTGCACTATGTGATTCAGGAGATTCTCAAGATGAACCAACTCGGCCGCCCTGTGCTTGTGGGCACCTCCAGGTGGGTCGGTGAACTGCAGGTCGTTTGGGTATCCTCCAAGTGTTCTCGGTATCCACCAGGTGGGTTGGTATCCACCAGGTGGGTTGGTAACCCGGTAACCCCAAAGATACACAGTACTTAACACAGCACACAACCAAGGATGCTGAGTAAGGTTTTCATCGGATGCCCATTCTTTCCCTCTCACCCGCAAATAGTGTGGAGGAGTCAGAGCGTCTCTATGCCATGCTGCACGAAGAGCATGCACGCGCGCAGCCCGTCTTTTTTTTTTACCCTATAAACTGGCTTTCCCTTTTTTTCGTTTTTTTTTTTTTTTTTTTTTCCTCTCTCTCGTTTCGACTGCAGTGTGGAGGAGTCGGAGCGCCTCTATGCCATGCTGCAAGTTGAGCATCCCCGCCGGTTCGCGCACATCCAAGTGCTCAATGCGCGGCCCGAGGTAAGTGCTTAGTGGCTTGACTTGTCCATGTGCAACCTTCCCCATCCTTTTGTACTGCTCAGCTCGCACACATCCAGGTGCTAAATGCATGGCCCGAGGTGCGTGGCTCGGGTGATGTATGGTGTGCCCTTTGTGATGTGTGCACTGTCAAGATTTAGCACGGTCGTAGCAGTGGAAGTGCTGCCGGCCGGGCCTAGTCCAATCCAAGGCGGGTTCTGTGGCGATTGGTCAGCATTCCAGCTTTGTTTCTGCCTCCCGCCTTTGGCCTTTATCCCTACCCTAGAATGCAGCACGCGAGATGGAGGCAGTGGCTTGTACTGGTCGCTTTGGAGGCATCACCATTCCCATCAACCAACAGGACTGCCTCCGCCCCACACCAAAACCTCTCCTTTTTTTTCTCTCCCCGCCCTCCCACCCTCCCCCCCTTCCCCCCACCCCCCCTTTTTCCTCGTTCCCGAACGTCACATCTCCCCCTCCCCTCCCCCTTCATCTTCCCCCAACCGTCACATCTCCCCCCCCCCTCCCCCTTCCTCTTCCCCCAACCGTCACATCTCCCCCCACTCCTCCTCCCCCCAGAATGCAGCACGCGAGGCGGAGATAGTGGCTCAGGCAGGAAGGTTTGGCGGCATCACCATTTCCACCAACATGGCTGGCCGGGGCACTGACATTGTGCTGGGCGGCAATCCCGAGGTTGGTGACATGGTGCTATGATGACAAACAATCCCAAGGTCTGTTTCTTTGCACTGGTAGGTAATCCCAGGGATCATGTGTGGTGTGTATGGACTATGGAGGATTATGAACACCACTTAGGTGCCATGGGTCGACTTTTGAGTTCTCTATTCCTGCACATGTTCTCTGCTCCTCCTCCTCCTCCTCCTCCTCCTCCTCCTCCTCCTCCTCCTCCTCCTCCTCCTCCTCCTCCTCCTCCTCCTCCTCCCCCCCCCCCCCCCCCCCCTCCTCTCTCCCACCAACTCGTGAGCAAGGGGATGCTCAAGTGGGCGCTCTCTAAAGCTCCAATGACCTTATTAGTCAACTCAAAAGTTCCCGTCATTTCCCCTCCTCTCGTCTTCTTTCCTCCTCTCTCGCACCGGCTCTTGAGCAATGAGGCGCTCAAGTGGGCGCTCTTTGAAGCCCCAGTGGCCGTATGAGTCCACTAAAAAGTCGCCTTCGTTTCCCATCTCTCGTTTTCTTTCCTTGCCTCTCCCCCACCAGCGCTTGAGCAAGGAGGTGCTCAAGTGGGTGCCCTTCGAACCCCTAGCAGCCCTTTTGGTCGACAGCCTCAGCAATTCCCTTCTCCTCGCTCCTGCCACCTCCCCTCCTCCCCCCCACCAGCTCTTGAGCAAGGAGTTGCTCAAGTGGGTGCTCTCTGAAGCCCCAGCAGCCCTTTTGATCGACAGCCTCAGCAGTTCCCTTCCCCTCCCTCCTGCCACCTCCCCTCCTCCCCCCCACCAGCTCTTGAGCAAGGAGGTGCTAAAGTGGGCGCTCTTTGAAGCGCCAGCAGCGGCTGCAGGGAACTATTCGGCTTTCAAGAAGGGTCCGCATGCGGTGAGCTTGCAGGAGTACATTCGTGAATGTTATTCACGTTGTTGGCCTCGAGTGGTGAGCTGAGTTGAGGCCCATGCCCATGTATGTTTACAGGGAGGGAGGCCTTGGAAACAATTCCAGTGTAGTTGGAAGGAAGCAGCCATTGTTGTCCTGATATGCTGCATACTCTCCCACTGTATTTTCCCCTTTGTCCTCTCACACGCCCTAGTGTCCCCTCATACTCGCCCCAGTGTCCCCTCATACTCGCCCTAGTGTCCCCTCTGACCTGACACGCCATGTATTCTCCCCTTCTGACACGCGCTGCATTCTCCCCTTCTGACACGCGCTGCATTCTCCCCTTCTGACTCGCACTGTATTCTCCCCTTCTGACACGCCCTGTATTCTCCCCTTCTGACACGCCCTGTATTCTCCCCTTCTGACTCGCCCTGTATTCTCCCCTTCTGACACACGCTGTATTCTCCCCTTCTGACACGCGCTGTATTCTCCCCTTCTGACTCGCCCTGTATTCTCCCCTTCTCCTGCGGTTCTCAGAGGCAGGGATTTTGGCCGATCGAGCTGCGGGAGGAGACCCTGAGGGAGCTCTACGCGGCTCAGTTCTCGTGTGAGTTCCGCTTGCTCATTCGTGTATATCTTGCACACACTGCTGCTGCTTTCTGTTCTCCCCTACACCCTGATTGCATCTAATGTTGTTCCCCTGTCCTTAACACACTCATGGAACACGCCCCCTCCCCTCCGCCCTCCATTCTTTCCCCCAGGGCGCAGCGTGGCAGCTGATTGGTCGGAAGCTCAGCAGCAGGCGGGGTAAGAGCAGGCAGAGACTCAGGCTTTAAGGCCCTCCGCGTCACTCATGTCCCCTCCTTTCACCCTCTCCTGCTCTCTTCCACTACCCCGTCCTCTTTTCACTAGACTCCCCCAAATGGGGCGCAGCGTGGTGGCTGATTGGTCGGGAGCTCCGCAGCAGGCGGTGCTAGAGCAGGCAGAGACTCAGGCTTTAAGGCCTCTGCCTCTCTCACCCTCCTCCGTACACCTCCCCCTCTTCTCCCCCACTACCCCCTCCCCGTTTCCCACCCCACACACAACAGGGCGCAGCGTGGCAGCTGATTGGTCGGAGGCTCAGCAGCAGGCGGTGTTAGAGCAGGCAGAGACTCAGGCTTTAAGGCCCTCCGCCTCTCCTGGTGCAGGCGAGGGCAAGGAGGAGGGGCTGGAGTGGGGGGAGCGGGGCGAGGCGGGCTGGGGGATGGGGGTGGGGTTGGCGGAAGGGGATGATGACATGGGAATGAGCCCCCTTCCCTGGAGGGTCGGTGAAAACACCAGAGAGAATGGTTCCAGTTTCGGCAGCAGCAACAATGGCAACAGTACCAGCAGCAGTGGGAGCAGTGGGGAAGGGGAGGGGGACGAGAGTGATGAGGATGACGAGGAGGTGTGGGGAGGCGGAGGAGGGGTGTTGGGGGTGCGAGCGGTGCCCAGGTCGATGCAGGAGATGGTGGTGCGGGTGGTGGGGCGGGCGCTGGGGATGGTGAACGCGGACTGCAAGGCGCACTGCAGGGAGGAGGGCGAGTACGTGAGGAGCCTGGGCGGGCTGCACGTCATAGGGACGGCACTGAGCGAGTCGAGGCGGATTGACAACCAGGTGAGGGGCGTCCTTGGGTTCTGAGGCGTTTTATGGTGAGTGAACGCGGACTGCAAGGCGCACTGCAGGGAGGAGGGCGAGTACGTGAGGAGCCTGGGCGGGCTGCACGTCATAGGGACGGCACTGAGCGAGTCGAGGCGGATTGACAACCAGGTGAGGGGCGTCCTTGGGTTCTGAGGCGTTTTATGGTGAGTGAACGCGGACTGCAAGGCGCACTGCAGGGAGGAGGGCGAGTACGTGAGGAGCCTGGGCGGGCTGCACGTTGTTGGCACGGCACTGAGCGAGTCAAGGCGGATTGACAACCAGGTGAGGGTGCTGTTGGGTGCTGTTGGGTGCTGTTGGGTGTTGTTGGGTGCTGTTGGGATGACAATCAGGCGAGGTATGCTGCTGGGTTCAGCATCAGGTGTGTTTTGATGTCCCAGGAAGCTCAGTGCAGGGAACGGTGGTGCGGGTGGTGGTGGGGGGGGCGCTGGGGATGATGAACGGGAAATGGTAGGGTTATTGCTTTGTTTAGTATCTCATCTCTAATATTTAATATCTTGCATACCATTTCTTGTATCCTATTTCCTTATCGTATGTGTTCCTGTCTCTGCATGGCAGTTGAGGGGAAGAGCAGGCCGGCAGGGTGACCCCGGGTCAACTCAGTTCGTCATCAGGTGCGAGTTAAATGTGGAGTCCTCTGGAACACCAGTTAGGTGTCATGTTGTCAATAGGTGGCAGCTAGTATATAGTGACACCTGTGAATGTTAGTTCGTAGAGTGCTTGTAGAAACTCTTGGAAGAATGATGGTGGTAACCGGTTTTGGCTCGAAAAGCCTTCTTCAGACCACTGAGTCTTAAATGAAAACAAGCACTACTTATACCCCTAGAGGATGCCGCCTAGGATTCATCTCGCGGGGGAAAACCGTGGCTGAGAAAGTGTGGACGGAGCAAAAAACGAAATAAGCACAAACAGCAAAACGAGGGGTCCACGTTTAGGAGAGGCACGAGCAAGAAGTTCGTTGAGCCGATGTCCGAATGTGGTTGAGTGTGACTCCACTGTGCGATTTAGATGTGGACTCCATTGTGCGAGTTAGATGTGGACTCGACAACTGTGTTAGATGTGTTAGATGTGCGAGAATTCTCAAGAATTACTCCACCGTGCGAGCTAGGTGTATAGGCAGGTGAGAATCAGGTGAAATCAGTTGAGAATCATGTGCGAATCACGTGCGTATCAGGTTGTCATCAGGTGAAAATCGGGCTGGCTGATTCGACTCTATGCACAGGTTGGAATCAGCCCATGTCCTCTCCCCACCTCCCCCCTCCCCATTCCCCGCTCCCGCCCCTATCTCCTCCATACCAGCATGGAGGACGACATGATGCGCGAGGTGCTGCCGGACTCATCCCGAGCCATGCTAGAGCAGCTGCTTTATACAGGCGACTTTGAAGAGGGCTTCCCCCACGTGGCCTTGACCCTCGCTGTAAGAACAACTGGCTGTAAGAAAGAAACATGTTTGCTTTAAGAAAAGCCTCTGTAGAGCCCTGCTGTAGCAGCTGCTGTACACCGGGCGACTTTGAGGAGGGCTTTCGCACACACACGGCCTGCACCCTTTCAGCATCGCTGCCATGTTTCTGGCACACAGAAGAGCACTGAAGGGCACAGAAGAGCACAGAAGCTGGCTGCCAGAAGAGCACAGAAGAGCATAGAAGCTGGCTGCCAGAAGAGCACAGAAGCTGGCTGCCATGTCTGAGAGACGCCTTGCTCGCAAACCTACCTCCACCTTTCCTCCTCCGTACCGCTTCCAACCCCTCCCAAATTCCCTGAACCAGCCCCTACCCTCTCCAGTTGGTGCAGACGCAGAAGACGGTAGAAGCTGCCCTGTTTGAGAGACAAAACACACGCACCCTGATCATCCCCTCCCTCTCCCCCTCCAAACCCCTCTCAACCCCTCTTTAAACGCCCTTCACCCCCCTGCCCTTCACCAGTTGGTGCAGACGCAGAAGACGATAGAAGCGGCCATGTTTGAGAGGCGGCGGCAAATGCTTGACTACGATCAGGTCTTCGAGGTGAGCTTCTTTAATAATTGACGTGAGCTGGATTGTTTTTTGGGTTGGGTGGTGTCGGCAGACGGCAGTCCTCATTGGTTGCCCGAGTGCTGCTGCCATGTTTGAAAGACGCTGGCAAATGCTTGACTTTGACGAGATTTTTTAGGGGAGCTGCTCTTGCAATTGAGGTGAGAACTCGATGCTAAGGGCATTTTGTTTGAAGTTTGAAAGCTTGAAGCCCACGTGGGCTGCAGCAGGCATATAGAAGCTGTTTTTCCCCTTGTGCTTCGTTTTGCTCGTCCACTTTCTCTTTTGCTCTCCGCATGCCCTTCACACCTTGGCAGTTACACCGATATGCGTACAATCTGTTTTCCCATCCCACCTCTTCCGTTTCACCCTCCCTTTTCCGTCCTTCCCGCTCTCCCTCTTGCTCTTCCCATCCCTCTCCCTCTCCCTCTCCCTCCTGCTCTCCTTTCTCTTGCATCTCCCTGCAGCTCCAGCGCAAGCAAGTGTACAAGCTGTGTGTAATGAGTCGATTTTTGAGTCGACTCATTACACAAGCTGTTCCCCCACACTCTTCCCTTCTCAATTCCTCTCCCCCTCGCTTTCTCACTCCCTCTCCCCCTCGCTTTCTCACTCCCTCTCCCTCCTCCCTTTCTCACCCCCTCCCCCTCTCACTTTCTCCCTCTCCCGCCTCTCGTGTATCTCCCTGCAGCTCCAGCGCAAGCTAGTGTACGAGTTGCAGAGAGTTAATTCTTTCCACCTCCTCTTATTGTCAATTCGCTCCACCTCTTCTCATTCACTCTCACTCTCCCTGTGCTTTCCACACCCCTGGCAGCTCCAGCGCAAGCAAGTGTACAATAATTTGCTTCTCCCTTATTCCGTTCACTCTTCCTCTCCCTCTCCCTTAACATCAACCCATGGCAGCTCCAGCGCAAGCAAGTGTACAATAATTTGCTTCTCCCTTATTCCGTTCACTCTTCCTCTCCCTCTCCCTTAACATCAACCCATGGCAGCTCCAGCGCAAGCAAGTGTATGAGCTGCGAGAGCTGATTCTGGAGGAGTCTCCAGCAGATCGGCACACACGAGCACAGCTGTGAGTCTGCTTTTGAGGCGCCTCAAAAGGCGGGTTCAGCGCAAGCAAGCGCGTTATCAGTTGAGAGTGCTGATCTGGAGGCGTCTCAAGTTTGAATGTCAAACTGCGCCATGAGTGTCGTCTACGCATGGGTCACTTCCGGCTTGATAGGATTTGGCTGGGATTTGTTTGGAAGAACTCTCAGAAGCACGATTCACTCATGTGTATGTTGAGTTATGCATGGATGGATGTTGCGTACGCACGCATGAGTCACTGCGAGTGGAGTGGCTGCACAAAGCGTGAATGTGTGCAACGAGTGGCCACACGTATTTGTCCAACAATTGTGTGCATGTGCTTGAATGGTGACCCACCCATCCCCTCATCCATACCATACCCACTCAGGTACATCCAATCCAAGTGGTGGTAGATGCCACAGTCAAGGAGTGCTGCTCCCGTGTTCCGAGCTGCCTCACCTCACAGCACTTCTTTTCTCTTATGGCACGCCCACACACCCACCCGCCCGCCCACTCACGTATGAATCCACTCAGGTACATCCAAGCAGTATTGGAAGCCACAGTCAAGGAGTGCTGCTCCCATGTTTGAAAGGCCTTCTTAACACCCTCCTCTCTTCCCTACATCCCTCCACCCATCCTCTCATCCATGCCATACCCACTCAGGTACATCCAAGCGGTGGTGGATGACATAGTCAAGGAGTACTGCTCCCCCTCCAAGGTGAACCAGCCAGAGTCTTGGCGTTTCACCGTCACATGGGCCCCCTTAATCACTGTGTGATGCCATGACATGACATGACATGACCTCCGTCCGATCAATGCAATGCGATGCAATGCAGTGCAATGCCATCCAACATGTCCCCACCTCCATATGCCTGCTTACGTCTCCCCCTCTCCATCTGCTTTGAGTTGACTCACAAGTCACCTCGTTATTACAATGTCATACGCCACGTTTTTAGTCAACTAAAAAAGTTACCTCGTTGCAATGTCACACGACGCGTTTTGAGTCGACTAAGAAGTCACCTCCTTACGTCCCCCCCCTCTCCATCTGCTTTGAGTTGACTCAAAAGCACTGCGTGATGGCATGTCTTGACCTACGTCCAGCGTGCATGCAATCCATACTGCCCCCGCCTCCATAACCCATGTGATAGTCATTTGCTTTTGAGACAGCTCACAACTAGATCACTGTCACACGCATCCATTATGCCCAAACTTTCACATCCCTCCCCACGCTGTCCCCTCTCCATCCGTCCTCCTCCCCCCATCTCCCATCCCCAGCCTGTGGAGTCATGGCCCATCGACACCATGCTCAAACGCCTCAGTTTCCTGTCACCTCCCTTTCACTCCCTCCCACTCCCTCCCACTCCCTTTAACTCCCTTCCACTCCCTTCCACTCCCTTTCACTCCCTTTCACTCTCTCTCACTCCCTTTCACTCCCTCCCACCCCCTCCTGCCCCCCTCTCCCGTTGTCTTCCTCCTCGCCTCCCCCCCGAAACACCAGCCTGTGGAGTCATGGCCCATCGACACCATGCTCAAACGCCTCTCTCGCACAACTGGCATAGGTACTGTTCACACATCGCACACATGCATGCATGCATGCTGTACTCTTCACGCATACATGTGGCACAAGTACAGTTTCTAGAGCCTCTCTCTGCCATCTGCCACCTCACTCACATCTGCCACCTCCGTCCCTCCCTCCACCAGACTCCCAGCACGTGGATGCCACTTTCCTCAGTGCTGCCCTGTCCCACTCCCATCCACTTTATAATGATCACACACGAGACACTTCCCATGGTGCCGCTTTCTTCCCTCCCTTCCTCCCTCCCCCCTCCCGTCTTCCCCCCCTCCCGTCCTCCCCCCCTCCCGTCCTCCCTTCCTTCCCCCCCCCGCCCCCTTCCGCATCCTCTCCCTTCCAGACCATTCCCAACCAGCACGTGGATGCCACCTCCCTCAGTGCTGCCCGCCCTGTCCCACTCCCCTCCTCTCAGACACCTTGCGATATGAAGCTTTTTGTTCCTCTTCCCCCCTCCCTCCCTCCCTTACTCCATCCCTCCCCTCATCAGAACTATCCCAGCATGTAAATGCCGCCTCCCTCAGTTCAGCCCTGTCCCACTCCCCTCCAAGCAATGCTGGTCACCGCTGGGACCTCCTAAACCACCTGCCCAACGTCCTGCCGCCCCTGCCTGAAGTGCTGCCGCCCCTTGGGGGAGGCTCCAAGGCTGCTGGTGCTGCTGGTGCTGCTGGTGCTGGTGGTGCTGGTGGTGGTGCAGTTGAGACTGGGGATGGGGGGGCCCACGGCACGGAGGGAGCAGCTCGGCAGGAGCTGAGATGGAGGGAGATTCTCCGCGACCCGTCCGACCTGTAGGTGCAAGCGCGGACTAGCGAGACTCAAAAGTCGACCTGGAAGTGCAAGCACATACGCTGTGCTAGCGCTGTTATTCTGTTATGCTTTAAGCCTGACTGAAGTCTGCTGCTCCCCTCTGAGAGCTATGCCTGAAGATCTCTTGGCTCCTCCGATGGAGGGGTGTCGTGTGACTGACATTGTAGCGAGGTGACTTGTGGGTCGAATTGAAAGTCACCTCCTTTGAGCCGGACTGAGTTCTGATACTCTCTGACAACTATCGTTGAAGACCTCTTGGCTCCATTTGAGGAAGATTCTCCCCGACCTGTCTGATTCTCTTACGCGCCCAGGAGATTCTCCCATGGAGTGAGATTCTCCACAATCCTCCTAATTCCCCCTCACTCCTTGTATTCCCACTCCTTCCCTCTGCCCAGGAGGGGCAGGTCGTCCAAGCACCTGGCAGCAGTGCGAAAGTACCTTGGCGATGTGGTGGTAACGTGTTACAAGGCGCACCTCGCCCTGTTTGCCGCCTCGCCAGACCAGATGGAATTTTGCGAGGTGAGACAGCTGATATCAATCTAGGTTTGAGATGTCCTCAAAACTATTGAGTCGACTCAAAACTACTGAGTCTGTTGAGTCGACTCAAAAGTCGACTTAAAAGTCATCCCCCGATTCCCCCCGTCACACAGATATCTATCTTTCACACAGATTATCCTCGCCAGTGCAAATGGTCGAGGTGAGAGAGATGATTAAAATATAGGTTCGAGACGCCTCAGAACTATTGAGTCGACTCAAAAGTCATCCCCCGATTCCCCCTGTCCCCTCGTCATGTTCCCCCAAGCAGAGGGAGGCTCTTCTTTCCACGTTGGACCGCCTGTGGAGTGTGCACATTGCCAACATGGCGCGACTGAGGAACGCGGTGAGTAGGGGAGGGCCACATTGCCAGATGCCAGATGTGGAGGTATGGAGACTGCGAGACTGCTTCCAAACTGGACTGCCTGTGACGCGTGCACATTGCCAGCATGGCACGACTGGGGAACGCGGTGAGTAGGGAGGGAGGAATAAGCGCTTAGGGACGTGGGGGTAATGGGGGAAGGGGGGGGGATTGTGGGGGGAAAGGGGGGGGATTGTGGGGGGATGGGGGGGGGATTGTGGGGTGTGGCTGGGAGTTGGGAGATTTGGGCCGTGCTAGGCTGCTTTCCACGTTGGACCGCCTGTGGAGCGTGCACATTGCCAACATGGCACGACTCAGGAACGTGGTGAGTAGGGGAGGGAGGAATAATCAGCGCTGAGGGACGTGGGGGTAATGGGGGGAAGGGGGGGGGATTGTGGGGTGTGGCTGGGAGTTGGGAGATTTGGGCTGTGCTAGGCTGCTTTCCACGTTGGACCACCTGTGGAGCGTGCACATTGCCAACATGGCACGACTCAGGAACGTGGTAAATAGGGGAGGGAGGAATAATCAGCGCTGAGGGACGTGGGGGTAATGGGGGGAAGGGGGGGGGGGGATGTGGGCCATGCTAGGCTGCTTTCCACAGTGGACCGCCTGTGGAGCGTGCACATTGCCAAGTTGCCAACATGGGCTTGGGGGTGTGAGGCATGGGCAGTGTCAGCGCTGGGGGGCTTCGGGCTGTGGGTGCTGGGGGGGCTGGGGAGTGCGAGTGCTGGGGGGGCTGCGGGCTGTGGGTTCTCTGGGGGGCTGGGGGTCGCAAGTGCTGCGGGATGGGGGTTGTGGGAAAATTGAAGATGTGGGAAGCACTGCTTTCCCTGTTGCCTCCGTACCCCCTGTCAAGTATGGCTTGCAAGCCTCTATACCCGCTCCGCCCTTAGCCCCCCTTCATCCCTCGTAGTTGCCACTCCCCTCCGAATGCTTGCTTGCATCTCCTTCAGGGGAGGCCCCGCTGAATGTGCAGGGCTTTGCGTGGGAGACCTGCTGGGATTCAAGATAGAGGGCTTTCGTTTCTTCACACAGACTCCATCTGTCGCCTTGCTCGCTCCCTCTCACAAATCCCCTTCATCCCTCCCAACCCGCTACCCCTCTCCCCCATCCGCAGTGTGCAGGGCTTCGGGCAGGAGAACCCCCTGGAGGAGTTCAAGACAGAGGGCACTGGCTTCTTCATCTGCACTCTCTTTGCCTGTCGTGCCCTACATGCTCACATCCCCACCTCGTCTCCCTCTGCGTCTCGCCCCATTCCCCCCTTGTAATGCTTCTCCTGCCTCCCTCAGGTGAGCGTGCAGGGCTTTGGGCGCGAGAACCCCCTGGAGGAGTTCAAGATAGAGGGCACCCGCTTCTTCATCTCGACGCTCTTTGCCATTCGGAGGGAGAGCGTGCAGGCGCTGCTGGCAGGCTTCCTGGCAGACACGGAGGGGGAGATAGATGGAGGGGGAGGGTATTGACGGGGGAGGGGGGCATTGATTTGCGGGAGGGGGGAGAGAGGGGGAGAGGGGGGAGAGGACAACTGCTTAGGCAGGGCACCCGCTTCTTCATCTCCACTTTTTGCAGGGTGTTTTTTAGAATTCTCAAAAACACCCTGCAAAATCAAGGAGAGGACAACTGTTTAGGCAGGGCACCCGCTTCTTCATCTCCACTCTCTTTGCCATTCGGAGAGAGAGTGATGTGCAGGCGCTGCTGGGAGGCTTCCTAGCAGACATGGAGGGGGGACAGATGGAGGGGGAGGGTATTGACGGGGGAGGGGGGCATTGATTTTGGGGGGGGGGTGGGGAGGGGGGGGGGAAAGGGGGGGACAACTGTCTAGGCAGGGCACTCGCTTCATCTCGACGCTCTTTGCCATCCGGAGGGAGAGCGTGCAGGCACTGCTGGCAGGCTTCCTGGCAGACTCTGAGGGGCACATTTGATGGCGGTGGCGGTGGCGGTGGCAGTGGCGGTGGCGGTGGCGGTGGGGGGACAACTGTTCATGCAGGGCACGTTTCTTCAGGTGGGTAGGTGATTTTATAGGATTCCGGAAACTCAGCTGTTAATCCAGGGCAGGGCACTCTATTCGTCATCCCGGCGCTCTTTGCCGTCTGGAGGGAGAGCATGCATGCAGGCGCTGCTGGCTGGCTTCGTGGCAGACACCAGGGGGGACATGGAAAGAGCAGGTGGGGGGTGGCAAGTGTTTAATCCGGAAATCCTCTTCTCATCCCGGCTTCTTTGGCATACCGGAGAGCGGAGGAGACAGTGTGTTTGATGGGAGGAGACAGTGTGCGCAGGTGGGGAGGATGTTTCACTGCTGTCTGGCTTCCTAGCAGGCATGGAGGGGGGCATTGATGGTGGTAGTACGGTAGTAGTAGTGGAAACGCAGTCTAGGTTTGGCACTTCTGTTGGAAAGCACATTCTTGTTACCCCGTTAGCTGTTACCGTATATCCTTCTAACACACCAACTCATATTGTGCGTCCAACAACCAGGAGGACTGGAGGCTTCTTGTGTCCTTACTTCATATGGCAAGTTTGTTACAACAACATGCCACTAGATAAGCATTGGTAACTGAACTCACACCAGGATGAATTTGACAGCTGGAGTGCTAGAAAATACCGTTCTTTCCTAGACTGGAGCGTTATGGCAGCTTTGCTCCAGGAGCAACTAGTGGCAGGCAACTAGCGCTGAAGTGTTTAACTAGCACTGGGACAAGGGATGTCCTTATCGGCACTGGGACAAGGGATGTCCTTATTGGCACCGGGACGGGACGCCCTTATCGGCGTGGTGGTCTCTCCTCAAGCTTCTTTCTTCGCTCTTCAAGGGATGCTGGTTTTCATTTCATGCCCACAGAAAAGCAGGCAAACGAAATGCAAGGGGGTTGTGTAACGAAGAGTGTCAAGGTCGGCGCAGAAACCAGCACAGCCTGGAAAGAATTGTGACAACAAAATTCCAGAAAAATCTTGGATAAAGACGACTGAGAACTGGTGAAAAGAGCGGGTCGAATCAACGAGGAGGTTAGCAGGGGTGATGGACGGTGTTGAGGTATGCAAGGCTCTCTCCCAGCCCAACAGAACAATGAAACGTCATCACGCACAAGTGGGACAGTGTGGGGGGGATGGGACTGTGTGTTCTCACGTTCTCTTGGTCTCCGGTGCAGCGGAATGTGGGCCAGCTTCTTCTCTCCACCCTCCCCCTCTGAGAAGAACTCAGAGGGATCAGCAGCGGAGGAAGCAGCAGCAGACTCCGCAGCGTCAAGTGCAGATTGCAGCACGGAGCATCGGATGAGGGCTGCGTTCAACTGCTGGCGGATTGACCGACAGAGGAGGCGCTTGGCATCTGGTAGAGGGAGAAGATGTTGTTTGGGGGTTAAAGGAATGGGGGAGGGGGAGGGAGTGGGGGGAGGGGAGGGCGGTGGGTAGGGGGCGGAGGGTCAAGAGCATTTGATGAGGGCTGCGTTTAGCTGCTGGCGGATTGACTGATACAGCAGCACATGGCACCTGGTGGTGAGAGGGAGAGACGTGTGAAGGAGCACCGCAGGAATGTGGCTTTGAGGGGGATGCACGTGCATGGGCATGGGCATGGGCATGGGCGTGAGCATGTGGGCTTCATCCTCTTGAGGCCGCATGGGTCAGCAAATGGCTTACTCGAGGAGCAGTGGAGGTGCAGGGAGGCGGGGAAGGAGCATCGGTGCAACACCAAGCCATGGGGGTTGGCGGAAGCATACTGGGGCTTGCTGGTGAAAGGGGGGAGGTGCATGTGCATGCATACATAGAAGAGTAGCTCACTGGCAGAGCAGCTGAAGCGCAGGGAGGCTATTTTTGAGTCGACTAAAAAATCACTCACTGGCAGAGCAGCTGAAGTTTTGAGGTGCCTCAAAACTAGAAGAGTAGCTCACTGGCAGAGCAGCTGAAGTTTTTAGGCGCCTCAAAACTACAAGAGTAGCTCACTGGCAGAGCAGCTGAAGCGCAGGGAGGCAGGGAAGGCGCATCGGTGCAGCACCAAGCCATGGGGATCCGCAGGGGCGTACTGAGGCTTGCTGGTGAAGGGTCCATCATGCACTCTCAGAAGCTCTGATACCACCTGCGCTTGCAATACACATCAAGGTGGGCGGGAGGGGTACGGAGACTGCTTCTGAGGCGCCTTAAAAGGCAAAAGGGGCGTACTGGAGCTTGCTGCTAAAGGGCCCATTGTGCCCCCTCGGTAGCTCTGATACCACCTGCGTTCTCGAAATAAGAATCAAGAGAGTAGAGGACTTGCTTGAGGGGTCGGCAGCAGGGGCGTACTAAGGATTGCTGGAGAAAGGTCCTTCATGCAGGGCGTACTGGGACTGGCTAGTAAAGGGCCCATTGTGCACTCTCAGAAGCTCTGATACCACCTGCACTCGCAATACACATCAAGGTGGGCGGGGGAGTACGGAGTCTGCTTTTGAGGCGCTTCAAAAGGCAGCAGGGGCGTATTGCAGGGCTTGCTGGTGGTGAAGGGTCCATCGTGCACTCTCAGAAGCTCTGATACCATCTGTACTTGCAGTATAGAAAAAAGGGGAGCATGCTAAGTAGTGGTGGGAGAGGGTTTGGGGTGCGGCAGGAGGGTGGGGGGAAGAAGGGGTCATGAGAGTTTTGCTCAGTTTTGAGGCCCCTTGTGCAGCGCTTTTGACACTTGGGCCCTTATGACACTGACATCACTGGATGGGAACCAGAGCAAGAAAAACTGAGATCCCCACTAACACTTTGTTTCATTTGTCATGCAGGTGTTGCTGGTGAGTCAGGTGCTGCCAGTGCAGTAGCTACAGTGGCGAGGTGTCACAAGCGCACATTTGGTTCTCAACGAAAACAGCAGGTCAAAGGTGCATGGGTCAACCTACTTTCGAAATCGTAGTGGCACGAAAAAGCACACCCTTAGATCGCCTAACGTGCCAGTTGGACGGTCGTCGCCTGGAGTCCTGCAGCTAGCTGGTAGCGGAGGTAAAGCCACGCCTGGCGTTGTAGCCGCTGCGCGATCGACGATCACGCCTGGGGAGCCGAGCGTGGCTTTACAAGATGATGACTGGTGCTCCAGATGATGCCTGCCCAACAGATGATGACTGCCCAACAGATGATGACTGCCCAACAGATGATGACTGCCCAACAGATACCGGGGACGATCTCGGAAGTGCAAATCTAGTGCCACTGCGATCGCAGAAGCAGGTTGGCCCAGGCGGCCTCGACCTACTGTATTCGCCGAGAACCGACCATGTGCGCTCGTGACACTCTGACACCTCACCTCTGCAACTGCCGCATTGGCGGCACCGGACGCACCAGCAGCACCTGCATGACAATGCTCTCGGGCGTCTTATAACACCTGGAGGCGCTTTGGGACAACGCACTAGCAGCACCTGCATTTATCAACCCAATTGACATCAGCCCAAGTTCCAAGGTCACCTGAAAATGCTACTGTCTTCGGCCCACCATCAACAGCTCGACTATCATGCATCGACTATGGTGCCAAACGAGCTCTTTGAGTCGTTGTTTCCGCCCATTTGAAAAATTCTAAGCTCAATTATAACCCGCAGTGCATTTGAAATTCTCCCTTTCGTGGGGGTCTAGGGGTAACTTCACACTCGTCACTTGAGGGGTCACTTTCGAGTTGAGTGCGCAAAGCAATTTGGGACTTCGTGTGCTCATTGCTTCGTGTGCTCATTGCTTCGTGCTCATTGCTTCGTGTGCTCATTGCTTCGTGTGCTCATTGCTTCGTGCTCATTGCTTCGTGCTCATTGCTTCATAGCCGTCCGATTGTCATCTAATGGCCAATGATCCAAGGTTTCCATACACTGCAAACCCCACCCCCCGTACTTCGTGTGGGCCGTCCGATCCGATTCTGACAAAATCTGACGGACCAAATTCCAATTGAACATTCGCCACCTGTGTTTCGTTTCGCGAAAAAACGACTTCGCAAAACAGCTTGTTATTTTCACTACACCCACGACCCCAATTCATACGCAGTGCGTATGAACAATTTTTGAGGCGCCTCAAAAATAGACTCCTCGCGCCCAATTCATAAGCTGATGAAGGCTTGTATAAGCCGAAACTAGTTCATCACTGGTTTTCCATCAAAACCTCCTGAACATCCCTTCAGCTCAAGCTTTTTCAGAACCGCTGCCTCGCAAGGCTTTTTCCACCATGGTCGCGCCCAATTCATATGCAGTGCATATGAACAATTAGGGCTTCAGGTTTTAAGGCTGCTCTTGTTTCCCACCACCAGCAACATGGTCATCATGCATCCTATATGGTGCCAAAAGAACACCGTTCCCACCACCTTTCACTCTGAACACTGATACCAACAGCCATCACGCTAGCTTCACTCACTCACCTCGGGTCGTTCCTGCCCCCGCCCCACCATTAGCAGCACGGCCATCATGCATCGAATCTGGTGCCAGAGAAATGCCGTCCCAACCACCTGCAGCACCCACACCGACGGACGCTGGGGGGGCTTGCTTGGGTTCGACTCTACCCCAGAAGCTGCAGCCGGGAGGTGAGTCAACATGGAAGGAACACAAGCGTGGGGGGCTTGCTTAAGGATTTCGATTTTTCTGGACTCAAGCGATTCCTTGGAATTTCTCAAAAAAGGGGAAATTTCCTAGATGTGTGACTGGGCGTTTTCGACAACAATACAAAACTACCCCAGAAGCTGCAGCCAGCCAGGTGGTGAGGAATCATTGCAGGGGCACAAGAATGGCGTCTCAATCAACACAAGGAAGCTCCGGCACAAGTGCTTCCATCATGACGCCTGATACGCATATCCACACAAGAGGAAACCGTCTTTTGAGTCGACTCAAAAGTCGTCTTTTCCTTCCATTGGTTAATAACCCAGAGAAAATAACGCTCGCGTCCTCTGAGAAAATATTCTCTTTCTCGATGTGTGACTTGGCATTCTCTGCCTCCATGTTACAGAGACTGGCTCCATCCAGTCAGACAGAGAGGGGAATGTTTGAGATGGACTTCTCACATGAAAAGACAGCAAAGGGCACGATGCGGCACAATGCGGTACAATGCGGCTCCAGTCAGATAGAGATAAGGTTTCAGATGGGCAACTTGCGGGGAGTCTGCTTTTGAGTCGACTCAAAAGCAGACTCATTACACACGGTCATTTTAGTCGACTCAAAAGCAGACTCATTACACACGGTCTTTTTAGTCGACTCAAAAGCAGACTCATTACACGCTTTTCAGTCTAATCAAAAGCAGACTCATTACACGCGGTTTTTTTAGTCGACTCAACGTGGCTCTAGTCAGGTACAGAGGCAACTCACGGGGAGAGAGGCCAGCAACGGGGGCAGCAAAGGGGACAGCAAAGGGCGCCATGCCCATGCGGCACGCCATGATGTCTCTCTCTTGAATCGAACGGCATGGCGTTCTCTGCGTCCATCTTGCAGGCAATGGCTCTTGAGTCGACTCAAAAGGCAATGGCTGAAACCTCATCTCCACTCACATAGAGAGGCGAGGCGAGAAGAGGTGGCCAAAGGAATGACTCACGGGAAGAGAGGGCAGCAAGCGGGGCAGCAAAGGGGCCGGCAAAGGGCACGATGCGGCACGACATGATATCCCGCTCAAACGACTTGACGTTCTCCACGTCCATCTTGCAGACATTGCGGAAGTCGTGACGGCCCTTGAAGAGCTCTGCTGCTCGCTGCATCGCCTGAGAGCAAGGTAGGAGGAGGAGGGGGGGGGGGGGGGGGGGGGGGTAGGGAGAAGGGGGAAACGAAGAGAGGGAGAGTAGAGAATGTGACTTTTGAATCAACTCAGAAGTCGTGACGTCATTCAAAGAGCGCTGCTGCTGTCTGCTTGGCCTGAAAGCAAGGAAAGGGAACCAACCACCGAGAAGAGGGGGAGAGGAAGGGCGGGAGGGGAGAAGCTAGCCTAATATAGCGGAGAGAGGCGAGAAACAAAAGGGGGGGCTGGAAACAAACTCGCAAGAACGAGCAAGCAGCGGAGAGGTATGGAGTTGCAAGCAAGGAGTCTATTTTTGAGGCGCCTAAAAAATGGACACACAAGGAGTCTACTTTTGAGGCCCCTAAAAAAAAGGGCGGGGTGGAAACAAATTTGCTAGAACGAGCGAGCAACGGAGAGGTATGATTTTTGAGGCGCCTCAAAAATCAATGGACAGGTATGGAGACGCAAAGATTACCAGAATGTCAAGGCCAGGCTCGTCCACAAAGTAATATCTGTATTCTCGCTCCAAGCAGCTGAACCTGCCAGGAGAATAGCAGATGGGAGGAGAACCGAGCGGAGAGGAAGGCATGGCATGAGTGGTGAACTGGGCGCAAAGTTCACCGCTGTACAGAGAAGCAAAAGGAGAGAGGAGCAGAGAGCTGGGCTGTACAGAGAAGCAAAAGGAGAGAGGAGCAGAGAGCTGGGCTGTACAGAGAAGCAAAAGGAGAGAGGAGCAGAGAGCTGGGCTGTACAGAGAAGCAAAAGGAGAGAGGAGCAGAGAGCTGGGCTGTACAGAGAAGCAAAAGGAGAGAGGAGCAGAGAGCTGGGCTGTACAGAGAAGCAAAAGGAGAGAGGAGCAGAGAGCTGGGCTGTACAAAGAAGCAAAAGGAGAGAGGAGCAGAGAGCTGGGCTGTACAAAGAAGCAAAAGGAGAGAGGAGCAGAGAGCTGGGCTGTACAGAGAAGCAAAAGGAGAGAGGAGCAGAGAGCTGGGCTGTACAGAGAAACAAAAAAGAAGCCAAATTTGTCAACCAGAGCGCATCTGCCGCTGAAGTCAGGAGGGGAAGGAGCCCATACAAGCAAAACCTTACTCAGACTAATTATAGTCGACTTAATAGTCGCTTCGCTTCGCATTCAGTCAACCCCACCCCACCTGGCGCTGAAGTCGGAAGGTGCAGGAGCCCACGCCAGCACACGAATATCGTCAGGTAGAGCTCTGTTTAACGATGCCACGTAGTCAATCTCGTTTGCCACGCCATTGCCCTCCCTCGCCACGTCATCTGCCCCCCCTGCCACATCAGCTGCCAGCTGGCCAGCAGGAGCGCTGGAATTTCTGATGCTGCGTTCTTGGATGTGGCTGGGGCTGGCAGTTTGGTCCAGGGTGGCAGTGGTGGCCATTGCACGGTCAGCAATCTCAAGTGCCACGTCAGCCACTGCCATTCCCATGTGTTGCTGATGTGGACGAACAGAGGAACGCAAATGGAGAGCTACAACCTGACCAATGGCGTTCACCCCTCGGTCCGTCCTCCCACATCTCGAATACTTTGCGGCTTCATCCTTCATAATATCTTTCATTATAGGAACCCCTCCTTTAGTCACATTCACACTCCCAGCAGCACCCCCCTCTTTAGAAGCATCTTCGTTAGAAGCCCCGTATATCCCACGATTCTTCCTCGCTGCTTTCCTCTGCTTTCGCTGCAGCTTGACATCAGCTGTGCAGTCAAAATTCGATATATTCACACCCTGCCCCGCCTTCTGTTGCATATCCTCAAGTGGTACGGAGTCACCATTCGAAACGGGCGAAATGGGCGAAATGGGCGAGATGGGCGAAATAGCCGGGATAGGTGGTGGGTTGGATGCAGGTGCAGGTGGTGCGATGGCAGTGGGTGCTTGTGGGGGTGGGGGTGCAGGGAGCAGCAGCTTGGTGTGACGCAGAGACGCCACTAGCTGGCCCTGCAAGGCAAAGAGAAGACAGAGTGAGAGGGGGGGGAAAAAAGGGATGGATGCAGGTTAGATGGATGCTGCAGGTGCAGGTGGTGCGACGGCAGCCCTAGATGTGGGGGTGGGGGTGCAGGGAGCAGCAGCCTGGTGGTGTGCAGCAGAGACGCCACCAGCTGGCCCGGCAAGGAGTCAGAGGGGGGAGCCAAGGGAGCATGTGGGTGCTTGGGGGGGTGGGGCCGCAGGGAGCAGCGACGACACTAGCTGGCCCTGCAAGGAAACAGAGAGGGGAATGACCCTGAGGGATCAGGGACTATTATTCTGAAGGCCCCCTCTTCTTTTTCCTCTTTTTTTTTCTTTTTTTTTCTTCGAAAAGGCACCTTACAGCGGGGATTGCTGAGTCAGCCGCACCGCAGGGTACGTATGTGCAGAGCTCTCCCTCCTGCAAATGCCAGGGAAACAGAGAGCGGGTGGTGTGTGATACCGAGTGAATGTCATGTGTGATAGGCGACTGTGACTGCAAGTGGGTGTGATCATGTCTTACCTCTACAGTAGATCCCGTGGAGCCTTGAGACGCAAAGCCTAGGTACCTGCAGGGAGCAGAAGACGATAAGGCGAACGAGAACTCTAGGAGGCACGTGAGAGACGGGTCAGACGGAAGGAGCAAAGGAAGGAGCAAAGGAAGGAGCAAAAGAAGGAGCAATGGAAGGAGCAAAGGAAGGAGCAAAGGAAGGAGCAAAGGAAGGAGCAAAGGAAGGAGAGAACCACAAGAAGTGGGGAGGATAAGGTGCGGGGGGGAGGAGAAGATGAGGAAACAAAGTAGGGGAACAGGGCGAGGGAAGCACACGATTCCATTCAAAGGATAGTTCAGGAGGAGGAGAGAAGCGCGTGGGAAACAAAAGCCACTGATCCCAAAACACCTAAAAAGCTCACTTTGCTCCCAGTTTCATGGTGACTTTTGCTCACTTTGTGATCACTTAAGTCACCTCTAAAAAACTCACCTTGCTTCCAGTTTCATGGTATCAACACGCTCGCGCTCACCTCGACCCCAGGTACATGATCTGCAATGCCACGTGGCGAGTCCTGTAGCTCTCCAGTGGCTTTCCTCGCACCTTTCTCCCTCCGCTCTTCCTACTCCCACCACTCTTTGGCTCCCCTCCATCCTTTAGATTCTCAGCAGGACCCTCCCCTTCTCTTCCTGTCCTGGTTTCCCCCCTTTCAACCTGAGAATTCTCCTGAGCTGTTTCTTGCACTGCCTCAGGAGTCTGTTTCTCAGGAGCCCCTCCCTTCTCTCCGGTCTTTTGATTCGACCCAAAAATCTCCCCAGGTGTTTCTTGCACGGCCTCCAGCGGCCCTTCCTCAGGAGGCCCTCCCTTCTCTCCAGTCGCTTGATTTGACTCAAACACCTCCCGAGGTGCTTCTTGGACTGTCTCCAGAGGGCCTCTCTCAGAAATTCCTCCCTTCTCTCCAGTCTTCCCTCCTCTCCCATTCATCCCCCTTCCTGTTTCCGACCCCCCCTCCCCTCCCCCGTTCCCCCCTGGCGGAGCTGCGCCTTGCGCTCTGAGCATCCCTTCCCCACCTTCAATCCCTCCCCCCTCTTCCCCTCCTCCGCTCCCTCCCCCCCGTTCCCCTCCTCCGCTTCCTTCCCCCGATCCCGCTCCCCTCATCCCCCATGGCGGAACTAACCCCTGCGCACTCAGCAGCCCTTCCGCCTGCGCGAGGCGGAGCTGCGCTTCCGCCAGGGACAGCTCCAAATGCTGGGGAAGCGGGGGAACGGGAGGGGGCGCCGGAGGAAGTGGGGAGGGGGGAGGAGGAAGTGGGGAGGTGGGAGAGGAGGGGGGGGGGGGGGGGGGTAGGGGGGGAGGGGGAAAGGGGGGAGGGAAGAGGGGGGAGTATCAGTGTGCATCTTACCTCTCCAATCGTGCCCTACGAAATTCAATTCTGAAAATTAGTAGAAAACCCTCATGGGATTGTACATTTTAGGATTGGGTTCGGTGACGTGTCAAACTGGGCCTACGATGAGGGGTCATGGTCGGTGTCTACCTTTAAACGTTCGCTACATGAGCACTTGCACTCTGGCGTTCTCTCCGAGGTTGGAGTCATTCTTAGGAAGTCTGAAGAAATCACTCACACCCTGGCATTTCCCCCAACTTTAGCGCATCTGACTCGGAACGACGCGTTTCAGTGCATCAACACCTCTCTAGAGTCACAGCAATTACAGTAACTCAGCGCACCGTGACAACCTGACAGGCAACCAGACAGGTTGCGCGTCTGAACCCTGAAACCCTCGAGCCTGCATCACTGTTGCCAGGCTTGCGCGTCTGTGGAACATAGCAAAAGTCCACGGTCAGATTTTGCACGAATTGGTGAACCGAGACTGACACTAGCGAGAAACCGAGACTGGAATTCGGCAGTTTCGTCAGGACAGGGTGGTAACAGATAACGTCCTCAAATTGAAACGTAGTTCGACACCTAGTACACTCAAGTGCCAGCACCGAGAGTCACGCGAAACGCTTCTTGTTTCGCTTGGTTTCTAGACTGGCCCTTTTTAAGTTTCGCGTGACTCGTTCTGTCCGTTCGCTTTCGCGAATATAGTGCGACCTGACACGGATGGTAACTCTGTGCAAACTCATGACACCAGTGTGAAACATTGGCGGGCTGGAACAACGAGAGAGCCGCGGCGTTTCGCTAGTCAAAATTGTACTGTTTTCCGCGACAAGCGATTTGCGCGAGGGCTTGTTTTTACGACCAAGCACACTGAAATACGCTCGTCGATCATTTTTGCGGTAAAAACAAGCCCTGCCCTGCTGGCTCTTTCCCTAGCTTGCGGAAACCTTTCGTCATCTGGTTACCTGCTTTCGCTCATGATCCATCCCGTTCTTTCCAAGGTGATTCTTTGGCAGCCATAGCTCTCCAAATGCTGACACAAACATGGCACATGCTACTTCGCATCCCGCAACTGACGCCGCAATTGACGACGCGAATGACGCCGAGATTGTAGCTGTGGAGCAAACCTCCGGCAAGACTGTAGTGGCTGTGGTTACTGCGTCATCTCGAGTCGGTAAAGCCACAGTTCGTCACCTCCTAGTCAGCCACGGTAATAAGGTCCACATACGCGCCGTGTTTCGCGGGAAGAGCAAGACAAAAGAAGATTTCATCCATGATCTTTTACAATCCGAAGGCACCGAAAACGGCGCTACTCTCGCAGCCGAATCCCTTATATCGAATCTCGCCAATGTCGAGGTCGTCTGCGGTTTCGACGTGGCTGATCCCACCACACACGCAGCCGCGTTTTCCGGCGTGGATCGCGCGTTAGTTATCGCTCCTCAGCTGGAAAACCGTCAAGAAATCGTCAATTCCATCCTCACGGCCGGCAAGTCTCACGGCGTGCGACGCGTTGTGATTATAGGCGGTGTGTTTCAAGAGGAGGAGAAGTTCATTTTTCACCGCCAGTGGCAGAGCACGCGGCGACACGCAGATGAAACGCTCGGGCTGTCCTGGACGCAGCTTGAATGCGGCGATTTCATGGAGAACGTACTGCGGAATAAAGAGACGATATGTAACGAGGATAAAGTGTACGGCGCTGGGGGAAACCCTGGTGCTTGCTCGCTCCCCATCGCATTGGATGACATTGGTAAAGCGGCAGCTGTGATTCTAGCGTGTGATGATGACGTGGCACATAATCGCCAGGCGTATCGGATAGTAGGACCAGATCTGCTGAGTCAGCATGACATGGCGAGAATCATAGGCGAGAAAATCGGCAAGGAGGTGACATTTGTCGATCTGGGATTGGACGTCGCGATAGAGCGCGCTACTACTGTAGGCGGCTCTGCCAGGTGGCAGGCTGAGGGGTTCCATGATTGGATGAGGCTCTACTACACGACCGGAAGGTTCAAGGAAGTTATGTCTGACCTTCCCCTGCTTGGGATCCGGCCTGTGTCATTCGGGGAGTGGATGGACCGGCATGTAGGGGAGTTTTTAGCTAAGAGTGACTGTTTAGGGACTTCTAGTCAGCAGACCAAGGCAGATGTGCTGGCAGACATTTAGGCTGCCATGCCAAAACTGAGGACTGGGGACAGATGAAAATGGAGGGAGTTTGAAGGAGGTACCAGTGGAGTGGAGTGCTGCTATGGATGAAGGAGGGGGGTGGGAGTGGGTGGTAGGTGTGTGGGAAATTGAAGTAGGGAGAGGGGTTGGTTGAAGTGAGACTGCCAGATGTGCCGGGCTGGCTAGCTAAACACCCGCTGTTCAGATCTCATCTGCAACCCCTCGGTTTGTCAGTAATTTCTCGCAAGTGGAAAGCTGAATCCAATCCCCTCCACAGGTGGTGGCAATAAATTTGAGCAGGTACACTACAGTATTTTCCCACTACAAATCAGCCTAAGTCAGCCATCTACTAACAAGCCTCAGCTACCCCAGTCAAACCATAGGTAAGAGCTTTCATGTTTAAGGGAATCCTTTTCTTGTATGGAAGCATGTTGTGAGATGGTCTCAATCGAAAGCATTTCTCACATCCTCTCCTCACGCCTCCTGGGAGCATTGGTGATGATGTCATCAACACGCAGGATCATCTCTGCTGCTTCTGTTGCTGACATCAGCACGGCCTGCTTCACCTTGAGTGACTCGTAGATGCCACACTCCTCCATGTCCCCGGCCTGCCATGCACACATGGGTGAAACGGAATCGGGGGTAGAGGGGGGGGGAGGGAGGGGGGGGATTGAGGGGGGAGGAGAAGGAACCAAGAATGAGGATCAGCAGCAGCACCGCCTGCTACTTTGAATGACTCGTAGATGCCACGAGTCTAAAATATCGCCAGCCTGTCATGTGCCCATGGGAGAGTTATGCAGATGCATACAGGAGAATTATGTGTACAGGGAGGGGCCATGGGCACAGGGAGCATCAACAACTCAAAATGGCTCATGTTTAATCAGAAAGCCCGGATTTTGAGGCGCCTAAAACATCGACTCATGTTTGATCAGAAGGAAACCAGGTCCCCCTCACCTGCTATGTGTGTGTGCACGTGCCACGTGCATGCACACCCACACATACTTGTGATTTTGGAGGTTCCCAATTCCCCCTAGGAAATTCCTCCCTCTCTCGCCTGCCCCATGAGAATGTCGATCCCCACCCAGCTAGCATGGGACGCCTAGACGTGTATGGGATCATTGGAATGTAAAACTCCTCCCTCTCCCTCTCTCTCACTGGCCCCATCATAACGTCAATGCCCACCCGGCTGGCATCATAATCCGCATGAGCGGCTCTCAACTGACCCACCAGCTCTGCACTCTCCAGGTGACTCGTGCGACTTTTGAGGCTCTTGCAACTTTGGGTGACTTTGACTGCGCGCCGAGACGTGTACCACAAAGCACCTCCCTCCCCTGCCCTCTCTTTGTCTCTCTCACCTGCCCCGTGATGACGTCAATGCCCGCCCGGCTAGCATCATCCGCATGAGCGGCCCTCAATTGCGCCACCAGCTCGGCACTGTCGAGGCCAGCGTTGTCGGAGATGATGGAGGGGATGGCACGCAGGGCCGACGCAAACGACTCCACGGCTAGAGCACGCTTGCCTGGGTTTAAATAACGAAGGGAGGGATCAGGGTGAGATGGGGGGGAGGAGGGAGGCAGAAGGTGTGCGTGTGAGCCACCAGCTTGGCACTGTCGAGGCCCGCATTGTCAGCAGTGATGGTGGGGATGGCTCGAAGAGCAGAGGCAGATGACTCCACAGCTAGAGCACGCTCGCCAAGGTTGAAGTGGTGAAGGGAGAAATAATCTGGCGACCTCGCCTTCCCCCAAATTTCTGGCGACCTCGCCTTCCCCCAAATTTCTGGTGACCTCGCCAAGGTTGAAGTGGTGTGTGGGGGGAAGGAGGGAGAGAGAGGGTCAGGTTGGGGGGTCTGGCCCACCAGCTCGGCACTGCCGAGGCCAGCGATGTCAGCGACGATGGAGGGGTCGGCACGCAGTTCCGAGGCAAAGGCGGGAAGGAGTTGGATTTTATCCGCAGCAAGCCTCCTAAGAGTAGGTCTAGGACTAGATGGAGGGGTCGGCACGCAGTTCCGAGGCAAAGGCCTCCACAGCCAGAGCACGCTTCTCAGGGGGACGGGGGTGAGTGCGTGAGTTGGGAGTGTGTGTGTTTGTGTGTGTGTGTGTGTGTGTGTGTGTGTGTGTGTGTGTGTGCGTGTGTGTGTGTCTGTGTGTATCTGTATGAATTTGTGTTTGTCTGTGTGTGTGAGTGTGTGTGTGTGTATGTGAGTGTGAGTGTGTGTGTGTGTCTGTGTGAGTGTGTGTGTGTGTGTGTCTGTGTGAGTGTGTGTGTGTGTGTGTCTGTGTGAGTGTGTGTGTGTGTGTGTGTGAGTCTGTGTGTGTCTGTGTGTGTGTGTGTGTGTGTGTGTGTGCCTGTGTGTGTGTGTGTGTATGTGTGTGTGTGTGTCTGCATGTCTGTGTGTCTGTGAGTGTGTATGTGTGTGTGTCTGTGTCTGTGTCTGTGTGTGTGTGGGTGTGTCTGTGTGTCTGTGTCTTTGTGTGTGTGTGTGTGTGTGTCTGTGTCTGTGTGTCTGTGTGAGTGTGTCTGTGTGTCTGTGTGTGAGTGTGTGTGTGTGTCGGGGGGTGGGGGGAGAGGATGACGCATAAAGAAAGCACGCTCTACCACTGCCTGCTGCAAGTACCTTCTCAGTCACGTGAAACAGCGACACACACGTACCTGGAGTGCGGCGAGCCAAATCATCCACCCGGGTGGCCATCATGACTTCGGGCCAGCCCCCGCCCCACACCACTCTGCTGTCCGCCACTGTGGCTGTCAGCACACACAGCGCGTCGTGCAGGGAACGCTCCGCCTCGTCCAACACGTGCGAGCTGGGGAGTGGGGAAGGTGGGGAAAAGGGAGAGGGCGAAAGCGCAGGGGGAGAGAGAGAGGGAAGATGCATTAGCGGGTGGGAGTCAGCATCGCCGCAGCTTCCCCACACCACTCTGCTGTCCGCCACTGTAGCTGTCAGCACACACAGTGCGTTGAGCGGCAAGCACTCCACCTCGTCCAGCACGTGCGAGCTGCAGGGGGCAAGGGTGGGAGCGGCAGAGGGAATAGAAAGGAATACAGTACGTGCCCGCACCACAGCACCACCACCCCCCGCCCCACACCACTCTGCTGTCCGCCACTGTGGCTACCAGCACACACAGTGCGTTGTGCAAAGAGCTCTCCGCATCGTCCAACATGTGCGAGCTGGGGGGGGTGAGGGGAAAAGGAGGAGTATGGGCAACGGGACTGTCTGCTCAGCACACACAGCGCACCGTACAGCGAGCGCTCTGCCTTGTCCAACGTGATTTTCGAGTCGACTCAAAACGGAGATTTTTAAAGGTGATTATTGAGTCGACTCAGAAAGGGGTTTTTCACGGTGATTATTGGGTCGACTAAAAAGTCAGCACACAGAGCGCATCGTGCAGCGAGCCCTCTGCCTCGTCCAACGTGTGCGAGGCGGTGGGGTAAGAAGAGTGAGCAAGGGAGGGACGAGGGGAGAAATCTCAGCGTTTAGAGATTCATGGCCCACAACACCTACCCCAACCATGATCTCCCCACCCAGCTTGCACTGCCCCAGCTTCACACCAGCTGAGTCAGGGTTTACGGGTTCAAGGTTTTAGAAAGTGCAGGATTTCTCGCCTGGCTCCTCTCAGCGCGATGGTGCACGCTTCCCCCATAGCAACCCCCGAGAATTGAATCAGGCGGTCCTCCCCAATCACGATCTCCTCGATCAGCCTGCACTGCCCCAGCTGCACCACAATCTTGCAGGTACGTTTTCAGGTTCAGGGTTATCAAGCAATCGCTCACCTGGCTCCTCGGAGCACGATGGTGCATGCCTCTCCCATGGCCACCCCTGAGAATCGAATCAGGCGGTCCTCCCCAATCATGATCTCCTCTATCAGCTTGCACTGACCCAGCTTCACCCCGGCCGGGTCCTCAAACGTGCTCGCGATCTCGCCGCCCGTCACCAGCGCCAACCGCTCGATCCCCTCGAAGTCCGCGTGCTCGATCGCCATCACCCCTGCGTCGGAAAAGAGCTCCTCGGGGAAGTTGTAGATCAGCTGGCGGTTGATGAAGCAGTTGATGCCGTGCGAGATGATCCGCTCCACCTTCTGCCGCATCTTGGCCTTCTCGGCCGCTTCGATCTCTGCCACCTTCGCCATCCCGTCCACGCGCACGCGCGCACCGTAGATCTTGACCTTATCTGTGTCCATCGCTGTGTTCGCCACGAGGATCTTAGCATTCTCGATTCTTTTCGGCTGACCGACTCCGATCTTCTTGTCCAAAATGAATCTGGGGAAGAAAAGAAGAGGGGGAGGGGGGGGGGGAAGGGGAAGGGGGGAGGAAGGTTGAGGGAGAAGGTGGGCTTCGACCTAGGCCACCTTGAGTGAGGAGTCTATTTTTAAGGCGCTTCTAAAATAGAACCCAGGCCACCTTCGGTATCCTGTTTATGCGCACACTTGCACTGTAGATCTTCACTTTCTCAGCCTCCATCGCTCGCTGCTCGCTGCTCACTAAACCGTGACTGCTTACTGGGCCCCGATTGCCCACTAAACCCTGAACTCCCACTAAACCCTGATTGACTGCTAACTAAACCCTGGCTGACTGCTAACTAAACCCTGTATGCCCGCTAGGAGGAGAACCCTAGACGCATCTTCACGGGAGCGCCCACTCACCCTTCATCCAGATACGAGTCTGACAGCGCCCCGCCCGCCTTCTTGATGATCTGGATGGCCTCCAGGTTGGTGCTGCCCTTGAGGCGCAGCACCGCGTCCACTGCCAGGGTGGCGAAGTGCTCCTTGTCCTGCGACAGAATCTTGGAGCTCAGGGTCGTCTTGGCAATACGCAGCAGATCCTCCCTGAACCTCGCTGCACATGTGATTGATAGCATAGGGGAGGAGGACCCGAATCCACTGCAGTTAAACCAATGTTTGAGCATAAGAAAAGCACTGCAAAGTGACTTTTGAGTCCACTCAAAAGAGCTTCTTGTCCTGGACAAGCAAAAGCACCGCATCCACTGCCAGGGTGGCGAAGTGCTCCTTGTCCTGCGACAGAATCTTGGAGCGCTGGGTCGTCTTGGCGATGCAAGCACCTCACCATGCTACGAGTGACAATTTTTTTGCAAATGTTCTACATTGAGTACACTTGATTTTCTATGTGAGTCAACTTACCCGGATCATCCTTGTGGTCTCTGCTCTTGCTGATTAGCACCTCCCGTGCGCAGTCAAGGGCCATGCGGTAACCTGCAGGTTACAAAAATGGGCAGAAATCGGGTAATTGATTGATACAGGTACCTGGGTGACGTGTGCTGAATATATGAGAAACCACGAACCCGTGAAACTCGTCCCCCCCCCCAAAAACATTATATTTAAACAAGCAGAAGCAGCTCCCCGGCCTCTCTCAGCAGCCTCCACTGGTTCCCCACGGCGTCCTTTCACCTGAGACGACGGTTATGGGATAATGGGACAACCATGGGCGCTTGACGACAGCACTCGAACTCCGCCTGAGATGATGGTCATGGGGTAATTGAATCCTACCTGAGATGATGGTCATGGGGTAATTGAATCCTACCTGAGATGATGGTAATGGGGTAATTGAATCCTACCTGAGATGATGGTCATGGGATATTGAACCCCACCTGAGATGATGGTCATGGGGTAATTGAATCCTACCTGAGATGATGGTCATGGGGTAATTGAATCCTACCTGAGATGATGGTCATGGGGTAATTGAATCCTACCTGAGATGATGGTCATGGGGTATTGAACCCCACCTGAGATGATGGTCATGGGGTATTGAACCCCACCTGAGATGATGGTCATGGGGTATTGAACCCCACCTGAGATGATGGTCATGGGGTATTGAACCCCACCTGAGATGATGGTCATGGGGTCGATCCTCGCAGTCACCAGCTTCTCCGCTTCCCTCAGCAGCTCCCCCGCCACCACCACCACTCGTGGTCCCGTGTGTAACGAGTCGATTTTTGAGTCGACTCAAAAATCCACTCGTGGTCCCGGCACTGACCGACTCGCATTGACCATCCCTTTACCCTCACCTGAGATGATGGTCATGGGGAGCCTCACACCCCCACCTGAGATGATGGTCATGGGGTGAATCCTCGCCGTGACCAGCTTCTCCGCCTCTCTCAGCAGCTCCCCTGCCAGCACCACCACCGACGTCGTGCCGTCGCCCACCTCGTCGTCCTGCACCTTGGAGATGTCTGGGGATGATTATAGCGGGGACACAGGGGAAAGGAGCGAGCAAAACAGCCAAATTAAAGGTGGAATCAGGGTGTGGGCAATGGGGACGAGGGGCACAGCGCGGAGGGAAAGTAATCCCGGAGTGCCACCACCGACGTCGTGCCGTCGCCCACCTCGTCATCCTGCACCTGGGAGATGTCTGGGGATGATTATAACGGGAACGAAGGATAGAAACGGGTTGGTCATTGCAGGATGGACGTAGGCAACACGGGAGCGGGGAAAACCTATTGAAGCCGATTAGCTGAGAAACACAGGCGTAATTCCGTCACACGAGACCAATGAAAGGCCGAGACTGACCAACAAGAACTTTGGCAGCAGGATTGTCGATATGAAGAGCCTTGAGAATGGTCGCTCCGTCATTCGTGACCATCAGTCCGCCCCCTCGGCTCGTGGACTGCAGAATCTTGTCCTGCAGACCAAGAAAAGATAACACTTGACAGAGAAAGAGTCAGATGGCTAGTTGAACTATTGCCAATCCTCTGAAACAGACGCAGAACAAAGGTGTAGGTCCGATTATTAATTAAAACCGCCTCTAAATTCACATCCCCTGAAACAGATGCAAAACCCCTCTCTAACGGGAGTTGAGTGACATAGTAACGAGGTGAGTTTTGAGTCGACTCAAAAGTCACCTCGACGTAGATCCGAAGATGAAACCGCCCGTCGATTCACATTCCCCGAAACAGATATCCCCTCTCTCCTTGGAGCCCATCCCCACATTGTGCTCTCACCATTCCCTTGGGCCCAAGCGTCGATTTGACGAGATCGGAGATGGCCATGGCTCCCACGAACGACGACTGATGAGATAATGACGAATAAGTGGGCCAGGGCGTGAGGGAGGGAAGGAAGGAGAGAAGGAGTGGGGACAAAAGGGGGTTGGGGGGGAAGAGGTCCAAGAATGTTCAGTTGACGAGATCGGAGATGGCCATGTCCCCAGGGATGGGAGGGGAGGGAACGAGTAAGGGCGGGAAGGGGACAGGGGGACAGGGGACGGGAGGGGGGCTTGACAAGACTTGAGATGGTCATGGGTCTCTTGGCCCCCACGAACGACGACTGATCGGGTGATGATAACAGAGGGACGGGGGGATCCGGGGGGATCGAAGCGAGTTGATTTGATAAGATCGGATATGGATACGACTCCCATAAAACGATCACGACGAACGCGAGAAACAAAGAGAAGAGGAGAAAAAAGAGGGAAGTGGACCGGGGGGGACTTTTGAGCCGAGTCAAAAGTCAAAGAGAAGAGGAGAAAGAAGAGGAAAGTGGACCGACGATCAGAGAGGGGAAGGTATGAGGATCAGAGAGGGGATGACGATGGATGGGATGAGGACCAGGGACGGAAAAGTAGTCGAATCCAACCATGCAAAGCAACGAGAGGAGGATCTCGCCGAAAATACATCGCTTTAGATTGGTCTCTTGTATACGAAAATACATCGCTTTAAATTGGCCTCTTGTATACGAAAATAGTTATTGAGTGATTGTCTTCCACACGTCAGCAACGTACCAGTCTGGCGCGTTCGCCCTTCTCCTCCGTCGCAGCTTCATTGAAAAGCCGATCGCCCTGAATGGAGCAGAACGAGCAGGAAACTGATTCAGCACAATCAGCAATACAACTACTCTATGATCCGACGCGTGCTCTCAAACGGTAAAATCGACAGAATCCGACAAATCCGAACGAATCCGAGCGAATCCGCACCCCAGGAAGGCGACCGTCTCCCATTCCAGAGACAGCCATCGTTGAAGCTTGAAAGTAACGTCAGGCACGCGAGTCGGGCGATTTAGGAAACGAAACTTGTCAGTCGAGATCAGGCCGGCTATTTAGGACTAGACCAGGTCAGATCCCGCTCTGTTGTAATGAACCACGGGAATCTTGCTGCGAATGGCGAGAAACCTGGATTCGACGGGACGGAGAAAAGCTGCCAGACCTGAGAGCAAGGAGAAGCAGATCTCACAGATGGCCGATTCGAATCGGCATAGAGAAGCCATAAGAAGAGAAGCTGGAGTGAGTACACCAAAGACCCCCTTCAGTACTGTGCCGTTACGTCATAAAAGAAGCATCAATATTTATTTAATATAAAATGTTAAACACATATGATTTTTCCCTTATTTGACTCCATCCCTCACTATGTCCACGTCGGCCATCCCCGTCACACAAATCTACGAACGATCTCTTGGCACGGGTTCATCCACGCTAGCCCGGATCAATTGGCTGACCAAATTCAGCTACACCAGACCTCGTCAGTAGGTTCGTGTTTGCCAAATATACGTCGCTTCGTGGTCTCACCGACGACCCCTCCGAATCCGAACCTCGGCAATTCTGACATATTGAAGAATCTGACAAATTTAGACGAGTGAACCGCACATTAAGCTTCTGTAACTTGCAGTTAATACCAGAAACCGCAACGCACCGCAAAAAACGATGGGGAAACCCAGAAGTCACACTGAGTCGTGTAAAAAAATCCCTCGGCATTCCCAGGAAAGCAAAACCAGCGCTGTGACTCTTTTTCTCCCAGCCATTTCACAATAGCCATTTCTTGGCTTCTTGGTCGGCAGCACCACAAAGCCGCCTTGTCTCGTCACCGCTTCACGGTATCCCTCCCGTAGCACTTCGTCGTTATCTCTACGTATTACTGTAGAGCGGAACTCGTTACATCCGAGCCACAATGGCTGCCATTCACGCATCAGCAGCGACACGCCTCGTCACGCAGTCGCCGATCGTCACGCCAAGCCGTCGACATGAGACTTGCTCTGTATCCCGTTCGGCGTTCTTTTCTGGTCCCTCACGCGCCTTAACATCCACCTATCAGGTATCCCCCATCTTATTCAACCATTCTTGTTCAGCTAGTTTTCGAGAATTCTCCAACTCCCCTCACACGCCGTAGCTGAAGGGATAGCTCCAGTTCGCTAACCAACTGGGATAAAAGGGCATGTTTGTATGGTGGGTCAGCGCACCCACACACCCCCTCAGGACGATAGCTGGGGCCCTTCAGGGGGACCCCTCTGCGCCATCTCAGTGCCCCCTTCCAATTCTCCCCTCACTGGGAGGGCCCATCAAGGGCACAGGAAGGCGCTGACACCAGGAATCGAACCCGGGTCCCCCGCGAGCATTGACCACGCTCACCGCACCAGGAAAGGATAGCTCTAGTTCGCTAACCAACTGGGATAGAAGGGCATTTTTGTATGGTGGGTCAGCGCACTCACACCCCCCCAGGACGACATAGCCCTTCAGGGGGACCCTCTGGGCCATCTCAGTGCCCCCTTCCAACAGTAGCATCCACCTATCAGGTATCCCCCATCGTATCCAGCCCGTCGCGCTCGTCCGGATCCTCGTTATTCTTCGGCCGCGTCCTTCCCTCACCGAACATCATTCACCGTGCGAAATTGTAACGCGTACGATAATCGTTCATCGTGCAAAAATCCTTCCTCGTGTTTCCCCATTGCCTCGTTGCCCTTCTGTTCAGAGCCTTGGGCCTCTTTGCTCTGCTCGACCGGCGTCCATGCCCTCTCAACCTGCCACTTTCTGTTTTAGAGGCGCCCCAAAAACTGTTTCCCCATTGCCTCGTTCCCTTTCCCTCCAGATCCTTGGACCTCTCTCCTCTGCGCGGCCGACGTCCATGTCGTCTCAGCCTGCCACTCTCGGGTTTGCGCCATTGGATGCTCGCCGCTTTACCGTTTCCGCGCAAGCCGCGGGCTCGGATTCCGCAAAGGTGGGTGTACTGTGTTAGGGGGAACTATGCGAGACCGGCGTCCATGTCCTCTCAGCCTGCCACTTTCGGGTTTGCGCCTTTCAATGTTTGCCGCTTGACCGTGTCATCGCAAGCCGCGGGTTTGGATTCAGCAAAGGTCGGTGCAATTCCTTTTAAGTTAAAATAATGGCCTACAGTGCAACTATTCGAATTCGTATTTATACTACACAAACGCCTTCTGTCCTCACTTGGAATCCCAGCCGCATCCCCCCTTCCTTTCCCCCTCCGCCTCTCACATTTCCCCCTCCCCCCGTCCCCACCCCACTCTTTCCGCCACTTTTCTCCCCCACACCCGGCTTCCCTAGCCGCCCTTCTTCCGGCCATGCTGACATGTTGCGACTCCCTTTAGGGTGGGGTAACAGCTTTCAATAAAATCATCGTACAAATAGACTGTTTTCGCGATGGCTCAAATCTTCCTTCCTCTTCCCCTTCCCCTTCCCCTTCCCCTCCCCTTCCCCCTCCCCCTCCCCCCCCCCCCTTCCCCCCCTCTTCCCACCGCCACCCCCACCTCCCTTCCCTTGTTGTCAGGTCGGCCCAGTGGCAGTGGTCGGAGGCACTGGTTTTGTTGGCTGTGCACTCGTTAAAGCTCTCCTGGCAGGTGCTTATAGCGGGGCTCGAGTGTTGACTTTCGATTAGTTGCACTCGATAGCTGTAGGGTGGTTTGCTGGGTCATGTCTAAAACATATGGGACTCGAGTATTGGCAGAAATATGCGGGAGGATGGCCTGCTGCCACGGGCTCAAGTGCAGCATGCTTGCTCACTTGATCGAGCTAAAATCTGTTGGAGTGGTTCAGCCACTGCGGACGAGGCGTGACTATGAGTGATGGACTTGTAGGATTGGGGCAAAGCCCTTGAGGTTGGCCTTCCACGGGTTCAATCACAGCAGGCTTGCTCACTAGGGCAAGGTTAACTCCAGCTTGTTTGCTAAGGGTGTCAATGCTGTGTTCAATCATGGCATGCTTGTTCACTAGGTCGAGCCAGTTCACTCGCTTATGTTTAGTCGCTTATGTTTACTCGCTTATGTTTACTCGCTTATGCTCACTCGCTTATGTTTACTAGCTTATGTTCACTCGCTTATGTTCAGACACTTACAGTGAGTGAGGGATGGGTAGGGGTGTATAATGTCTGGTCTGGTTACATCCCTAATCGTGGGTTGATAATTTCGTTTTGAGACATCTCGAAACGAGATAATCAACCCTGGAAGTGTAGGGGTGTATGATGACTTTGCGGGGTATTTTTTAGAATTCTCAAAAAGTTTGCAGGGTATTTTTGTGATTTTTAAAAAATACCCTGCTAACCCTGGAAGTGTAGGGGTGTATGATGACTGGCTACATCCCTACCTTCCATTCTCACTGCATGGGTCTTTCGCACACCAGTGGGTTGGAATCAAACCTGAGTGAGTGTGCCTTCGCGTTGTTCACTTCGCTGCCCTTTCTAAGGCGCAATGCAAGAGTCGGGTTACCACGTCGGCAGGCTAATGTAGTTCACAAGCGCTAGATTCCGATCAATTGAATTGAAGATGCTCGGCAGTCAGTATCAGTACTTGTCATTTCTTTAGGCGCCTCAAAATAAGGCAGCCTAATGTATTTCATAAGTGCTGGATTCCAAGCGATTGAAGATGCTCAGCAGTCAGAACGTGTAGGGTGAATGGCAGGGGTGCACTCTTTTAATAGATGTGTCCTTTACTTTACCCCCCTCCCTCCCGCTCATGCTGCAGAGGGCGAGCAAGTGAAGGTGCTCAGCGCTCACACGTTCAGTGGGTGTAGTGTGATTGGCTGAAGCATGCTTGCTAAAAAACCTCCTCTCCGCTATGCCCGTGTCCACCTACTCCTCTCTCATTCCCACCCATGCTGCAGAGGGCGAGCAAGTGAAGGTGCTCACGCGTTCAGTGGACCGAGCAAAGGAGGTGTTTGCAGGTAAGCCAGGGGGTGATTTGAGGCACGTTAGGCAGTGCACGTTGCAGGTAGCTCCCCTCTCTCACCCCACCTTTCTCCAGAGGGCGAGCAAGTGAAGATGCTCACGTGCTCAGTGGACCGCGCAAAAGATGTCTTTGCAGGTAGGCCAGGAGGTGATTCGAGGCACGTCGGGCAGTGCATGTTGTAGGTGGCAAGTGAAGGTGCTCACGTGTTCAGTGGACCGAGCAAAGGAGGACTTCGCAGTTTTGAGGCGCCTCAAAAAGTGGACCGAGCAAAGGAGGAATTTGCAGGTAAGCCAAGGGGGAAATGTTACCCCCGTCAGCCAGTGCGCGTTGCAGGCAATTCAGGTTTGTAGCCATGCTCTGTGCTGCTGGCGTTGATATTCCATCAGCAAGTTCTTCCTTCCCTCCCCTCTTCCCATGCTGTCTCCCCATGTCTACTCACCACCCCAGGCACTAATGGCGTGGAGCTGGTGGGGCCAGCGGGGTGGGCAGCAGCAGTGGCAGGCAGTGGGTCCGTGGTGAATCTGGCTGGCAAACCCATCAGCACGCGGTGGAGCCCCGCGGTAGGTGGGGGGCTAGGTGGGGGTTTAGGTGGGGGGGTAAGGGGGGGATGGGGTATGTGAGGACCTGGGGCAGTAATGGGGGCTGTACGTTGGGGCCGAATCAAGCTCGCTCCTATTCCCCTGGCAGGTAGTGGGTCCGTGGTGAATCTGGCTGGCACCCCCATCAGCACGCGGTGGAGCCCGCGGTAAGAGGGAGGCAGAATGGGGGAGCGGTGGGGTAGTGGAATGCGCGGGGTCCGTTCAGCCTCCCATAGCAGGCAGTGCTTTTGAGTCGACTCAAAAGGGATGCGGTGGGGTAGTGGGATGGGATGCGTGGGGTCCGTTCAGCCTCCTGTAGCAGGCAGTGGCTCGGTAGCCCAGGCAGTGCTCCCGGCTGGCTCAGTGGCACACCCATCAGCACGCCATGTTTTTTGAGTCGACTTGAAAGCACGCCATGTTCTTGAGTCGACTTGTGGGGCACATATGGGGCGCATGTGGGGCACATATGGGGCGCATGTGGGGCACATATGGGGCGCATGTGGGGCACATATGGGGCGCATGTGGGGCACATATGGGGCGCATGTGGGGCACATATGGGGCGCATGTGGGGCACATATGGGGCGCATGTGGGGCACATATGGGGCGCATGTGGGGCACATATGGGGCGCATGTGGGGCACATATGGGGCGCATGTGGGGCGCATGTGGGGCGCATGTGGGGCGCATGTGGGGCGCATGTGGGGCGCATGTGGGGCGCATGTGGGGCGCAAGTGGGGCACATGTGGGGCACATATGGGACTGGGACCGATGGCTCGCCTGGTTGAAAATATGCCATCTCCCTTTTTCCCGGACCCCCCCGCTCAGACCAAGGCTGAGATCATTTCAAGCCGCGTGGATACCACTTCAAAGATTGTGGACGCTATTAACTCGCTCCCCAAGGACAAACGCCCTTCGGTGCTTGTCAGCACATCGGCTGTCGGCTTCTATGGTGTGTCCTATGGCAGCATGGGAGGGTTGGTTTTGAGGCGTCTCAAAACAAGCCTTTTAGAATGAAAGGGGGTGGGGTGGGGAAGGGGGCAAAGCGGAAAGCATTGCATTGCAGGAGGAGGGGGCAAAGCGGAAAAGGGATTTGGGAGGTTGATGAGGGAAGAGGAAGGATGTTACCGTTGCATTCGTTCTTATCTCCACCGTTAAACTATAGAGAGACACTCGTGTGTCGTGTCATCGCTCCATGGGTGCATGCCTCCATGTGTCCATGTGCCCATGTGCCCATGTGCCCATGTCCCATTGTGTCCATGTGTGCATGTGTGCATGTGTGCATGTGTTCAGGGACGAGTGAGACTGCCACCTTTGACGAAACCAGCCCTTCTGGCAACGATTTCTTGGCAGAGGTACATTTATTGGCAGAGGTACATTTCTTCACTCAAATGTTATTTCACTCTTCTCGACAATTTTGCGTATGTTTGTCTCCTCTCCTCTCTCTCCCTTTCCGACCCCCTCCACGATCCTCTCAATACGCCAACTCATCCCATCACCCCCTGGTTCCAAGCCCCTCCTTCATGCTTCTTAATTTCCACTCCCCTCGCTTCTTTGTGGGTGAGAAGTGGATTTTTCTGACGCTTCAAATCTCGTTTCCATGCGCCCCCTGCATTCTTCTTCACATTCCCACCTCTAAACTCCATGTGTGCACTAAGTGGGAGGCAGAGGCTCAGAATTTTTTTTTTGAGTCGACTCAAAAATCACCTCTGAAAACCAGGTGTGCAGGAAGTGGGAGGCAGAGGCGTAGGAACCATCCCATATTCCGCCTCCCCCCTCCCCCTTCTTTCCCCCTTCCTCTTCCCCACCCCCCCTCCCCCAGGTGTGCAGGAAGTGGGAGGCAGAGGTGCCAAAACCATCCTCATATTCCCCCTCCTCCCTCTTTCCCCCTTCCCCCCTCCTCCCAGGTGTGCAGGAAGTGGGAGGCAGAGGCGCAGAAAGTCTCCCCTGACTCGACCCGCCTCGCTATAATCCGCTTCGGAGTGGTGCTGGACAAGGGCGGCGGTGCTCTGGGCAAGATGCTGCCCGTCTTCCAGCTCTTCGCAGGGGGCCCTCTTGGCACTGGGCAGCAATGGTGAGTAAGCTGAATCTTTAAGCCCCAATCTCTAAACCCTAGACCCAGGATTTGCTTCGGCGTGGTGCTGGACAAGGGCGGCAGTGCTCTCGGCAAGATGCTGCCCATCTTCCAGCTCTTTGCTGGGGGCCCTTTTGGCACCGGCCAGCAGCCTAATCCCTTTCTCCTCGACTTTGAGTCACTCGACCATACTCTCTAGACAAGGGCGGGGATGTTCTGGGTAAGATGCCGCCCATATTCCAGCTCTTCGCAGCCAGGCCCCTTGGGATCGGCCAGCAGTGGTGAGACAACAAAACGTCGGTACGGCATCTCTAAACCCGAGACCTCTCTATGGCTGCTTCGCTGTGGTGCTGGACAAGGGCGGCGGGGCCTTGGGAAAAATGCGTCCCAAATTCCGGCAATTTGCAGGAGGGCCCCTCGGCACCCGGCACCACTGGTGAGAGCTGCCCTGGGACTTGACGACGACATTGACGTGAGGGGCTGCCTGGACACACGAGATCCGTGTGTAATGAGTATTTTTTTTAGTCGACTAAAGAATAAACTCAAACGCCAGAAAGCGATGAAGAGCTGGTTTAATAGTGCTCCCTAATAGGGCCTACACCAGTGCCTCTATGTGTCATGAGTCTATTTTTTAGTCGACTCAAAACCAGGACTTGAGGACGAGATCGAGGCAGTGGGGGTGCCCTGGGCTACTTAGATGCTGCCCATCCAAGTAGCGACTTAGTCGGGCTGCCTGAGGGTGCCTGTCTCCCAGCTCTTTGCAGGCGGGTCCCTCGGCACCCACCAGCAATGGTGAGCAGGTGGGCTTTAAGGAACCCCAAAGCCTACACTCGTGTATCCTTGACTGTTGGCTCTCCTGCGCTGCTTCGCTGCTGTGCTGGACTAAGGGTGGTGTTGCCACTAGCATCCCTCCATCCCTGTCCCCTTCACAACCACCAGGTTGATCTAGTGGGTTTGAAAACAGATGCGCTCACTAGATCCGCGGTGCCGTTGAGGACTCCGCTCAACAAGGAGTTCAGTGGGGTGCTCAACGGCAAGGCCGCACGGGTCAGTTCTGTGGAAACGGCACTGCTCGCACGGCTCAGTTTTGGGCTACGCCAATCCTGGCTGTCTGTTGGGATTGCCACTGGTTCTGAGCTCTCGACTGCTGCTGGCGAATTGGCTCGTCAACTGCTGCCCCATCCCTCCTTTCCCCCCAACCGCCAGGTCTTCATGGGTGCACAGGGACGATCTAGTGGCTCTAATAATCGAAATCTTTGCAACAAGGATTTCACAGGAGTTCTCAATGGCACGGCCCCCAGCCCTGCTCACATGGCTCAGTTCTGCGAGGCGCTAGGCTCCACCATCGGCTGTGCTTCCTGCCCTCAACCCTCGCCGCCTGTTCCGACCCCGAGATCTCCATTGTTTCTAACCGACTGACTAATCTCCCTACTCCCATCCCTCCATCCCCACCACCCACCTCCAGGATGTCATGGGTTCACCGCGACGATCTAGTGGCTCTCATCATTGAATCTCTGCGCAACAAGGAGTTCAGTGGGGTGCTCAACGGCACGGCCCCCAGCCCCGCCCGCATGGCTCAGTTCTGCGAGGCGCTAGGCTCCGCCATCGGCCGCCCCTCCTGGCTGCCCGTGCCCAACTTCGCCGTGCAGACGCTTCTAGGGGAGGGAGCCATGGTGGTAAGCCCCTTCTGTCTTGCACCAGCATATTGTCATACAGGAGCCCTAGTGCCATCGGCCGCCCCTCCTGGCTGCCCGTGCCCAACTTCGCTGTGCAGACGCTTCTAGGGGAGGGAACCATGGTGGTTAGTGCTTCTTCTTTAGACCCCTCAAAACCCGTGCTAGGAGATGGAGCCATGGTGGTGAGTGCTGCTTGTGTTCGCTCCCTCCCCATGGGCCTTTATGCCTCCCTCCCCATAACCCTGCCTTTTCCGACACATCGCCTCACAGTCCTCCTGTTCCCAACATTCAACGGCACCTCCCCCAGGCGCACAGCTTTGGTTCTGTTCTGACAAACTCTCAACGACAATGGCTCCCTTTTCGAATCGTATCCCTTGTCAAAGAAAGCCGTCGCCATATCCCTGTGAAATGCATGTGTTTCCTGCCAATCCTTTCTCGTCCATTTGACACCACTTGACTCCAGGTGCTGGACGGGCAACGGGTGCTTCCCAAGCGTACAGAGAGCCTGGGCTTCCGCTTCAAGTACCGGAACATTCAGAATGCGCTCTCCGCCATCTTCTCCTCTTGATGCTGAGTCGTTACAGTGTTCTTCAGTGCCTCCCTTCTAAGTGGACAGCGAGCTTCGGCTTTCGGTTTACTTACTACAGACATCCAGAATGCACTATGTGCTACCATAATTTTCTTGAGTGTCTGTCTTTACCCTCAAATCTGTGCCAGCTTGTTCGTTCTGAAGAGTATTGTCTTCTTGCGTCAGCCTTGGCTCTCCTCCAGCCAGTGCATGGTGGTAGCAGTAGAAAGTGAGCGGGTTTGTGGTTTAGGGAATCTTGTCTTGTCAAATGAATAACTCACTACTAGAAACAAATTACTGGTGTGGTGTTCAATAGATTAGACAATTTCTCACAGTAGCATACCCAAGAAAATCCAACAGTGTGGACAATTGCACCTTATCGACAAGCACAGTGATTGCCTCAGATAATACGGGCATAGTGTACTGGAAACTGGCGTATACTGTTTCTCTTCTTTATCCATCCCTCACACACCATCCTGATAACCCGATATAAGGGATCCAGCAGGCAAGCAAACTCCACATGTCTCTAGCAGCAAACATAACATATATCTTCCACAAATGCACTGATGCATACTCGGGACCAAGGCAGGCATGCTTCCGCCATGGATGTTCCAATGCGCTTAGTATGCCCTTCAGTACCTCCTTGCTTCCATTCCTTCTCCCCCCACTCCTCCTCCCCTCCTGCTCCTCTCCGCCTCCTCTCCCCCTCCCCTCCCCCTCCCCTTCCCGCCTCCCCCTTACACCAGCTCAATGAAGCACATGGGCGCGTTGTCCCCCCGCCGCGGCATGGTCCTGATGATCCGCGTATACCCGCCCTCCCTCTCCGCATACCTCTCAGGCGCATCCGAGAAAATCGCGTGCACCAGCGTCTTATCGTACACAAACGCCAGCGCTTGCCTCCTTTCGTGGAGGCTTCCTCCCTTGGCCAGCGTGATCATGTGGTCCACAAACTTACGCATCGCCTTCGCGCGCGCCGCGGTGGTCTTTATCCTGCCGTGGCGTAGGAGTTCGGTCGTGAGCCCTCTAAGGAGCGCCTTGCGCTGGTCCGCGGGCCGCCCGAGCCGCGCGATGCGGCGGCCGTGGCGCATCGCGAAGACGCGGGAGCCGTTGGATGGGAGGATGGAGGGGAGGGGGGAGAGATCTGCGATGGGGAATGAGGGCATGGGGAGGGGAGAATGAGATTACGAAACGCCCCCAAAAGACGCAGGAGCCGCTAGATGGGAGGATGGAGGGGAGGGGGGAGAGATCTGCGATGGGGAATGAGGGGATGGGGAGGAGAGAAAGAGATTCCAAAACGCATCAAAAGACGCGGGAGCCGTTGGATGGGAGGATGGAGGGGAGGGGGGAGAGATCTAGGGCAATCGGAGAGAGCAGTCAAGGGTTTGGGGGAGGGGGGGGGGGGGGGGAGGAGAGATGGAGAGGGGGGAGAGAGGGAACATGTTAGAAATGTCTCTAGAGATCCGGAGGAGGTTGGAAGGAAGGATTGACGGGAGAGGGAAGAGACCTGCGGTGAGGAGAACCGACGCAGTCAAGGGTTCGTTGGGGGGATGCGAGTGGAGGGAGAAGCGGGAACGAGGGGAGGCGGGAGGAGGGGGACCCCTAAACGGATTCGGAAGCCGAGCGGAGGGAAGGAAGCCGAGCGGAGGGAACGAAGTGGGATGTGAGACGGGACGAAATGCACGAGCAAGGTTGGAGGAAGAGCAGCGCGGGGGAAGATATTCGGGAGAACAGAGGGGAAGGGAATGGGTGGGAGAGCAAAGGGAGGAAGATGGGAGGGATAACAAAGGGGAGAAGATGGGCGGGAGAGTAAAGGGAGGAAGATGGGAGGGATAACAAAGGGAAGAAGATGGGCGGGAGAGCAAAGGGGAGGGAGAGCCGAAGGAATGAGAGCAAGGAAACGGGAATGTGGGGTTTGGAGGACAAGGCTGCGGAAACACCTCTCTCTTCTCCCTTTTCATCCCTGCAGGAATAATGAACTGGCAAACTCCCTATTCCCCCGGTGTTTGCCGTGCTCCTACTAGGCTCCGTATGTCCATATTCGACCTTGACGCACCTTGACGAAAGAGAATTCGTGTGGCTCTACCAACCGTGGAAAAAGTAATACGCCTTCAACCCTACCTGAGCCCCCACCCCGGAAGGTCGATAGGCAATATTTATTCGTGCCTCCGTTCCGAAAGGCAGGACCGACACAAAGACTGCTGCCGTTAATATTCGTGTCCCTCTCCCGGAGACGGCCCGACGAGGCGACTTTCAGAGTCGACTCAAAACTCATCCCCTACCCGGTTAGGCGATCCTCGCCGGGCTGTCCACTCTAAAGATAGCCCGGCGAGGCTATCGCGACGGTCCTTTAGCCCGATTGAGACTCCCGCTGTCGCTACATTGCTACCCTCGAGGTACCTGGTTGAATAGCGCAGTCCGCGTGTAACCCTATGCGTGCTTTCGCTGGTTCAGGCGCGTCGGAAACGATTAACCTCGGATCTTAACCCACGGACTGGCCGGCGACGCCATCACGGCGGTCCCGACGAGTTGACCCTTGAGTCCACTCAAAAGTCCCCCACGTTACAATGTCAGACTTCCCCTCGTTACAATTTCAAATGCCTTCTGAGAACATTTTTTACCCCACGGACTGGCCGGCGACGCTATCACGGCGGTCCCGACAAGTTATCCCCGCGGTCAAGGCCTAGTCTGCTTGAACCCTAGCCGAAGATGTGTTAGTACTTTCGTTTAAAACCCTGCTTAAACGAACACTCCGACGAGATTTTCAAGTCGTAGTCTGTTAGAACCTAGCCGAAGATTCCGGAAATAGCAGTCTCTTTGTGTCCTCACCAGTAGACTGGGTTTTCTAGGCGCATCAAAACTTGTCTCTACCCGCAGACTGGCCGACGAAGCTATCTCGGCGATCCCTGTTCGTTAGCAGTATCTGTGCGTCAGAAACCGACGTCCAAGTGTGTCCGACAATAAGTCCATGTAACCGACGTCCAAGTGTGTCCGACAGTAAGTCCATGTAACCGACGTCTAAGTGTGTCCGATGGTAAGTCCACGTATCCGTACCAGCAGACTGGCCGACGAAGCTATCGCGACGGAGGCCGCTGTACGACGAGGAGAGCCGCGACGACGCCGCTGCGGGGGAAGCGGCGGACATTGCGGCGGAAACAACGGGCTTGCGCGCGGGGGAGGCCGCCGCGGACTGCGAGAGGGAAACCCGCGGGAGCGCGCACTGGAGCGACGCCATGGAGAAGGCCGCCATGTTCCTGACTGATCTCGTGACTGATTCCGTCAGGAAACCAAACCAGCACAGGTAGTCCGTCAACCAGGGAATCCCTGAAATGGAGCTTGCAGGCTGCAATAGGTCACTAGGTACTGTACTCTCTTGTGAGGGAGAGGGGTAGAGGAGAGGGAAACAAATCTCAAGGGAGACCAAAGCGCAGAGAGGGGGAGAGCGGCTCTCCGCCTAGCGCAGAGCGCAAGAAGGAAACAGGCGGAACCTGCGCTGAACCCCGTGTAGTGCGCAGGAAGCCGCAGGCGGGCGCAGTCCCAGGTTGCGCAGGGGCTTGTGCTGTGCTCGGGGGGCGATGGAGAAAGGGGGGGATGCGGGGAAAGGTGCCACGGTGTACGGGTGAGGAGGGAGACTAGGTCCACGTTGCGCCACTACCTCGCATCCAGTGGCACGGACTAATCCGCCACGCTGATGGATGTCATTGGAGGAGAGCATTTCAACGCGGATAACTACACGACACATTGTATTCCCACTACATTACACGCTGACGAACTTGTTGCTAAATGTGTGAAGTGTGGAATAAGAAATATCAACGAGTTACCACGCTTCGCGAAATTGCGGGGGTTGAGAGGGATGTGACTGGTTGCAGAGGATATCGCCAAATTTATCTAGGTTGGGAGGGGTATGGGAGGGGTATGGGAGGGGTGTGATAGGTAGTGGAGGACTTCGCCAAAATATTCCAGGTTGCGGGGGGCATGGGATGGGTGTGCGTGACTGAGTGGTTGCGGAGAACTTAGCCAAATTTATTTAGGTTGCGGGGCGTATGAGAGGGGTGTGTGTGGGTGAGTGATTGGTTGCGGAGGACTTAGCCAAAATTATCCAGGTTGCGGTTGCCATGACAGGCGTATGACTGGTAGCCGGAGGACTTCGCCGAATACAGGGATTACAGGAAGAAATCTGGGGTATACCCCCCATTGAAAATCCATCAGGGTTGTTGGAAATATCTCAAAGGACTTAAGCGTTTCTGAAGTGTAACACTACACTCGAGGAAGACCACAACGGGTACGCGAGTCAACGGAGGATACACGAGGGGGCGGACAAAGAACGCGAAGGGACTCGAAGGGTCTCAACTGGAGGTTGCGACTGACCGTTACAACAGCGGGGATGGTAACCGAAGCGACAATCGAGTCGCTGTGCGACTCGATAAACCGCTCCTGCAACTGTATTCTACAACTGCTTTACTTTCCTACTTTCTATATATTTCTGTATGCTTGTTTCTTTAATCAATCACTTGTTCTCATATACTAGCACAAGGGTTCAACTGCCTCAACTTCCGCTGCACTACTCAAGTCTTTACAACTGGGACTTAGTCTCTGGAAAGATCCTAAGGGCTTTTCTCAGCCCAACATGGTATGAGAGCTGGTCAGAGACCAAACTCCCAGCAACTACGTCCTATCTACAGTCAACACACCAACGAATTTTTTTACCACAAGTCATGGACAACAAGGGCAAGAAGACCTCTACGGGCTCACCCAGTGCCCAAGACACTCAACACGGCAACTCTGAGCTGCACACTTCAGGACTGCAGACCGAGAACGGCGCTGCTCAAGAGACAACAGGAAGAACACCGTAAATGGTGACACCATCACCGTCTTCAAGCGTCGACCCAAACCTTATGGAAAGGTTTTTCAGCTTCATGTCGCACTTCGACCAGCAGCAGCAGACAAGAACACCTGCTCATTCAACACAGAGCAACGGAGGAAACATGGGATTAGCGCCGATGAGCCTCGACAACTCATCGTTCGGGCGACACAATCAAGCGCCCACCTTTGCGCCTTATCACTCGTCACCGGGGACATTCGAGTTCATGCCGCCCCGTGCCCAACCAACAGCAGCTGCATCACAACAGACACCAAATGAGATTCTAAGTCTCCAGGCACAATTTTCACACGTCATCAAGCTACAGACATCCTCACCGTTCAACGGACATGACTTTTTTACCTGGAGCTTCGAGTTCGAGCTGCTGATGGAGGCTGCGCATCTCCTGGGATACTTCAATGGGTCCCTGCCATTCCCAAGCAACGGCACTGCAAAAGAGCAAGAAATATTTACTTATCAGTCGCTGCTGGCGTACACAGTTCTCCTGCGGAACCTGTCACCACAAGAACAGCAGAGCATCAGAACATATCGAAGTTATGGAAACTCCGCGGAACTCGCATGGCATCATCTCAAGTGTCTCTATCAAGCAAACGACAGAGTGACACAAAGCAGACTCATGCAACAACTGACAACAATACAGATGAAGACCGGGGAAAAGGCGATGCAGTATATGAGTCGCTGCCAGACTCTCCGCGACCGCCTGCTTCGGTGCGGAGGAACAATCACTGAAGAAAGCTTCGTGACGCTTGTCCTCGCCGGGCTCGGGCCAGAATGGAGAACCACACGCTCGCTTCTTCGCACCCACGGAAGAATCTCGGAGATGCACCTCTGCGCCGAGCTTCACGCTGAACAACAGGAGATGGACCTGTTCGAAGAAAGACAACAAAGGAAGCAGCAGCAGTTAGTTTTCTACACTCAACGAAGAAACGACAACAACTACAATCGACGCGGCAAGCAAGATCAACGCGACAACAGAGGACTCACCTTCGTGCCGCCGTTCTGCCACAACTGTCAAACTTCCGGACATTCCAAAGTCAACTGCACACGTCCTCGTGTTTATCGTCCAGTAGACCCACAAGTCGCCTCCACTCAAGAAAGCCCTCCAAGGCGCCCTTCCACATCTGCACAAGGAACACCGAACATCATTAACTGCATGGTACACATCGACAACTGCGCACCCAGATCACCACCCACCTACGCACCAGATGAAGAAGAACTTCCGCCGCCGCGCTCACAAGGACTTCAGGTCAACCCGACATACGCTGCGGTCGCCAACGCCGAACCCACCGGACGAAACACCTGGTTCTTGGACAGCTCCTGCGGTCAACACATGTGCTCTTCCGGACGCTTCGTGCAACGAGAGCGACGCCTCAACCGCGATGTCATCATCACCGTCGCCAACAACGAGAACCTGAAAACAAACCGACAAGGCGTGGTTCAGTTACAATCCATGGAGACAAATGTTATACTTCAACTCAACAAAGTCCTCATCGTCGACAACTTGGGATACAACTTACTAAGCGTAAGCCAGCTAATGGCAAAAGGGATTCACCTGGAGTGCGACTCCTACTCCAACGAGTTTCGCCTTTACCACGGGAAGGGCGGTCTCTTCATCGGTCGTGCTCTCCTGAAGTCCGGCGTCTTCGTGTTGGACTTCGTCCCCGACCGCGGTACTGCCGACAGCGACGGAATCGTGTCGTTCGCCGCCTGGACACACCCGCCGGATCTCGACCCCGACTTCGACCCTGATGGATTCTGGCACTCCAACACCATACCTGCAGCAGAGAGAACACGAGCATTAGCAGTCATCAGACAAGAAAGACAAGTACCAGCAAGTGCCCCTTCCCAACCATCACCTACAATAGCAGCAGCAGGTCCTAGCCGAGTACCGCCACCAGCGATCCGAGGACCACCAACCGAAGCAGATCAACTTATGCCCATCACGCGAGAAGTTTGTCGAAGTCCCGCCACAGTCGTCGCGTTCTTCTCCAACACCGACATATACCACCGCTCACCCGGCCATCGCGCTTCCGACGACATCTGGCACCAACGACTCGGACACCCTGCAAACAGTACAATACTGCAAACCATCCAAGCCGAAGTGTTAGAACGCAACGCTCTCCTAACAACGAGTGGCCAAGAACTTCGACGACCACGCGCACGGTGCTTTACGTGCCCCGAAGCCGATCTTCCCCACCAGTCTTTTCCATCTCATCACAACCCAAGTGCACCTGCATACGCACCGATGGAAAAAGTCTACAGCGACATTTTAAACATGCCTCGAGAAGACACTGAAGCCGACTTCAACTATGTCATCACGTTTATCGACGCAGCAACAAGATACGTCTGGCACTACAACCTTAAGACGCGTGATCAAGCCTTCGACGCCTTCACGACATGGCTACCCATCGCCGAACGGGAATCAGGAACCAAGCTCAAGAGCTTCCAGTCAGACGGTGCACTGGAATACCAGTCACAACGCTTCAGGACCTATCTGGCGGAAAGAGGAATCAGACGCCTGGTGTCCCTGCCCTACGCTCACCAGCAGCAGGGGGTCGCAGAACGCATGAACCGGACCTTGCAGACGACGATGCGGAAGCTGCTCCTGGGGATGAGACTGCCCACCACACTGTGGCCAGACGCGATGACACATGCAGTCCACCTGCACAACCTGTTGTCCTCGTCATCGCTTCCCAACAACGCATCGCCGCACCTGCTATGGACACGAAAACGGGGCAGCACAAAATTACTTCGAGTTTTCGGTTGCATGGTACAGTACAGACCCCACACAGCCAGAGCAGGACGTTTCACTCAACGAGCACGATGGGGACTACACCTCGGCATCGCAAAACATTTTCACGCATGGAAAATCCTCGACATTCAAGACAAAAATACAGTGGCATCACGTGATGTTATCTTCTACGAGCGACTGACGCTGCAACATTACCTGGACAACATTGCCAACACACACGACCCCACCGACGGCTTCGCAGGCCTTCGTTCCTTCGCCGACCGTGCTGCCGAGGCTGACGCAGCAGAAGAAGATGTACCTGGAGCCTCGGAAGCTGCCGGACCACTCCCTTTCTGTTCCGTACCTGTTCCACTCGACGAAGACAATCCTCTCGATAGTAACAACCTCGACACCTTTTATCACATCGCTGACCAAGGTTACATTACACCACACCCGGTCGACACAAACGTTTCAGAACGCATCGGCCCCAACTTCTTACCTGATCCAGAAGACGGTGACGAAGCAGCCTATTCCGGGAATGAAAATTCCCCTCGACACACACCCACGGGACTGCAGATCCTCGGCCTCTGGGTCTCCGTCCAGCATCCGCCGCCGCCATCTCTGCGCGAGCCCTCGACTTTGTCGCAGGCTCTGGGGGGGGAACATAAGGCAAAATGGAAGGAGGCGATGGAAAAGGAGCTAAAGGCTCTGCAAGACCGAAATACATGGAAGCTGGTACCTGCAACAAGCATCAACGGGAAGAACATCCTCTCGGGAAAATGGGTGTACCGCATCAAGACCAATGCGGACGGCTCCATCGAATGATTCAAAGCTCGATGGGTCGTACGAGGTTTCGATCAACGATACGGAACCGACTACACAGAAACTTTTGCCCCAATCTCCCGTCACACCTCCCTGCACATCCTACTCGCCGTCGCGGCCACAAAGAAACTACCACTGCGCCAAATCGACGTCGCAAATGCCTTCCTGTACGCACCTGTGGACGTCGAGATCTTCGTCGAGCAGCCCCACGGATTCATCGACGACCCTACAAAAGTATGCCAGCTGATAAAATCCCTCTACGGGATCAAACAGGCTCCGCGGCTGTGGCAGCAGCACCTTCACGGCCGCCTCGTCAGAATCGGCTTCCTACAACTGCCGCACGACCAAGGCATGTATCGACTACAGAAGGAAGGAGCCTTTAACATTCTCATCGTCTACGTCGACGACCTACTCTACATCGGCTCCACTACCGACATCGCCACCTGGTTCGAAGGGGAGCTGAAAGAAGACTTGACACTCACGGTGTCCGACGCAGTGACCCAGTACCTAGGACTGAATGTCGTCGAAGACAACTCGGCGTTCTACCTACACGCTGGAAAGTACGCAGGCACCGTCGCGAAGAAATTCGGTCTAACGCCGACTACGGTCCCAACTCCCTACCGCTACGGGAACAACAACAGCACCTCCGCAAAGCTCCCCGCAAAGCAAATCCAGGAGTATCAACAGAAGCTCGGCTGCCTACTATTCGCAGCAGTAACCTGCCGACCCGATCTCTCTTATAGCGCGAGCCAACTGGCGACGCATCTGAAGCAGCCGGAATAAGAAAATCTCGAGGAACTCAATCGGGCACTACTCTACTTCGTCTCCACGCCGACGACCGGGCTTACCTACAGCAAAGCAACAACACCGTCCGTACGACTACTCGGATACGTCGACGCCAACCACGCGGGAGACAGGGAAAATCGACGATCGAGAACGGGTTACATCTACCGACTAGAACCTATCGGGACTATCTCATGGCAGTCGAGCAAGCAGGAACTAATCGCACTATCTTCGGCTGAAGCAGAATATATCGCCCTCTGCACTGCGACCAAGGAAGGACTCTACCTACGAGAGTTGCTCGAAGAAGCGAAGATCGCGACCCTGCCCGTCTTCTCACTCCTCTGCGACAACCAATCTGCGATCAAAATCGCGAACAAAGACGGCTTTGCCAACCGAACCAAACACATTGCCCTGCGGTACTTTTTCGTCAAAGATGAAATCGCGAAGGGGAGACTTCAACTCAGTTACTGCCCTACAACAGAAATGGCCGCAGACTACTTGACGAAGAAACTGGCGAAGGCGAAGTTCGATTACTGTATGCTGCTGACCGGGCAGACAAACGTCACCGGATCTGAACACGTCAGCACTCCAGAAACGAAGGGGAGTGTTGGAAATATCTCAAAGGACTTAAGCGTTTCTGAAGTGTAACACTACACTCGAGGAAGATCACAACGGGTACGCGAGTCAACGGAGGATACACGAGGGGGCGGACAAAGAACGCGAAGGGACTCGAAGGGTCTCAACTGGAGGTTGCGACTGACCGTTACAACAGCGGGGATGGTAACCGAAGCGACAATCGAGTCGCTGTGCGACTCGATAAACCGCTCCTGCAACTGTATTCTACAACTGCTTTACTTTCCTACTTTCTATATATTTCTGTATGCTTGTTTCTTTAATCAATCACTTGTTCTCATATACTAGCTCAAGGGTTCAACTGCCTCAACTTCCGCTGCACTACTCAAGTCTTTACAACTGGGACTTAGTCTCTGGAAAGATCCTAAGGGCTTTTCTCAGCCCAACAAGGGTGGTACATGGGCCAACTCTGATAAATCATAGAAAATCTATACTTTAATATTTTTACTCAGGACCATTAGAGAATCAGAGTGATTTACTTTGATAAGCCGTGGTCGGGACCCAGTGCAGATTTGGATGGGATGCGTGCAGGTTTGTTGGTCGATTTTGGAGTGTTGCCAGGGATGGCAGAAATTGCTCGGTGTGGCATTCGCAACCGGAATGTCCCCCACAAGGTTCCACTCCCACAACACGATCGCCGAATTCCCACGTGCGCCCGACCGTCGATCGCCCCACACAAATCCAGAAGTCTCACTTGCTTCACAACTCACAGGGTGTCTAGGGTGTTTAGTTGTTTCTACTCTGTGTTGTGCCCGGCTCAGTTTCCCCTTGAAACGATTTCCCCTTTGCCGTCGTGTGGGAAGGTTATCCGGGGCGCATTTTTTGCCTGTGACAGACTAATTTGGGCAAGTTTTGACTTTTTTTTTTTTTAGGGTCACTATTGCCATAAAGGAGATTTTGGACCATCCTGCACGTTGCAGGGGGTAGCTGAAAACTTTCCAAGTGTGACACAGGTAAGGAATGGGCCCTTGGTGCCACCCCTAAGTCCTCCTTCTCGGACTTGGAGGTACTGTAGCTTGGGCCAGCATGTGACGTTCTGAAGCTAAGAGCGTGTTTCTAGTAGGTGTCATCCTGAGAAAGTGTCATCCGAGAATGTTAGAAACCCATCGCAACCGTTATTTCGAAACTTCAACGTTTGTGATGGGTTTCCAACATTCTCAGATGACACTTTCTCAGGATGACACCTACTAGAAGCACGCCCTAAGTCAGCCACCCAGCATCGTTACTACATGTAAGTCAATCATTTATCACATCTGGGCCATCCGTCGGGTCAAAGTTTAGAATAGCGCGTCGTTTTAATACCCCGTTTGGGACCATCAGCCATTGTGGCTGGTCAGAAGAATGACGGAGGGGGACACTACGAATCCATATCAAACCATAAGAGATCAAGCACCGCTTTTTCGTCAAGTATAGGTATGCAGGATCGAGGTGTGGAGGTCGATTTGCCCCTGGCGTGGAGATCCGGCGTAGAGGTGACCTTCACGCCTGCTCGTCGGGCAGGCCAAAACCAAAACCCATCGGGGCCCACATGCGCTCGGGGATGGCATCAACCCTAAACACGGGGCCCGTTCGCGAGTTTAGGGTTGATGCCATCTCCCCCCCCCCCTCCCCCCCACATGCCAAGCAGCCCAGGGTTTTAGTTTCTTCTGCCCGCCCGAACCGAGCCGCGCCCCCTTTTGCCCCTGTCATCGCGCCCGAGCGTACCTATACCTCCTCAGTCTGAGGCAAATTGATGCCATCACAAAA